TTAGACAGAAGATTAAAAGCCTGTGCCAAGACACACGTGTTGACACCAATTAGATTATCGCCTTTCTCTGTATAGCAAGGTGGAGGGTTGAAATTATTCCATTAAAAATAGTTGATTTAATTCAAAGAAAATCCTACCTTCAATTTCCTCTCATCCCTTGAAACTAAACGCTGCTTCTAATGTAATATTTATTTTACACAATAAACAGCGTACAATAATAATCTTTTAAAATGTGTTTTTATGAATATTAGTGTGGGAGTATATTTTTTCCGACCATAAATATTAATATTAAGCATTGAATATAAAAAAAGATATTATACTACAAAACAATTAGAAATAAAAAATAAAATAAACGAAATAAGAATGTTAAAATGTAAGTAAAATTAAATACAAATTTGAAATGGGAATAAGTGTGGGGAGACAATTCGGAATTTGTATCAGAAGGAAGAACTGAAGGAAGTTAAGCTCATTAGGTCAGAGCGTACTGAAAGAATGGATACAAAAATTAAATATAAACGAAGAGGAGAAAGTGTGACTATAAGAAAGCAGGGAGTATGAATAAATATAGACAAAAGAAAAACTGAGCCTTAATAATACGCTAGGTTTGTGAAATGGATAAAGTGATGGCGGAGGATTCAGAAATATGAATGTAAATTATGAATGAGATTAATAAACCCCACATTAAAATAAAACAAAATAAAGCGGAAAACTATGTAAAATTGTATCAGTTATAAATACAATATCGGTTCTAAGTGTAGAAGGAATGAGAATATAAGAAAATCATGAGCTTTTGACTCCGTGATTTCATAATAGTACTTACTACTTACCTAATATGGTAAGTCTAATCACATATAAGTTAATTACCATCAGATGTACTTTTTACACTGTACTACAATCAACTCGTAATAGTAAACCAAAGTTACCAAAATACATGTATTTATTTTTTTTTACTAAAAATAGGGAAATCTTTTTGAGAAATTGCTAATATTAAGTAGGTATCGTCTATGAACTGGAAGAAGACATTTTGTTACAAGACCGGTGACCAAGATGGTTATTTCTTGACCGGATAAACAATATCACTTGTATTACGACAAAAAAGTTCATGATGTAGTAATATAAACATCATTCTAACTATGGCTGCGTTTGTATTGTTTAGTAATAAGACGTTTAAATAAATAACAGTTTAAATTTAAAGTAAAATAATTTAATTACTATTAATTTATTGGTTAACTGTTAATTGTATGATAAAGTTTTTAACTAATTTATGTAATACAATTACTCTGAAACTTTGCACGAATGTCTGAATATATTATTAGCAAACACCTGAAGCTCAGTTATGCCTGTTTCCTCTTTGTTAAAGTACTTGAAATTAATTTTTAATATTATTAAATGGCGGTTAACTACCTACTAACCTCCTTTTAGAATTTACATGAAAATCACATTATGTGATTAAAAAAAAGGTTTTGAGCGTTGTGCATAATTAATTTCAGTGTCGAAAACCTGATCTAAGGATTTTATATCCGAGCAGGGATGTTTCGTAGGTTTATCAGTAGGTACTTCAAAACGGGTGTTTTACCGTTAGAGTTGGAGTTGCTTGCAGTTATTTCTAGTTATCTAGTTGAACCACATGATTTTTAAAGGGAAAATCGGTAATTTTCATCGAAACATTTTTAGAAATCAGACCGACAATAATAGGAAACGGTTTTTCGTATATGAGCCATTTTGGTTTTAAAAGTATAATATATATTTTATGTTCATTCGTACATTAGTCACCGCCGCCGCCGCCGCCCTTGGTCGTCCAGAATAGCAGTAACAAGAGAGAAGGGTAGTAAAAAAGCTGCTTTGATAACTTTTTTTTTTTCGCTCGTCCCGATCGATTAGTTATACACTCTCGTGTACGGTGTATTATTTATTATTGTTGAGTGCGCGAGGGGTCGCTGCCAAATTCGTGAGCAGGTAACATTAATAATAAAAAGCGTTACCGAACAAACGAGTGTATCTGTTTTAAACACACCGCAGTCGTACTCTGCATATATAGAACCCGAAGAATGTTTTTAATAATTTATGTACAACACAAGCCGTGTAAATGGAATGAAGGGCCCTTTAACAATACTACAAACAATGCGAAAATGTATAAAAACGAAATAGCTGTACACGCTGTGCTGCCAAACGTAATAATAACTATTGCATGTCCCCATGCCGATAGGACTTCAATTTGATAATTTAGCTATTTATAGTATATTTTGAGAAACAAAACAAGACGAGTGGACAGAGTAGTACCATCTGCTTGGCCATTTACTTCGTAGTAAATTAAGGGAAAATTAGTTTTTCGTCCCAATATATTTTTAAAGTCGTTCTCTACACATTTAGGTAAACAAAGTCTTACTCTGTCTACCGTGAAAGCACTTCTATTTAGAGTATACGAAATATGAACCCCGCACTGCTCTAGTGAAGTTCTACCACTGTGTATCCCAAGATGGCGAGATTTAATTAAGTTAAACTAGTTCCACGGAGTATGCTTTGATCTTTCATAACGAGCTTGACAGATTTTCAAAATATCAGGTTGAATAAACATTTTGATAGATTTACGTTACATTAAAGTTTAATTGACAGACCATGGTTTAATGTTTGATGTCTCAGACTATTATTATGAATGTTAGAGGGCTCATTAAACTTTTAATGAACGTTTACGTTTTACAATATTATACAATCTCACATTAACTTCCTATTTTATCTAAGAAATGAGTATTGTGTTGTTTTCTAAGCGTATCAAATTGTATTTTTCTATGAGTCCGTTCACATTACTTTCCTATTTGGCACTATCGATTTTTGATTGCCTAACAGCACCACAACTTGTACGGTTTTTTCTATTAATACTGAATGCACACACAATATGGTGATGAGGAGTTGGCAATTACTAACTAACGTTTTCCTCGGTGGAAGTACCGCGACTACTATGTATATAGACGACTGTATAAAATGACAGTATAACATTATTGTAATAGTGTTATGTAAACGAGAAACATAGTTTACGCATTTAAACTCAAACAACTCATAACCATCTAAGGGCGTACTTATATAATCGTACCCGTAGCTCATTCTTATAGTTATGTTCTTGGCATCCAAGCTTTTATTTAAAAGACTACACTAAAAAAAAAGTAAGGATCGGCTAAAAATGTACTTTTCAATACTTAATATTAAACGTTTTCATGTTTTCTTTTGTTTTAATTTTTAACATAGATTAAACTATAATACAGTTAACTCAGGGTAATTTAAAAATCAAAGTTAAAATGAAGAAAAATAAAAATATAAAAACATTTTAAATAGAAACTTTTTTACAGCGTTGGAAGTTAAAAGAGACAAATTACTTGAAAATGTAAAACATTTTATTTTGTTTAAGTTTGTGATATTGATAATCAACTGTTTTTTATTTGATTTTAATATATGTACTTTCGTCAAGAGCTAATAAACATCCATTTATCCATTAGTAAACATTAATCAAAAGTAACCAGCATACATATAAAAAAAAATATCTTCTTAACGATTGAAAAACTTTTGCCTCATTAGACAGTAAGGATCAAATAAAAAAAAATGTAGCATTATTTTTTTTTAAACATTTTTCACGCTTCTCGCGTACTTATATTTTATTATTAATATTGATCAAACATAATATATACTTTAAAGTACTAAAATATAACATAATATTCTTTCTAAGAATATATATTTTTTTTAACCCAAAATATGTTTAATTCTTAAGAAGTCTGTTTCTTTGATCATAATAAAATTATGTAGATGCTTTGCATATTTTATACAAGCGATGAAAGGAAACTTGTTTTGTTCATGTATTTACACCAAAATAATCTTAAGATATCATTGTTGGTTTTTTGTACTAGTAAACTTTGTAACTTTTAACTTAACTAAGTCTAAAAGCTTCGATAAAAATAAATCTCTTATCGAAGAATTGTTCTTCATTGATAAAAATAATATATATATATATATATATATATATATATATATATATATTGATTTTTAACAGGAAATATGAATAATATTACTCTAACAACTCTTCGATAAGAGATTTATTTTTATCGAAGCTTTGAGACTAAAATGATTAAAATTATGTGGATATGAGGTATGTCCAGGAAGTATAAACTAATAAATAATTTATGAAATAGCTAGACGTAACTCTTTAGTATAAAATTAAATGAGAGAAAACAAGTTAAAAGATGATTGTTACTAAACAAAATGGAATTATTGGTGGTATACGTGAGTACCCATTTTGTTTTAGATGTTGTATTCATATTTTTCATCTAGTAAGTGCATGAAAGTAATAAATACAAATCATTATTATGCTACAGTATATGTGTAGTTTTAAGCGGATTTACTATTAAAAAAAAAAAAACTAAACAACCAGAATATAGACCAAACTTGTTGGTTGTAATATAATTATCATTTTAGATAAAATATTTTAAAACGCACTTTTTAGTCAAAACTCTTCTATGGTTGGAATAAAGATTATAAAACGTCGCAAATTATACTTTATACAAGAGTGCAAAGCCTCTGTAGAAAAAATAACAATAAAATATTTCAACAACTTCAAAAGTTTAATCTCCTAAGTAAAATACGCTTTCAAATAAAAACCAAGGGTCGAGATAATCAACATTTTCCTAACGACCACCACCACGCCTCTTCGTTGCTATTATGTCGTAACCGTGTTCAATGTTTCTTCTTCTTTGGCTTCTTGAATCTTGTTAGATTATTATAAAAACAAAACGAAAATCATATAATAATATATATATATATATATTATTATATGATTTTCGTTTTGTTTTTATATGTATATATTATTTTATTATTATTGTAAACGAAAAATATGTGCGATTATCGGTGTTAACGTTTATTTTGTGACCACAACGGTAACACCATTGATTTATATTTAGCATGTTTTAATTTTGCGATTTTGGCTTTTTAATTTATTTAATTCTCGTTATTTTTTATAGGTCGTTGTGCTATTGACAGCCCGTGTCAACAACTCTGCTACGAATTACACGACGGCATTATTGAGTGCGACTGTAAAACAGGATTTACGTTACACGAAGACGGCTATACTTGCACAAGTGCGTGTGCATGATATAAAAGCATAGATATAAATATTGTCATTAAGGCGATTTGTGTTGCTATTTATTCTATTTGGGTAGCTGTAATATAGTAGTGGTAGTGATAACTCGTAGATGTAGTATAATGCCGGGTCGCACCAAATACTATTTGCACAGAGATAAACTCGTTTGACTGAAGTGAATATTAATTCTGTTGCATAAACCATGTTTTAAAATTGTATTTGTTGTTAAAAATATACTTTATCACGAGTTAAATTACACGGTCACTTATCGCTGTGTAAAACCGTATATTATTAAATAGTTAAATTTTGTTATCGATAAATGATGATTTACCAGGCATTCGGTCATAGGCTTCCCTAGATGGTCAGAAGCTCCCAAGTTTCCACAGTGGTTACTGTTATCACAAAATATAAATGTTTTAACTTTCAATTATTAATGCTAAATGAAAGTAAAGTATTACTAAAATTAAATTTTAGTCTAGCATTCCAGCATAACTTCTGGGAGAGATAAACAGATTTCAGCATTAGGAGTCTAGACTGGATTAGATCACCCATTTAAGATCACTCACATTATACATTTTAAGTATGCTAATATTATTTAATGTGACCACGAATTCTTAAGTGTAGCTTATACGCTTTATATATACATAAAAATGTTGTTTACCAATCGTGCACTGTACGAACGAAAGCCCAATTAGCCATAAAGACATAGTTGTAATTGTTATAATCCAATTAAGTCTTCAGAAATGCACAATATTAGTACCTACCTAATATATTTTATAAAACATAAAATACAAAAAAAACGCAAAAATAGCAAGTGGATTATTAGATAATAAAGAAAAAGCTATGCCAAGTATAATTGACTAGGAACAGAACAATTTTAGAGACTTGCAAAGTTTAAAGAATAAAACTACTATAACTATTTATTTCTATAAGTACTTTTCATAAGATAAATTATATATTTGTTACAGCTTAATAGAAGTTTATAATGTAAGAACATATTGATACAATTGAATTAAAAATAAATAAATTTATAATAGCTAATGATGAGTTTCCCAAAATTAACGCGCCTCATCATGCTATTGACATAAGATATATTTTTTTGTTAACAAATATTATTGATGGAGTTGGAAGAGCGAGAATGGGGCAGTTGGTGTTTTGTTTGATAACCCATTCATCAAACAAAACACCTTGTCATTTGAAATAAGAAAAATATGGAAATTGGAATATAATTCCTTTGACTTGCGATGAATTTTGTAATATTGACCACTAGCTTACTAACTTTATTTACTCTTTAAAAAAATCTTACTAAAAATAAATAACGAGTTAACGCCAAAGTAGTGATGATAAGTAATTAAAATAAAAACTATAAGGCTTAACAAAAGTTAGTTTATTATGATGGTAAATAATTTACCAATAGATAACGACAAGTTTGGTGCAACCGGGCATAATAATATTATTAGCAACAGACTGAAACCGTTAATCTGTATATTAGAAAATATTCATAAATAGTCACACTTCGAGTTATACCTATATCATTGGAGTGACGCCAAGTTATTTTTTAAGTGTGTAATGAAACATAACTCCTATACTGAGGTACGCGTTTATGAGGAACTAGGCATTATTTTTAGTTTACAACATTATTATTTCTATAATACTCTACTACTTCCAGACTAGCATTACGTATAATATTGAGAATATAGAGAGCTGTTGCTTTTATATGCAGTGGCGTAAAAATAAAAAGTCGGTCCAGATGCGATTATCCAAAATGGACCTTTCTTATTCAGTTTACACGTAGAAAAATAAAATTAGCTACATGCCTTTAATAGTGATGAGAATCCGAAATTCAGATTTTCACAAAAAACCGCTATTTAACAAATTAAAGCCCTAAAACTCGTTTTTATACAAAACTAGCTAATCACAATAGTTTCCTATATGTTGTTCATTAGTGAACCTCATAAAAAATATTTAATATTATGAGTTTTGTTTGAAACGGATACTCCTTAACAATAAAAATTCAAAAACGATTATCATTGTTTTATATGAAACTTTATTAATAAATGAACATAAATAATATGTTTAAAGGTAGTTTTAGAGAGTAGTTTTTAAAATGAATTTAAGAGCAATGAATTAACATCTCAAGTCATTTGTAATTATAGATTAATTGATAGGCACAGTATGTAGTTATATTTAACAATATCCAAATTAACGGAAATTGTTTTTGAAGTGGACATTAAATTATGATCCCTAACTTTTTAAATATTACCTGAGATTTTTTGGTTCTATAACCGAGAGAATATTTAGTGGAGTATAAGGTAGAAACCCCATTCGAATTTCTCTTTGCTCGCCTTGATCGAAATTGAATACTTCTACTATCAAACGTGTTTTGGATACGTAAATGATTAGGGAAACAAAATATTTCCGCATATAATTAGTTTGGAATATGAATAAAATAAGAAGGTCTACTCAAATTTCAACAATATTTCATATAATTGTGACTTGTTAGCTGTTATGTTCCAAAAATGTTGTGTCAAAGTTTAATTTTAGGGTTTCAATCACTATAAAGTATAAAACGTTTGAAACAAAGGTTGTTCTCTGTCATATCATAAAAGTTATTTAATTACAAAAAAAATAACGAAATAATAAAAACGGCAAAGGACCCTCTAATTTTCAATACAAAACATCAAATTTTTTTGTACAAATACTTTAGTATCACCATTATAAAACGTTATACATCTGCATTGTATATTATTTATTAACCGTTATTAGCAATTTTTACTCGGGTTTTAGAAAGTTTCATGATTCATGTTGTTCCTGTAGAATACCATAAGAAAATAATATAAAATCTGGGCAACATTAAGAACGATTTCGAAGAAAATAGCGGAACTTTTAATCATAAATACTAATATCGCGTTCAAATTTAGTGGGTTGCAGTCGCATTACCTTAAATGTAAAGCTAATACATATTAGCATTTGAGTTTACGCAATTTTTAATCCGGGAGTAAGTACTCATTTTTCAATAAAATTAAATCTTATTCCGGGATTAAAAATCATGTATAAAGTCCCAAGTGTTATAATGCGAATTATCTTTGAAAAAGTTTTGTGCTTGATATAAGTAGTGGGATTTGGTTAACACGGTGTTACATAAAACGAAATTAAATAGTAATAAGTACTAAAATATTGTCATTAAAGACCTCTTTATGCTAATTATTGTCAAACATTAAGAGCTGTAATTTAATGTCAAATAAAATATAAAGCTACCCTGAGGAATATTTTCTGGATAATAGTCATAGGCTTTTTGCATACTTTCAGGTCTTGCCGTTGTTCGGTTAAACGGGCTATTTTTACTCTCGAGAGCGTGCAACATAATAATGCTGCTATATTTTTTAACGATGTTGTAAACTGGAGTGTTAACGATGTTTTGACTTTATTCATAAATATTATAGCTAAACACAAACGGCTTGTTTTAACGGGTGACCGGATGAATTCACATCAGAGGCGCATAAATTATCAGGGTTCTTACGGAATATAGGCGCATAATTATTTCAAAAAACCATTTAAGATGGATTTAAAAATAACATCTTATTACACCAAGCTAAAATGAGAACAACACAAGCTGCGGGAAACCGGGCAGTATCCGGTGTCAGAAGTCACTAGTTTTTGTTTTACCTAAACGGCTAACAAAATACGATCAATTGATATAATATAATTAAAAAAAACAGATAAAATAAATTTCGATTACTAATTATTAACTAATATTATAATTACAGTAATACGATAATTTAGTATTTCGCTATAGTAGATATAATAAGGTACGGTCTAAGTACATGACGTCATTGGATCCAGTATAATCCGGTTGAAGATTATAAATTGTTTTAAAGAAGTGTCTCTAAATTAATACTGTAATCGCTCGCAACCCCTCCCAGCCACTATTGTCTCGGATTTGGCCATAACTCTAGTTTGTGCGTATTGTCGTTGGATCCACCGCATTTTCTGGCATTGTTCGCGAGGTTCAATTGTTCCAATTGTTCGTTTTGTATGTCGAAATCGCACAATCTGCACAATAAAGAATCAAGGGTAAAAAGTTTTTAAGAAACACGGGTCTCACGCATGCCGATCGCTAACCTAACTTCTATACAATAAAATCCATAGTAACACACTCGCCCTCGGTCCCTTACCGTTTGTTGGGATGGTGATGTGTAGACGGGCTAGGAGTCCTAAGGGAAAGGGGATGAAAATGAATCGTTATTAATAACGCGTTCCGATTACACTTTGTGCTCCGGGTAGGTGGTATACGCTAGTGGTTGGAATGATTTTTTTTTTCGAAGAGATAGAAGAGAGAACGAGGAGGATTAAATTTCGCTTATGGTAACTTTAATAATTATTTATATAAATGTGTGTGTGTGTAAAATATGTGTTATTTAATTAAATCCGTATCGCTGTTGTGGACCAATTAAAACGCGAGGGTTGCGTTAATAACACACGGTCGCTCAAAGTTTTCCCGTGGGGTGGCGCCATAAAAATTCGGTAAACCTTTATTGTCCATTGATTGCAACCCGAAACACCTACTACCGCACCTGTGCCGACGACCATCGACCGACCGTATATAACCGTTTAACGGTCCGTTTCCGTTCCTGAAAATATTTTCCTCGTGATTACTGACGACAATAATATAATTTAATAGGCCATTTAAAAAAACGACATGAGTCGTTGTTTTTACAAAACTTACTTTTTATCAATTTCGATACTTATACACGTAGCCACATATTGTATATAAACACTATGTTATTTTTTTATTATGAACCTCTAACCCTTTCAGACGAACCACCGGCAAACGGCTTGCTTATATTAACAACTATGGAAAACTTTAAAATAGATTTTTTTTCAAAATATGGTCGAAATACACTTAATTAGGATTCTAACTGTACAGGTTTCATGTTGATACCACCATTAGCGGTTAAATTACAGTCGGGAACACGAGGTGTTTTATTTCACCTTTTGTGTGTCGTTTAGGACCTATAAATAATGTATGATAAAAATGTAAAACATTTTTTTAACTATGTAGCACACCCATTAGGTGATTTCCCGTGAAATGTCAAACATACCGTGTAGTCATTTGGTAGTGATGTTATTAAATACAATGATAAATTAACTTGAATTTTAATAGTGGTTTTATATGTATATGGTTACACAGAAAACGATTCGGTGACGGACAAGATCAAAGAGTTTGAAAGGGACATTGGACTGACGTTCATCGACTCTAATGACATTGACTCGGAGGACAGCGTTAGGTTCGTCAAACCGTCGGGTCTTACTTCCACTACGGGCAAACCGGCCAAGTGCACCCGTCAATGTGGCGAGGGTGCTTGTGTCTTTGACAGCCATGGCAAACAGGCTTGCCGTTGTCCCTTTGGCAAAACAGGATCCAACTGCCAAACGAGTGAGTATTGAATAGTATTATGTCTATAACGGTAGTTCATTTTTATTTGATTATTTTGAAAATGCTGATACAAAGCCAGCCACAAACCCGTGTCGATTTTACAATGATGTTTTTTTTTAAACGTGTATGACGCTATATCTACTGGAAGCTTGCACCACTGGACCTATTTACATATTCTACTTATGAGGCCCACTATATGACCGCAGTAGGGTAATATTATAAACAAACAGGGACAATATAAATGCAATTTTTAATTAATATACTACAAATTCATATATTTTTCCAGAAAAAGAAAGACATTTAATAGCATATTAAAAAAAACAATCTGCCGTCAAATTTTCATTATATAAACAATTAAAAAATATAACAAATATCACATAATACCAAATAGGTCTCCGGTATCCTTATAACTGAAAGGTTATGTTGCATCTGTATTGTGTTATTATTTATAAGATTAAAGGATAACTAAAAATCCTATTTAGTTTTTGTAGACCGTGGTATAAAAAATCATTTTGTTTCATCTGTGCGTTCATCCTAACTTTTTTTATATGAAAAATTGTAAATTTGACCGAATCATTTGCATTGTTAAAGTAATATAAATATTTTACAAATACAGTTTCTCTATTTAAGAAATTTAGAGCCAATACTATTTTATCTTTTAATATATCAACACCTAATTATATGTAGAAAATTATAGTTTTCTCAAAAACTCCAACGAATCTTTTTCTCTAATTATGTCAAAATGTATGATTTGTATTTTCGTATTTTTTTTTAAACCTTTATTTTGGATTATCACAAAATATAATCATATAATGTTTAGTTTGAGTCGGTTTTTTTTGTAATTGGTTTTACATGTTTTTGTCGACCAAAAAATAACAATAGTATTTTAACAAATCCATTCCTTTCTATATGTTTGATATTCTTAATATTGCCAGCTCGATGAACAGTGTTACATTATCGTCGCTCGGAAAAACTTAACAATTCTGGGAATTCTTTTATTTTATTGGAAATCATCAAGTTGAACTGGGATCTAAAATCAATATTCTCTACCTGTTTAACACGTGTTAAGTAATTTAAACAGTACCGTAGCATCATTATTTTTAACATTGAAATAAAATGACATTGAACGTTATATAACGCACTGATATGTCCATGTAATAATGTTTCTGGATATAGCAAATCAAAGTTGACGGTTAAAAAACCGGTAAATTTTTTTTCTCGGTTTTTCCTGGTTTTGAAGACGAAGGAGTTAACTTTTGCTACTTTTGACCAACCAAAGTACCATCTGCATGCGATTTCGGATCTATAGAGTTCTGTCCACAGGAAAAAAGTTATCCATGTCTATAAATTGTACGCCATGTGTTCCTTAGTTACGCAGGTTTTTCATTGGGAATTGGCCGTATTTATGTAATTCAATAGATACTATGCCATCATGTTAAAAGTGTTTCGACACCACAATGGAATTATTTACCTTTTGATTTAACATTAGGTTTTAAAGTGCTAGTGCGCAGAATAACGAAAGATACCATTCTCGATTCGAAAGAACACATTATTATAAAACCAGTACTTTCTCATCTAAGCTAAAAAAACATCAACTACAATTGCCATCATTCTCGATGTTATGACCTGTAAGAATAAAAAAACGTCTAAAATCATTAATATTTCAGGAGTTGCCTCGATTTAGGATGGTAAAAAGTGGGTTTCGAGCTTTTTAATTTCCAGAATATCAACTTAATAGGATTTACGATAACAGTATAGAGGTGTGTCTCAGAGAAATTCCAGTGGTACTTGATGTATGGTACAAACATTTAAAAACAACTTATAAAATCAATACAGTGACTGACGTGGGTGCAGGGAGGCAGCTACCCCTGGGCACATTCTATTTTAGGGCGTTTTTGTTCAGTTTACTATACACGTTAACATGTAATATAGGGCGCAAAAAAAATGTCTTGCTCCTAGGCGCTTTAGTATCTAGTTACGTCACTGAATCAATACCCTTTTTAAATCCGTTATTAGAACGATTTCTTACATTGGGACTTATAAAAACATTCCTTAAGTACACGCAAAGGTATAATCTATTAAAACCAGGACCTGATTTAATGAAATTAAGGCCAAGTGCACCAACTTCGTTTGAGGCCCCAAAGTCAAAAATTTTCCTGAAAAAAATCTGCAGAGAGTGGAGGAAAAAACGTTGGTAATCAAAAAAGAACTTTTGTTTAATATGTTAAATACTTATCTAATAACTGTACTATAAATACAATTTTGTTACCTACTTGGTTATGTAAATTAAGGATAATAAAGATATAATACTAATTAAATAATATTACAAAATTATACTACATTAAAACATTAAAAATACTTACGAATTTCAATATAATTTAAATTAATTTGCAGTCTTGCATAAAAACGGAAAACTAACTTATTAATTTAACAGTGTGTTTTATATAGTTAAATTTAAAAAAAAAGGATGATACATTTCTTTTTTTTAAAACATTTTATCATTAAAAAGTTTAAAAATAACAAACATTTATTTTTTCACTGCAAAAGTTTCAATTACCGAGTCAAAATTGAATGATGATGTTACAATATACTGTAAAAATATACTGAACTTATATGGATTTGATGAGAAAAAAAATTGTCTGCAGCTTGCGGGGCCTTCAGCATTTGGGGGCCAAATGCAAGTGCACCTTCTGCACTTGCATCAGGCCCTGATTAAAACAGTAAACAGTAGACTTCGATAAAGGTCTAGAAAATAAATAAATGTAAACACTGTTAAGTATTCAATAATTTCATATTATGAAATGAATAGCAACGAAAATTATAACTATAACAATACTGAACCTAAGAATGAATGAAAATATAAAACTCAAATTTTTTATCGTTATAAATATTCTAATACAAAATACAACGTTTTCCCTTTTTTAGGTAGTTTCAGTCGTTCCTACTTATACCATGTTTATGCAACACTTACCTACCTACCTTGTTAGCATAGTTTTTTCTCTCTAACTAACCATTTTAAAGTACATAATAATAAAATTCAAACTTAACTAAGTATAAAAAGTGATAATGCAAAAACTTGAAGTTAAATTGGCCTTAAAACAAAAGTAGTTTACATAAAATTTAGGTGCATGTAACATCTTATATTTAATGCACAAGTGCTTACGCGTAAAGTTTTTACCAGTAGTGCATTATTTTTTTAATTCTCAAGAGATAAGTTTGTAGAATAGTTTTTAAAATAATAACAAATATTCACACTATTTACACACTTTGCGGTTACTCCCATTTGATTAACTTGACTAGTTTGATGTTGCTCATACGAGCAACATCCAACCAGAGCCCTGAAGATGGAACACACAAGTGTTTCGAAACGTTGGTGAACCAGTGAAGATAATCAAATGGACTTAACCCCAAGGTGTGTAAATAGTATAAATATAATACCCAATTCAAGTTTTAATAATTTTTTAACATAATATTTGTTTTAATGAAAACAAATTAGGTTGTACCTACTACTTACCATACATATTTTATTTGAAAAATGCTATCATCCTAATTGTTTTATTTAATAAACTATTGTTTATTGCTTTGACAGATTAACGTATACTAATTCATAATTATGAAGGACTATAATAAAGGAAAAGTTTTTCAAAACATTATCTCACTTTACATTGGACATTTGGAATAAAACTTAAGTTTACATTAGTTGTATTGTTATACTTGTCAACTAGTTTATCAGACGTTTTTAAGTTAAAAAAATAATGCACTTGGGGACATTAATTTTTAGTGAACCGGATTTGAAGAACCCAAGCATTGTCATACATTTTAGTCGAGGTTAAAATCTATAGATAATAACGAACTTTGACATAGGCTTTAAAAATAGGTTCCTTAACCCAATGATTTTATTTCTGAGATAACGCTATAACTTATGGCTGTTACATCCAATATAGGTCATAAAAACATATTTTATACCCTTTATAAATTATAAAATATGGTATAATATGATATAAAAATGATTGTAGAACGTAAATCGCTTCTATAATATATTAATAATAGTTGCCCGAGAATATTCTAATATGTTACAAAAAATAGGATACATAATATAAATATTTGATACTTATTAAATTAAGTTTAAAAATGTTTAGCATGATGACTACAGAATTGGCTATTAAACTTTATCATGTTTCCGAAACGTATAACAAAAATAAATAATACTTAAAAGAAAAGAATATAACTCAATATAACTGATTTAGAAAACATAATATTGAGTGCTGATATTTTTTGTTTCCGCAGCTGTGATTTAAACCGTTGGGGTTCAAATTGACAATTTTCAATCTATTTATTTTTCGTTAATAACCTATATTGAAATATTTATGCACTATAGCTAAAATGTCATCTACATACTTAAAATAGATTTTCGGAAAATTATTGTGACTATTTTTAATACATATTTTGAACCTATTAATGAAAGTTTTTGCCAAGAAATATGATAAAGAGGACTCATTGTTGTGTCTTCAGTTTGTGTAAAAAACTCATTCTGAAACTAAAACACGTTTTCTCATACATCATTTTTTTTGTACTAAAATACTCCTACGTACAACTTCTGTAAAGTGTACTATTTGTACGACAAAAGTTATTTTTAATATTTAATTATTTTGTTACTTAACTATATTATATTATCACGAGTTTTGCGCAGGTGTTTTTTAGAATATATAACAATTATTGTTAATTCATGTTATTTCATACGTATCATACAATTTACCTCCACAATAGAAATCTAAATATTGCTGTGGGTTTTCAACGTCGAAATGTATGAAATGAAGCTCCTTCAAATATTCATTCGGTTTCATTTTAAATTCTAACGTCTCCTATGCGTGTTACACTTAAATATTTCAAAATGAAATTCGATCCATTCGAGATTCTTGTCCCACTGAGCCGCAGGGATTAGGTTGGGTCGACAGCTGATTTATCAACTATATTATAATAAAAAAATATGGCATAACGTTATTTAAATTTATTTTTAAAAAAACTAAAGAATTAAGAGTGTTTCACACGAACACATAAAATATAAAATGTTTTAAAAATAAAAATAATGTAGGTCCTATACAAATGACCGAGTTAATCCGCGTTTTAGGGTTTTAGAACGTTCCTATTACATTAAACGGGACATCTAAAAAGGTTTAATCTCATGGCGGTAGATTCAGTTGACAATGTTGAAATTCAAAAATAGATTTACACACTTACAAACTTTTTTAACGATACGGTCATATATATTTTCGAAAGGCATTCGATACCGTTCATCATAATAAACTATTGTTGCTATACTTATAATCTTTTGTTTTCGTGAACCAAAGTAATCATGGTTTTTTTTTATTTCCAAGAAACAGATTGCAGTGAGTTAAGATATTTGGAACTAGATCTAAAGTTTGTCCTGCTATCTTAGGCATGCCACGTCGTTGCTGTTTTCATTATTTGTCAACAATTCAGTACAGCCCAGCTGCCTATTTTGTTTAATGTTTTGCATCCATTAAATGTTAATTTAAAATTAAACATAGCTAAATATCAAGAATAAACATATTTGGATGGCATATTTAGCTATTTTTTGTATACTCTAATAATGGTATTCCTCTACTTGTGGTTGACACGAGTATGCGTGATCAAGATTTTGTTAATAATTGTACTCAATCACTTAATCCTTGTACACACATTATCGATGTCACATTGTCGTCACATGCAGTGTTTCGGCAGTAGTTTCTCGCTGTAATATTAAGTACAAGGCGTAGACACTGCTTGATGGAATAGGGGCCAAATGAGCTGTAGTGAGCTTAATTCCCAATAATACACTCTTTTCATCTCATACAACGGTCATACCCTCGCCGTGATAAACCAGGCCTCGGATGTATCATACGCTAATCCACATTGCACCATTGTTTCAACCAATGTAATAATCACGGAAAAATGACCTACACCAAATGGTATTTAATTTACTTTTGTTGTGAACCAGCTCGTTTTATTATAAATGAAAAAAAAAAAGAATTATTTAAATGAAATTTATGTATTGGTCTGCCCAATAATTGTCAATAATTGAAATATAATATTTTTACACTTTTTTTTTTTTAATACTTACAATCTGTTAACTCAAAACAATAAGAAAACTTGAAAACATAATACATTTGAATGGCTTGAAGAGGGGGCTGTTCACTAACGGCACCTCAGAATTTAATAAAATAATAATTAAAAAAATACTTAACCATAAAAATTATATACTCTCCGCGAATACGAACGATGTTGTCATCTTCAGCGCTCACGACAGACTGAGTCTATACTGAGTTATATTACATATAAGTGCTCAAGTTTTTTCTAGACCTCAGAATTTATCTTTTAATAATGTTGTAGTTTGTATAACATACAAAAAATAAAAAAAGAGTATATTATACTATTTTTTTGTAATTTCCATTTTTTTTTATAAATCCTGACACCAATTTCTTTTTAGACGACGTTGGATATTGTCAAAGTTGGCTGTACCACACAATTATAGTTTACGTATTGTCACTGCAAATTTTATAATATCATATTGATGTATTGGTTATAGTGTTTTTAACAATAATCTCTTAGGCAAAATCATTACACACAAAGATGCTTAGTGGAATGCGTCAATCTAAATGAATGTGTTAGAATGATATTAATTCCTAATATTAAAAAAAAATGTTAACCTTAACGTAACGGTTATTACCTTAATATGTGTAATATAAAATATTTAAAAGGAACGTGGAAGTTGTATACTTGTCTCCAGAGATTCAATATCTTTTGGTTCAATGGCTTAAAAACGTTTACAACCTTATACATGAACTACACTACATGTTTGTATATAACATAAATCACCAATTGAATAAGTAGTTAACCTAAAATTATTCGGTTTGTTTAAACACTTTTTTTTTTTTAATTATCATATTTGATAAGATGTCACGGGCGTCATTTCTGGTCTTGCAGATTTCTGGCAGCAATATAATATTATGTATACTTATTGCGTTTATTGACTGTTCGGTAGCGCATGTCAGGTCATACGTGTCAAATCAGGTGTAATGAATTGACTGAATCAAAATATAGTCATCAGAAAAACCGTTGCCTTGATAACCATTAATAAGAATACACTTGACGATAAGAAGATAAGAGTGTTTTATTAATGGATTCTATAAAAACCCAAATCCCTGTATAAACTCTTTTACTTTGTCATCAATAAACCAAATATTACACTAATAAATTGTTTCCTCTCTCACTAGTGAACAGTATATGTACTTTATAATTGCATTATATGGATTCTCTCTTATTATACCGTTCCCTATCATAAACGTTGAAACGGGTAGTATGCTTCTGCACTATAAATGAGGGCCAAAGTAGCTTTTGTGTAATTATAACTGTTATTTTTTTTAAACTAAATTCTAAATGATATTCATTTATTTTATTTTAAGTAAGACCTTATAATAATATTGGACCTCTATGGTTAAGAATGGGATGTCGGACACCTTTATGCCCTTTTTTTGAATTTGCACTTTTTGTCCAGAATGTCTCGCCACGCCTATTTTTCGTATTGTCATGATTAGATACTATATAACTGAATGTTTCTTTATTCTACATTTTTTTATCAATATGAGTGTTATAGGAGTTGGCGAAAATCGGAAGTGAAGATAAAAGCTAACCTAACCTAACCTATCTGTTGGGCATTGATACTAATAATAAGTGATTATAAACAAGACTTTTTTCGGTCCGTGATTAAAACGTCGGGTCGGCACGTGACCTCGTGTAAATTGTGAAAGTTCAACAGATTCGTGACAAATGTGTTTTTGACCCGAACCTAAGGGGCTCGCGTGACCGCCAATACTGGTGGCGTGACCGCACCCCGACACACACCCCGGATGTTTATGCCGACCACCCCAGAGGGCCCGCCTTTGCCACGAAACTTACAATCGTGCCTTTAAAGTAACATCCATTAAAATATATATATATATACCGATACTATGTATATAGGTTATAGTAGGTGTATATTATATTATGGCCGGACATCAAGAAAGATCTACAGTTATTTTATATGGTGGTACGTGTGTGCGGGTTATACAGTTGCAGTTTGCCGGCCCTATGTAACAACGGCGAACGCTTCGGTTCCGATAAAAGTCTGCACCTCCGATAAATTAACTATTTTATAGCTGCCTAATGTACGATATTGCTGGCGGTAAAGTTTCAAACCGAACTCGGCAAGCACTTAATAGGTATACAAAATGGTCTAGACTCCGAGAACTTGTTCGGCAGTTTATTACCAGCAAACACCGTCTCCGTAAATTTATAATTACCATATTATTATTACAGAGGGTAGGTTGTATAACCATAGTTATAAAATAGCCAATATACTGTTGTAATAAGCAGGGCTGTAAGCGAGTGGCTTAAACCTTCGTGTTCAACTTACCGAACGTCGTGGTTATAAGCACAAGTCTATTGCGTTATCAGACCTAAAAGTCAGAATAATTGTACCTGCAATTAAAATTACTCGATACTATTATTATTTTCAGCTTTCAATAAACACCATTTCCACTTCTTCTTAAATTATTCATATTATCAAATGCAGTGGCGTTAACGCCAACTATACTAAGGTCAGACCTAGCTACCTTTTACATTTTTATTAAAGTTTTAAACGTAAAAAATCTAATCAATTTTAAAAAAGTTATGCTAATCATAATGAAGTATCGGTTCGGTTCACAATTTCTGTTTGATATACAATAAATCGGTTCACCGATTAAAAATATATAAAATTCGTCGAAACTAATTATATATTCTGAACGAGTTTTAAATTTGAAATGTGTGCGATTTCAGTCATAATTTGTCAACATGTAATGCAGTAAACTAGGCTTTAAGATAAATTGCTCCAGAAATGAAACATTATCTTGTATAATGATTTTAGAGTTTTGACCCAAAAAACAAATATTTACTGTAATAAGTAATACCCGAAAGCTAAAAATTAAGCTATAAATCCCCTAATAAATTAAGTAGATTACCTACAATATAAACAGTTAGATGATAATAAAAGTGCATCGTTGGCTGTAAATGGACAGATAGCTATTTGCACTCCCTATTACGCAAATAAATACAGTCCACACCATAACTTAGGTTTAATAAAATAAAAATAGCAGAATAAAAATATAATTTTCTTCTGTTTAATGCGTCATAAAACTGTATGAAGTTTTTAAACTCTACTCATTAAGTACGAAAAATTTTATTTCTTTACGTCTCGTCCCGCAATATTATAAATTAAAGCACCGCAAATTTCCCTGCACGCCGAGTCGTTGAACCGCAAAATATGCTAATAGTGTTAAGGTGCTAATGCTAATGATTATAATTGTTTAAAGGATTAATGAATATAGACAGCAGAACGCGGTAAAATAAACGTTTCCTTTTCCAGTTTCGCGTCTGACATTTTCACAATGCATTTTACACATTAACATTATTAGGTATCTTATTGTTAGCGCAAAACCAAACAAATGATATTGTCCGCTCAACCAATGTACATTTTATTTTGCAGCTAATCCAATCAGATATCCACGGTTTAACGGCCTTGGTTGGCTGGCGTTCCCGCCACTTCGTGGGGCCTACAAGCACGTGCAAATTAGCTTAGAGTTCAGGCCAGAGAGCTGGGACGGCATATTGTTCCTAGCTGGCGAACGAGACGATTTGGTTGGAGATTTCATGGCGATTCTGCTTCACAACGGTTTCTTGGAGTTCAGGTAAAATACTAAATCAACGTTGAAACTATTCATATCGTATAACCGTTGCTGCTTAATGTAGATTCGACTGTGGATCCGGATTGGGAGTAGTCAAGTCCGAAGAGACGGTCGTTTTGAACGAGTGGAACACATTGTCTGTATACCGGCACAGGTGGGACGCGTGGATTCAATTGAACCAAGGAAAACGCATTGCTGGCAGGTCCAAAGTAAGTTGATTTATAACTGACCACAAAGGCTATGTTCAATATAGAATGATGAAGTGTTATCATTAACAACCGACCAAATTCCCATGTATCTTTTTAAAATCGGGAAACCAGAAGAAGCCATTGAAAAAAAGAACCTTATGTCAACAAATTTTAGCTAATAGTTATTGTTTTAAGTTTAAACTTTATGAAAAATTGCCTACACAAACATCTCTAATAAATAAATGTTGTGTGGGAATTATTCTCTTAATGAAAAGCTTAAATATTAAAGCCATTACGACTCTTCACACAGTTAAAAATTTTAATTAACGTAGATTCGTTTATACCCAGTAAGTTTTTGAATAATAATGATATTATGTTCTCAACAGATTATTCTAAATTTATATACTGAAATATATTGACATTTTTATTAACATAGATATATCTTATGGCTGGGGTCATTCTGAAAATTTGCGACATGTTATACTAGGATATAACCATATATATATATAAGGATAGTTAAATGAATTTGTTAGGTACTTTACTATCATCATATATCGGAAGGAGATTATAAATCGGAATTAATCTTATAATTATTTAGTTTTTTATAATAACTAAAGCTAGAGCTTTTAATGAAAAATTAAACATACTTAAATAAATATTTAAACATTTTTGTACAGTAATTAAAAATATGTATTTATTATTAGTTATATGTTTCAATATCTTCTCAAATTTTGCCAAATTTTGTCGTACAATAAACCTTTGTGCTTTATATAAAAATAGTTTAAATTTTATAAATGCAGTTTTTTTTTTATTAGGATTAACATTTTATTAATTTAGTTTTGCTAAGCAGAACTAAAAAATAAAGAAACGTCTTCATATTTTTTCGTTAAATTAAATGTACTTAATTGTCAACTTACGTTCAATTATAAGCAGCCTGAGGCTTTACGACCCCAAAAAATTCAATTAACTGCTTCAGCTAACAATTATGTAAATGCCGGTTCCCTGAACATTTTCTTTTAGACAATTACCTAGTCTAAAGTGATGTCTCGACAGTGTTAATATATTTAATAAATGGTTAAAATGTTTTTTGATACTTTTTAAAAGCTGACTTTTCAATTTTATTATTTAAATATACACGAGAAATGATTAATGTCGCGGCAACACTTCTTGCGTTTTTTTTATTATAATTTACGACGTTAAATGTTTTTTTTTTTAAAGGGCTTATTTTCACGGATCACGTTTCGCGAACCCGTGTTCATAGGTGGTTCGGGAAATACATCCGGTTTGTCCGAACGTTTACCCACTGACCGTGGGTTCGTCGGCTGCGTTCGACTGCTGCAGGCCAACGACCATAGATACGATTTTGGCGAGGCACCAGCCGGTGATACGGTCAAATCTCGAGGAGTCGGTAAGTGCATAAGTACACATATAATAATATAGTATATTGTATTATGGCGAGGATAATCGTGTATCGCCTTTAAATCATAATAAGACAATGCACGCGAAAGACGGGAGAGAATATTTTAATTAGGGTCGAGTTGGGCAACGCCATTTCAAAACAATTACCCAGTAAAAGCTTCCGCGGATCCACCTAAAAGTACCTACTCTTTTACACACTTTACATGGCCGTTTTTTCATTGCGACAAATCGATCCACAGTGGATCATCCACTTGAAATTAATTTTAAAAACTTGATTGATTTGCTGTCGTCTGAGCTGTTGTTATGCGGACTGCAGATTGAAAATATTATTTCTCCGCTGTACGCATTGAATACGGCGTAATGGTTCGACTAATCCGGAAGTGCACGAGGTTCATTTGAATATCGGCGTGTAATATAATGTATCGATTTATAAGCGTCGGAGGGAAAATATTTACCTGCTCTCTTACTTGTCTTTTTTCGCAAAGACACCCGCTGGAAGACGGGACGGGACTTAAAATATTCACGACGGTGCGGTAGGATAAACGTGACCGAACTTAGAGAAACCTTGCAGCCAGAAAAATATAATAATATGTACACTCATCTTAAAATATTTATAATATCGAGGAATATACCATAACAACGGACGGGATAATCTCCACCATAAACTTTGCAGAATCTCTAAACTGTTTAATTTGCGAAAGACTATGCGAGAGGGGGCGGCAATGACGAAAAGTTTTCCCGGAACTTACATAATATTTCAACGGTGGTGTGTGCAGGAACTCGACCGAATTATAAACCGTATAGAACACATATGGGGCGCTCGGAAACTCCACGGTAGTAATTACATATTTGTTTTAATGTGTTGTTTTCCGAGGTGCAGAAAAACTTTAGTGATGCTGCGAAAGCGCGTTTATTTCCCACACGGCTAACCACATATTATATTTATAACAACTATAAGGATTAAACAACGACAAGCTCGGTGATGGTTCTTAAAGTCAAACAAGCGAAATAGCGCGATTTAAAAATTATCCAGCACTCTGCCAGAGATTTATTGTCAGAGCGTGTTATACACAAAAAAAAACATACATAATGGAAATATTTCAATAGCAATATGTTAAAAAGTACAGAAATTGAGTATTATATATAGTAAACAAATTACAGTAGTAGTTACAAGGGTCCGGAAATTGTTCTTAAAAACTTCCTATCCGATATAATTTTTTTCCGTGACAAATAAACTTGTTTGTTCCGGAACAAAAAGATGAAGAAAAATTAAAATCAACTTTGAAGTAAACAGAGTGATTTTTTTATCGTGAACCTTTTTACAATGTGATCTAAATTTTCCACAAATATTTATATTCTTACCCCCCAACCGAATTAATTTTTTTATATCAATTTTTGGAACTTAAACGGTAACGCATACATTTCAATAAGTTTTTTAATTAAGAATAATGTACTAAACATTTTGACTGGTCAACACCAGTTTTGGCTAACTATTTTTGAAGTTTAAGTTTAGGGCAGGCGTAAAGGTGAATTGTAGTATTATTTTTATTTGCGCGCACTTCTTCTCTCGTCGTAACTTTTCAACTTGTATAACTTCAAAAATACTTATTCAAACTAGTTATTAACCAGACGGCATTTTTAATTTAAAAATAAAATAAAATATATACGTTACCGTATAAGTTTCTAAAGTTGATATAAAACTTTAAATAGTTTTGCAACCCCCCCCCCTTTATCCGCTTAAGTGTTGATTTTGGAAAATCCTTACTTAGCGAATACCAACGTCGTAAATACTGTATAATAATATATTAGTATACTTACAATGTGTCTATAATATCTATATACAGTATGGTTATATTATAAATGATTACAACGTGTCAAACGACTAATTAAAATATGATTCTTTAAATAAAAATAAATATTTGTTTTTTATCGTGCAATAAATTCAAATGCGATAATGAGTGTATTAATTATAATCGAATTATTTGAAAGAATACTGCGTTATTTTTGTATTTCAAATAATGACACGATCGATACAGGTTATGGTAAAGGGGTAGCTGCTGGTTGAACTTGGAAAAAATAAATAAAAAACAATCACTGAAGGCAAAGTTGTATACTAGGGGTAGGGTATATGTTTATTAATGTATAAAGTTAATAATTAACCTGGAAACGACAACAACGCTGAGAGAGTGCAAAAAAACGGCACAGATCAAAAGCGTTCAAGGTAGCGAAATACCTTTAACGGCAAAGCAAGAAGAACGGGTGTATACCAGCACCCCTTCTTGCTTAGCACATTCCACCGATAGTAATTAATTTTCCAGAAACCTTCATTGCTATCGAGTGTTTGCATTTTATCATTAACTAATCTGCTGGCACCGAGCGTTAGAACTGTAAATAATAATAAATGACCAACCAGAAGAAACAACCGATTATTTTTCAGATTCTTCAGCGAGACGATAACCATGAGTTTACTTTTTATTTTTGCTCCTTTTGTAAATAACATTTCTCCTGCTGATTTTTTAAATTTTATTTAGACAGCAGATGTGAGTACTTTAAAATCGAGGACCTGTATAAAAACTATTGTAAAGCCCTGTTGACATTCAATAATAATGCGGACTAATGAAGCTATTTCCAGAAAGCTTTACTAAGCAAACTTTCCAAAGTTAATTGATCTGACACAAGATCCAATAATGAATTTAGACGACAAGTTAAGTAGAGCTTAAGAGAAACTTAATCCAAACACGTTTTAATGCTGAATTAAACACCCATTGATAAATAAAAACAATATCTCATCCAATAACATTTAACAAAAATAAAATTACCAAATCAATAAACTCATCCCGTTCATGTCAATAATGTATCATTTAGTCATGTGGTAAGTTAAAAATGATTTAAAGAGTAATTAATTTAAGTTAACAGTTCAAAATTAATTTAAATAAAAGTTGTATTCTATGCAAACTACTGATGTTTATTTTTTTTACTTACAACATTAAATAGTACTACAATATTTATAAGAGCTGATACTTAATAATAATTATTTTATCATGGTAGAAAATGTTTTTGTCATAAATTAAATGATATGATTTTTTTTACAAAGGCCTGATTTCTTCATTTTTAGAACGATTTAAGATATTGCAATAGTTGGGTATTAAATGTATCAATTTTATTTACTTATTTAATAAACTGTACCTATATGTTTAAATCATATAAACTAAAATATATAACGAATTTTTTCAAATAAGTTGTTTGTTATTAGGTATTCTAGAGATAATTCATTACACACACACACCAAACACTGCGGAAATCCGATAACGTCGTTTCGTTCTGTTTAAAATTATACTTAGGGACATCTTATTTATGTCTATGAAACTTGAAATTAAGTTTGTAGAGATCTTGCAGATACAGATAATCCCATTTCTCAACTTGATAATGTACATTTAATCCTATTTCTTCATATATTTTATTGTTAAAAATTAAATAAAACAACAATTCACTCACATGGAATGTAATTTGTTTAAAATATACATATAATATATAAGTAAAATTTTAGTAATTTTATCTATTCAACAGTTGTAATAATTTACTAAAATAAAGAGAAACCTCATTGTTGAAAACAAAGTTGGCCATAACCAGTTAAGTCAAATTTCAGAAAAAAATAAGAAACCAAATATGTTGTACTCGGAAAAAAATTGATCTACACGCATGTAAAACACTTGAACAATATGAAATTTGAAATAAATTAACATTTTATACGCTATTTTGAAGTTTTAATGAATTTAAAGATACAATCTACGTTTTAAAACATCCCCTAGCTGTCGAACAATCGTAATAGTTCAATTTTTTTATATCTATCACAAAATGAAGGGTCAATCATAATTCATATTTTAGATGTCGTTGTATCGAGTTCGTTTAAATAAAACGTCGTTTGATTTACTCGTCGAGTTAGGTCATCATAACATAAGAAAGAGAACACCCAACGTCAGACGAATAAAAGAACACTGCACGATAGTAACTGACGCGAGGGCAATGCAAAGTTTATCCGCATGATTTGTTTTTACAGAGGAATGTTCGACGGACAGGTGCACCAGATCTCCTTGTCAGCACGGTGGAAAATGCGTTACATCAAACAAGACGTCACTCTGTCTATGTCCACTGGGATACACCGGAGATTTGTGCGAGACTATATTGGATTTACAGGTAATTGTCTACGTTTTGTCCCGTACAACAACCTTTGAGTTATTGTTTAACCCGGACGAAACAAAATTGCAGTGGTATATCCACTATACTGGTGTGTATAGTGATGTCCACAGTCCATAGTCTTGTTAATTAGTTTCTAAAATTGATTTTACTTAAGCTCTCGTAAGTATAATTAATATTTTATGTAATTTTACAGGTGCCGTCTTTCAATGGATCCAGTTATTTGAGGCATCCAGCTTTGGGCGATACAGCTTTGTCGTGGCTCAATTTGGACATATCGTTCAAAACTCAATCATCAGATGGACTCATATTGTACGAAGGATATCAAAAATATGGAACAGCAGATTTCATAAGCATTTACATGATCGGCGGTTACTTAGAATTCGCGTATAACCTAGGCACGGGAACGGCTTTTTTAAGGTACACGAAATACTATAATAGTAATTGACAATGATTATATAAATACTCATATTTATAATCAATGTCAATGGTAAATTCAATTTTGTCTCATTTCGCCTCTAGATACAATATCAACGATAAAAACTTAACAGCTTTTCAAAATTTTTAATATATCACTTAAAGACTTACAATTTAACCGAACAAAGCGGTAATAATTATTTTTGTTGAACTACAACGCATTAAGGTGGTGGCACTTTTAGTACTTTGGTATAATACACGAGTAGAAAAGGATTATTTGTGTAATTACAAAAAACTGTTGAAATTAAATTAAAACTCCTTCCTACAGTTATATATACCCACGGCAGTTTTAAAAACAATGTTGTTAAGGCTTAATGTTTTATAAAGAACACCTTAATTGAGTTTAGACCAAAACCCTAACATACATTTTCTCGCCAAATAATTACAATTTCGTAGTCGTTCTTTTTGAAATATTTGTTTTTATGTTATTTCAAAATATCATACAATTACCAGATATTTACCTTTTTATGTATTTTCCAACTTTTTAAACTTAAAGGGTAGCGTATGTATTTAATTAACTTTTTAAAATGAGAATAATTGGCTAAACGTTTTGACGGTTCGATAACCAGTTTTGTATAATTACTTTTAAAATTATTATTAAAGTATAATATTTAGGACGGATGGAATGTAATATTACTTTTTATCTACGTGCGTTACTCAACCGCATTCTACTTGCTGTCCTAAACTTTAAACTTTTATCATTTTTAACAGCGTAATAAAAAATACCAAAAACGGTAAATACTTGTTATTTATATAATATATAATATTTTACCCTATAGAAACAGTGATATCGCATAATATTTCTTTACAATAATTACAAGTGAATTCAACTTTCCAATCGAAAAAGTAACTTTGCAAAATATATTTTTTTTATAAGGCATTTAATTTTGTCGAATTAATCTTTTTTCATTACAAATTAAACACCATTAATTTGACGTTTAAACAAATTAAATTATTTTATATTATATGCTTGTATTTATGATTTTTTTTTTTTAATGTATCGTCGATCCTATTTTATTATACGGTTGTATTTTTTATAATTATGTAGGAGCACAAAGCCAATTACTTTGGATGAGTGGCACCGAGTGTGGATATCGCGAACGGGACGACTAGCAGTCATGCACATGGACAATCAACCGCAAGTACAAGTAAGTCGAAGTGGTTTTTAAAACAACTTTGAAGTAGTCGGTTTGCTGCCAGTAGGCAATTTTGAGTTATTTTCACTATACTGTAGACAAGACTAATACCAAACAATAGTTATATAATTTTTAAAAAGCAAATTACTTATAAATTAAGATGCTTAACGATGTTTCCCTAAACAATAATAATAACTATATCATAGTATTTTATCAACAGTGATCGCCACATTTAAATATATTCAATTAATCAATAATAATATATACACTATTTTATACTAAAAGATATAGTAAAATTGAACTAGAACTCAAAAGTACATAGGATATTGAACTCGTATTCTGAATGTTGAATTTTTTTTTTAACATTATAGCTATAGTAAAAAACCCGCATGGGAATTGGGTGTTTACAAATAACATATTTTCGTTGTTGTTACAAAGTACACCGGGGTTAACGTGTAATTTTGTATTCAGGCCATGTCACCGGGAGCGTTCACTCAGCTGTCGTTACCTCTGAGCATGTACATCGGAGGCATACCGGATTTCGGAGTGGTGCCGCCGGACGTGAAAACCAGAGCTTCGTTTAAGGGCTGCATTCAAAAAGTAAGTACAACCGCACCATAGGGGCTATGGGAAACTTAAAAAAAAACGTTTCGTCTCAAATACATGCTGAGGATGACTTTTTATCGCGGCGACCAGACAACAGCCGTAATGATGTACTCCCGGATAGGTTTTACCGGTGTATATTGCGGGGTCGGTGCTACTTTTCCAATATAATCGGGTTGCAGATGTTACCGGACAATCCGGGACAAACGGGCAAAAGTCAACGGCGTCGTATCTCATATTATGTGTAGAAAACATATAATATTGAACATTTGACGCTACCGAAATTGACACCCCATTTGGTACCTAGTTATCGAAAAATGTCTCTCACCTACCCACACACTGTTTTCTGGTTGTTTCTACTTGTGTGGGCGAACGACAAACGTGAAGATATGCTATCGATTCAAAAAATAACAATAAATTGAATGTATATCTCATTTTATAAGTACGCACTTTTTGATATTGCCTTCGTTTTTAACCCTACAAACTATCTCAATGTTCTTGTGAAATTGGATACTTTCCATTATGGTCAGATTTTTTATGACAAAATTCTTATATAAACGCCACCTAAGACGGTAGTTTTTTCTCGCGTTCATCTATATAGTGGGTAATGTTTCTGCCAGAAGTCAAATAAACAAACAATTTCCCCGCGGAAAAATTTATCAAAAGCGTTCGTAGGATATAATATACTGTGTCACAACCAAGTTTCAACAGAAAAACGTTTACAATTAAAAAGTGCATGTCCAAAAAAAAATTGGTTGAGTTATATTTGAACGTAATAATGCATTTTCCTTACTCCGTAATTAATGTAGTTTCAAAATAATTTTTAAATTGCATTTCTCTTATGATAAACTAAAAATCACCTCCATAAAGCCAATATTTTAGACACGAGATATTGGTATTCCATAGTTCATAAATCAAATTGTACATAATTAACGTTTAGTCAATGGATTTTAGTAGTTCGATATGTTTTTACAACAATAATATATAATCATGGAACATGTCAACTATAAAAAATAAATAACGAAAAGTAAAAGCCAAGAAGGTCTTACATTAAAAAAAAAAAAGTTACTTTATGTAAAAGCTTCTGATTTTTAATTTAATAATATACTAGGTTGACAAACGTTTGTTTAAATTTTAACGGTTCCTTAAATTGTTGTTTATTGTACACAGAACTGAGTTAGTCGGGTATTACATTCACAATGATTTAATTGTCTGTACTGTATAGGTTTTAGGCTTGAGAATCGAATAAAAATATTACTACATTTTCTATTTTTTTTTATAATTCACAGATAGTGGTCAACGAAAAACAATTGCGAATCGTACAGGGTGCGCTTTCGGGGGCAAACATCGCTAACTGTCCTCATCCATGCGTGGCAAAACCTTGTGGTACAGGTGTTCAGTGCATTCCTGTATTCGACAAATACAAGTGCGTTTGTGACAAACACTGCAATTCGACCGAGAGCGACCAAGTGTCGTTCGACGGTAGCTCGTTCGTCCATTACACCAGTGCGGAAATACAGAAGAGGTGAGCAGCTTAACGTTCTACCAAAACATTTATTTCACATTGCTTCCCGTTGGCCATAACAAAAAAAAAAAAAACATTAAGATGAAAAACTTTATAACCATACAAAATCTAAAGCATGCACCAATTAACAAACACAAAACGAATCATAGCTTGTAGTTTAAGAGGGCGTCGCACCGCCTATTTTTAAGGAGTAAAGTATAGACAATTTTTCACAAAATCTTAATTTAAAGGTTAAACTGTGATGTGTAATTATTAGTTCAATAACTAGGACTCTATTTTGGTAGTTAATTTATTTTTCGAACTATCACAGCATCCTTGAAAAAGATTTTAAAATGTTTTTTCATCTCTACATGTTTAAGAAGACTGAAAATAACTCACTTAATTTTGGTTTTTAAGTAAAAGCACCCATTATAAAATTAAAAGAGAACAATATTCCGGAGGGCAAGACGGTACGTTTTTTTCATTATTCCAAGTAAAACGCTCAATACATAGTTTAGAAGTAACGAATATTTTAATATTTTTAAATAACTGTAACTTTTCAAAAAAGTTTTTTTTTTTTAAAACGCACCGTCTTGCCCTCCGGAATATTGTTTTCTTTTAATTTTATAATGGGTGTTTTTACTCTAAAACTAAAATTAAGCGAGTTATTTTCAGTCTACTTAAACATGTTTTTACCACTGAAAATCACCGGTGCGACGCCCTCTTAAAAACAATTTGTTCAGATATTCCGATAAAATCGCTAAAAAAGAAATTAAATTTAACGTTAAAAGTGCTTTTTCTCAAACAGTAAATTTAAAAGGACGTTTCAAAGATAAACAAATTTAATATAAATATTGATTAGAAATTAAATATAACTGAAATATTAATTTATGTGTTATCGTTTACTGTTTATAAATTTAGTATTCTAATTGTCAAGAACCATGTGTAGGGCACAACAAATCTACACAACTGCAAATATTTCTCCTGGAAATGTATAAAATAGATAAAAAAAATTTGAGATAGATGTGTAGTGACTAGTTTTGACAGAATTCGGAATTAGGAAAGAATAATATGACCGAAGAAGTGGGTGAATGTTATAGAAAAAGTTATCGAGATATATGGAGTGGATAAAGAAATAGTATAATGGATTTGTAGAGTGAGCGGATTTGTATGTCTTACCAATTTTCATAGGATAGGTGGAAGAAGAAGAAAAAACATTTACATTATATTAGATAAAGATCGATAATAACATTATACCATAATCACAGCCCGTTATTATTCCTAATACAATTGCTCATGGCACACATATGTTGCTATCGCCTTCAAAAGATTAAACACTCGGCAGCCATCGCGATACACATCTTTGTTGTTTACGATTTGATCTTTTCATATAAACTTTAACACTGTAAATGTATCTGTACATTCTTCTTCTACCGCTTTTACGGTCCTTGAAGGACTTTCGCTGCCTCCACTACATTCCTCTATCTGTTTCTATCAGCTATGCTGTCCGCTATTGTGTGCACTTGTTTAGATCATCGTTGACCCTATCTACCAGCGCTGTCTAAGGCGACCCCTAGGTTTTTTACCTTTTATTTTTCCTTTCAAAGCTTTCTTTAAAATTCCGTTTGTTCTCCAGACATGGCCTGCCAAATCGATTCGTTTACTCATTACGTATGCATTGATTCTGGGTTTTTGGTAAATTTGCTGTACTTCTTCATTAGAAACATTATTATTAATAATAAGTTTGAAACTTTTGGATGAAACCCTCTTCATTCATAATTAAGTTTCCATCGTGATCCTTGACCATAGAAGTTTGAGCTTTAACACCTTCCTTTATCGATCTGCATTTTGTAAAGAATAACCTTGGGTTGAACCTATGTTCTTTTATTTTTTAGTTAGTTCTTTTTCCGCTGCTCTTTTATGTGCACACCTACTGTTTACAAATTGTAATGGGATAATTAAACCAAACGAACATGTCTGGGAACTATAGCATGGCTTATACTTTTATAATTATATAACAACACAACATGACTTTGTACTTGATTTATGTTTATACTTCGTACTTCGTTATTAATGTTTATTCAAATATGTGTTTATTTACTTCATTTATACAAACACTACGTATAAGTTATAGGTTTTATTTATAATAATATATGAACACATTTATCACAACGCTCTCTTCTATGAAACTGTACTTAAAACAATTATAATTTATACTCGTGAGTCGTGCACGTCTGTATATAAGATAACTGTGCGCGGTACCTAAGGTATTAAAATTAATAATTACAGATTATACTGAACGGTCCGTAAAAATTAGAAAATTAAATAGGTAATCGTGATCAAAAAAAAAATAATAATAATAATAAAGAGTTAAAGTTAGACGTGAAACTATACAATGTTATAACTAGTTATTAACATGTAAATAACTGTGGCCAGGATGAACCTATAGTAGCCAGTTCAGCGATTTATTTCTTTAAAATGGTCCTCAGTTTTTTTTTTTTTTAATGTATTTTCTAAATGAAAACAGCCCCTTGTACAATATTTTATAGACATTTTAATTTTAATCTCTGCCAACTTAAGGAGTAAATTTCGAATTATATATTTACTAACAATGTTTTATTTTTATTTTTCATTACTATTTTACAAAGAATCACGGATGAACATCTGGACATAAACATGCGATTCCGAACGACGGCCCTCAGCGGTCTCATACTGTGGACTGGACGATCAGACAGGTCAGCCGATTTCCTTGCATTGGGCTTACAGGACGGTCGTATCGAGGTGGCTTTCGATTTAGGAAGCGGTGAAACGGTGTTGAGGTATAACACAACCGGGTTGCCAATAAACGACGGGCACTGGCACAGAATGAAGTTCACCAGGTAATGCAATTGTTGTATAAAGAACAATAATAAAATACGATACGGTTGCATTATTAATTTTAACGGTTTTTCATAGAGACGAACGCCTAAGTGCGTTAACAATAGACAATGGAACTAAAATGTTTACCATATCCAACGGAAAATTAAAACAACTCAACACGAATACGGGCCTGTATTTCGGTGTGTAATTAATTATATTTATTTTAACAATTATAGAACGAAAATAAACGTAAACAAAAAATAATATAGCTAGGTTCAACGACAGGGGCGCCGTTTAGGGGGTGGTCATAGGGGCCATGCCCCCCCCCTAGACATTTTACTTTTTGATTTTTGACAGTACGCGTGTCGCCATTCAGTTAGTTTGAAGTTAAATAAGATAAATAAATAAATTCAGCTGCAGTGGTAATTAATGTTTTTTTTCTGTAAAAATAAATATAAGTTAAAACTTATATAAGTACACATTTATGCATATCAAAAAATATTGGCCCCCCCCTGGGCAAAGCACCAAAGCCGCCACTGTTCAACGGCAAAATGTTAAAATCAATATTTATTCTTGATACTAATAAACATTTTCATTTTTGACTTTACCCCCATTCATTTGGATAATATTCACTAGTCTTAATTGTTATAACTAATAATTTTGATAACATTTTGTTTTATACAAATCAATCGTCGTTATATAAGTTATAAAAACAGTGTGCATTATTCGAATATTTGAAGCACAGATTATATTGGTTCGATTTTTTTTTTGTAATTTAAATAAGGATATTTTTTTTTTAAGGCGGTACTGAAGATGTCGAAAAGTCTACGGGGAAAAGGTACAGAAAAGGATTTGTCGGTTGCGTTTCCGACTTAGTCCTGAACACGGATTACCGAGTAAAACTTTCTTGGACCACTGGCGGTACAGAAAATGTTTGCATATCATAAAAAGTAATATGAACGGATACGGTTCCTTATTCCTTCTCTCTCGCACTCGCGCGTTGTGTGTATGTAAGTGTGTACCTTGAGCTTAATACTGTTTAAATAAAAAAGAGATTTTCATACTCGAATAACAATAAATATTGAATTGGTGTCCTAACGTTTGGAAACTACTATCTAGTCATATTTAGTTCAAATTATTTAAATAAATACCGCCTTGTCTTTATACGTATTTAATTATGTGTACCTATATGTATATGCAGGGTATCCCATGCTGTTTTGATAAATGAGAAAATTTGTGTTCTGTTCAATGTTTTTAGCTGGCTGGTTAGTTCTTTGTAATGGACATTAAAAATTGTATTTTAATACTGTTAATTGTAAGTGTATATACATATGAGCTCCTATTGTATAATTGTTATTACAACAACTTAATACATTTTAAATTTATACCATATATGCAAAATTAAAAACAGCTATTTAGCTTGAGAATGATCTATTGAAATTTTGCAGACATAAACTATAGGCTCTACAAGTTATTATGGTTTAAAATATAACACTTCAAAATATGAGCAAATGAAGGAAATCGGTGCTTACAACACTAGCTAGTAGCTATAAAAAATTCACCCAAATTATTAAAGGAATAAATGGTTTTACGACTGTAACATTTTCAGTCTGTTTTAGGTTATAGAGGATTTACTCGCATAAATAGCTAGTTAAAATTTGGCAAGCTAAACAGCCAACTGTCAGAGTTTCAAAACCAATATTAAATTACATAATTGCGATGCCAGAGTATGATACTCATCCTTATGTAAATAATTACTATGTGTATTTTGGAAAAACAGCATGGGAGGTCCTGTATATATACATTTTTTTTAAATTTATATTATGTAAAAAAAATCACACTTCACTATATGTTTGTGTAACAATTGATATTAATTTAAATGTTGTTTATATAATTTGAAATAATACCTTTAAGTACCTTAATGCAATTGATTTGACTGTCCGAATTCAAAACTACATATTATAATAAACTTGTTTTTATAATCGTGAAATCTAAAAAAAGAAGACGTGGAAATTTAACATATCACTCGTGTTATAAAATATGTTTTTAAGAGAAACTATTAAGGATTTCGACGGTATAATGAATACAATTCACCGTACAAAGAGGTCTTTGTCATCCTGATTTATCTGCAAAGTTTCCATACAATAATACTTTACTCAGCTAAAGCAAGTTATAAAAAAAATGAACAAATTTCTCGACCATAATAATATTATTATAGAAATACCTACCCTTGTGTTAATCGATACGTTTTGAAATTGGACTAGTCATAATTTCATAATAGTCAATTTGTTTTATTCGATTGGTTTTATTTACAACAAAAAACTGTTCTAAGAAAATATTTTTCTACGTACTTGTGAGCTTTTTTTTGTGTAACCACCCTTTTTTTGTCATCCAATTACTTTATTTAATTAAAACAATATACATTTGCGCGCGAATCATAGTTTAGCTAAACAAATTATTAAATAATTTAATTTACAAGGTGTTTACGTACATATCTTAAATTTAGAAACAACTGTAGACAATAATCATTAAAATTATTTATTATTAGAGCTCTATTATATTGTAATCACTAATTATATGCATAAAATCATGTGTGTATCTAAAATCATTTTAGATACATTAATAAAATGTTTTTTTTTTAGATGTTAACTTTATCCGACACACGGTTATTTTCGCCATATGATATTCCTTAGATACTTCGTTTTTTATTTTTATATTAGTATAAGGAATTAACACGTCTTGTAACTATTAATTGTAATAAAGCCAACATATTATGTTTGTTCAACTCGAACATTGCGAACATGAGTGTATACCTGTCAATTACTGTGAAAGAAGTAATTGTGTATTAAAAAAAAAGTAGTCACGACTAACAGATTTGTGTCTTTTTTTTTTTAGAGGGGAGTCATAAACAATTTGTTTGGTTCCATTAACTATTATCGGATCAACGCTATTGGTCCAAACACTATATACATGTAAAAAATAGTGTTTTGTACAACCCAGCATTAGTATAACTCAAATATTATTTGACATTTGTGTATCTTTATTATGTTGTACATACAATTTAGGGACTGATTCAAAAATATAAAAAAAGTTGTATTTGCCTTGAATTTATTTATTTTACTCAAAAACCTACTATATTCTCTAAGGTAGAAACAATTAAATTTTAAGAAAGAAAACTGAATTTTGCACGACACTAATATTTTTCCCAAGTGCCTATTGGACCAATTTTGACAAACATCAATAAATTGGTCTTGTTTCTGGAGCCTACCACCCTAAGATCTCATTAAAAAATATTATTTATTTGTCAGCGGAAGATGTTTACTAACCATAAGTTTTGCTTTCTAAATAACATAATCAATAAGTATAATATTGGAAACTGTACATATATTTCAAGTGGAATACACTGTGATGGGAATTGGAAATATTCACATAGTTAAAGACGTGACAAAAAAAATTGGCTTCCTTTGTAGCCATCTGGCACCTACATACGAGATATACCCATACAGTGTCCCAAAAGGCAAAGACATTGTAAAATTGTATTCAAGGTTAATACTTTTCTAGGGTATTGGCAAAATGTGTTCTTGTTAAACATGATTTAGGTAAAAATATATTCTTCTTGTTAAAACAATAAATAGTATTATCTAAAAGTACATACTTGTTTATAAAAAATTGTATGTTACATTTCTTATATATGCCATTAATATAAAATTTAGGTACATAAAACATATACAATTTTTTTATTACAGCATGAAATCAGTTTTAAAATAAATGATTATATTTGAAGTCTTGGTAAATATTTCTTCCACATAATGTCATTAAAATAATAATGATTGTAGAAAAAAAGTATGTAGTTAATGAAAAAGTCACAACATAAAGCAATTTTGGAGAAAATACTGACCAGATAAACAAGTGATTGCGAAAGAACAAGATAATTATTTCATACGTTAATGTTTGAGAAACACTCAGTACACACAATTTGTGTAGTCCTGAAAATCTAAATTCATAATATTAAAAAATATATAATGTTAATATTGTAAAATAAGATTTAAACATTAACAAAAAAATAACATTACTTGTGATCAAGTATTAGGAAAAAATAAACCAGTAGTGGAAGACCAAATGTATGAGTGTAAACATGAATCGCAGCCACGACTAGATTGTAATCAGTTTGCCCAATGAATCCAGGTACAATATCAATCGTACCCACACTATTTGAGTTACCCTGAAAAAGTGTAAATTTTAGCCTGGATGCAGAGCTGAACAAATATTATTAATGGTTTTTTTTTTGTTTAATTATTATTATTGTAAGAAGTACAGATTATTACTATAATCTGTATACATTAAATTCTACAAAAAAAGAAAGTTAAAATTAAAAAAAAAATCCATTTACCTGATAGAAGAAAAAAATTAGCGACAACCAATAGTGAAGTATTGTTATTGTCAAAACACTCCACTTTTCTAGTCTTAAAAGTTTGCACGTGAACACTAAGACATATGGTATCAACATATTATGTGGCCTTAATAAGAGTGCAACTCGTAACAACAACAAAACGATCAACGAACAGACTGAATTATCCCATTTTTGGTTATAGTGTTTGGATTGTATTATTACTGATAAAAGACGACATCCGGCCAGTATATACCAAGCCCAAGACCATGATGACAGAGGAAACACAAGTGCTCTACAAAAATCATGTTATATTGATATTTAACAGGACACACGTAAATAAATCTAATCTTATATCCAGAATATATTTACAGTATATGATGGCCATATGGAGCAAAAACTTCTCCTGTTTCTACTCTGTATACAAAAATGCAGCACAATGTCCAAAAGCATAAGATAATAGATAACACACTTAATAAATCAAATTGATTGTTGCTCAAACCAACTTTGTGTACATCAACACAGGTAATAAAAATACAAATGAGTCCTGAAAATAGACAAATAGTGCATAAATCATTCATTAAAACTTTTTAAATTGTATTTATTTACCCAAAGTCAGAAGTGCCGTCAAATATATTTTGTTTTGTGGTTCTCGGAACCAGTCTCCTAGACTATATAATTCTGACCACTGATTACTAGCATAATTTAAATCTTTGCAGAATCGATGTAACAACATACATATAAACCATTTAATCATTTTTAAATAGCTTTGTTTACTGAATGCACTGTAAATTTGAATAGCTGAAAACCCGGCCCAAAGATGATAGAGAAGTTGGTTTTCTTCTTCAATGAAGCTAGATGAAGAAGAACTGAATACGTGGATCAACATTCCAGAAAGGACATATAAGAAATTAACATTAAAATTACTTATCTGAAAAAAAATGGCATCTTTAAAACTCAATAGTTGAAGAACGTCAATTTTTAATCATAAAAAAAATCTCCAAAAGTGAAATTCTTACAAATTACATATTTATCTATATTATTTGAAAAGTTAGTTGCTAAAATGTAAAATTATTTTGAAACAATTAGAAAAAAAATCTATTTTTTAGTGAATAGATATGTTTATTTTTTATCAAATTTGATACTTATAGAAAAACCTACCACATTATTTATTATTGATAATTAATTTTGGAGATATTTTCCTTGATTTATTTTTAAAATTCATACCACTTTACTAGACGCCACTGAACACACTTGAAAAAAATTCCATTGAAAAAAACTGCTAAAATTTATTATGAACATGGCGGCGATGACAACTGTTAGCATATTAGGTACTAAAGTAAATTCACATACAATACTTTCACATTGTAACCAAATACAGGCTCCCCAACGAATTATCAACATAAGTGCTAAATATTTTATTTTTATGGAATTCATATGTTTGCACTGAAAATCAAGAAGTTTCAACCATACCTAAAATGCAAAAACATTAAATAAGTTTTATGTTTAAAAAAATTGATAAAATTGAAATTGTACTATTTAAAACACTATCGTTTTACCTGTCCAATTAATGTTATGGAGCTAATTACAAGGAATAAGTCAAATTTTCCAACCGAATCAACAAGATAAGTTCTCATACCACTAAGTGCATAATCATATAAATCTATGATTTGAAGCGCATGATCATGAGATGTCGCTTCTTCTTTTAACCAATTATAGTATTGCATTGTGGCTTTGTTATAAGCTTTTATAAAATCTGTAAGTAAAATTTAACAACATTTTAAATCATTTTGCTAAAAAAATATCCTATAAATTTCAACAAACAAAATACCTGTTTTTAAAGAACCACTTTTTGCAACATAGTTTTTATATACTTGTTGTGCATTATAATGATACGCATAGAGTATTTCATTAACGTTAAGATGTCCCAAAACATTTTTTATAATTTTTCCTATATTCCCTGAAGGTATTGGTAGACCCATAATAGCAGAAAGCGATGGAGCAAAATCAATTTGCAAAACTTCCCCTCTATATAAAAAAACATAAAATACCAAGAAATTCACACGAATAGAATAATATTTTTATTAGAATTCTTACTCGATTTTACCACCACAGTTTGTGTTTTGGATGTTTAAAAACAGTGGTACTACTACCTCACCAGGTGATGAGCCCCCATGACCACCATTATCACGCATTCCATGATCCCCACACACAATTAACACTGATGGTAATTCAGAAGTACTGGCTTCCTAGTTATAAATTAAAAAAAGTTTTGTTATATATTCAACGATAAAGACTAATAGCATTCCATCTTTGTATCAAAACTAATAATAATATATATTGTTACTACTCTATTAAAATATATAGCGCCACTCGAGTTGATGAAGGGAGCCATGGAGATTATAGATTTACGTATACCGTAGTAGAGAATTTAGGGGAACAGAAAGCACTAAATTTTATATGAATAAAGACTAAAACGCAAACACTTTCTGAAGTGTTTACTGAACCGATTTAAAAAAAATGTTTTTGTTATAAGATCTTTATTTTTTATTTTTGTTTCCAAACTTGAAGAAAAAAACTTTAAATAACCCTTTCCGTTCCCCTTAATAGTTTGGGAGCCGTTAAAAAATTGTAAAGACACAAAAGAACCGTGGAATGAAAAATTTTTAATACCACTGTTATAATATTTAATATTAAAAACAGGTTAAATGTTTTTATTTAGTAATATTAAAGCAATAATTTTTTACTCTCCTGTATATAATATGTCCTAGACTGAGTAAATGTTATCAAATATTACTTATTTACTGTAATTTATGTTTTGAACTAGGGTTAATCTTAATTAACCTATCACACACATATCTAACAATGTAGATAATAGGTATAAATAGGTATATAAAAAAAATTTAAAAATTAATATTTATAAACTTTTAAGAACAAAAAAAAAATTAAATCTTTCGCATAACATTTGAATAACAAGGGAAAATGTTTTAAATTAAAAGCTATTGATAACTAAAATGTTTTACATTTATTTTATTTGTTTGAAATTTAAACATTATTAACTAATTTTCTTACGCTTTAATATCAGTATTATCAAAATTATAAACTATTATAATTAAATTATAAATCAAAACATAAATTTGAGAATATTTTAACTAGTGTCATGTTGTATACTTTGTAATTGTTATTTTTTGAAAATTGTAGAAAGGGATATTTTACATTTGTATATTTTTATTTAAAAATATTTTGAAGAGATTAAAATCGTTTTTAAGCCAAAATTTACATTATTTAACATAAATAAAACAAATGTTGATTAAGATCATTAATGTTATATTAATATTGTAAATATTATAATATTATCTATATTAATATTTTATTATATTGTATGATGTTTTATTAGCTCAAATTATTTTAAACTTGTAAAAAAAAGTCAATTAAACCAAAAATTAAGTTGTATCTTTTGAACATAACTTTAAAATGGTTTAATTGATTTTTTTTCAAAATCAGTTAAGCTACCTGAATACTATTAATCATTTTTATCAATATTTGTTGTAGATATAAGAAATAACGTAGATTTTAAACTGAACTACTGTCAATCTTTAATAATTTGGCACGGTTATTAAAGTGTATTAATAATTTTACTATCAACTAGATTGCAAGCATATTCAACATAGTAATTTGGCATTAACAAAAAGACATTGAAGCTAAAATTATGAACTGCCTACCAACTTATCTATGATACGTTTTATAATATTATCCATCTCCAATAATTTGTTTGGCATTAAAGAACTCCTAGGTCCTGCCATGTGACCTATATGATCGAGTCCTAAATAATGAAGTATCATTATGTCCCAATCAGCTGTGGGTCTTAATTCATGATCTAGATGTCGTGTGATGTTATGATCAACCTTAAAATTATCAGTAGATTAACATACTTAAGAATAATGTGTTATGAGGCAAAATACTTCAGTATAATCAGATATATAGAATGATGTAGTGCCATCAGATCTTATAAATGATTTTGGAAACAGTTTTAACCATGTTTCATCTCCGTAAAATACCAATGTTTTGTTGGCTCCACGAGCTTGACTAATGATACTGTCTTGTTTAAGTGCTGCTGTACCCAGGTTCAGCACAATATCAATAAAATTTGGAACCGTGCCAGTCATTAGTGCCTAAGACATAATTTAGACAACATTTATTTACATAAACATTCATTATGAATTAATGCATACTCTAATTATGTACTTTTATTCTGGGCATTGTAACTGTAGGTGCATTTACTCTGGTACGATATAAACAACTTTGGTTACGGTTAATACGTTTAGTAACAAATGGCATGTGCTCATAAAACTCAGGTTCAGTAAAGAAATCATAACGAATTCCATCAATAATCATCAAAACTACTTTGTTTACTGACTTATGGTATAGGCGTTGAGAATCAAAACTATAAAAAAACAAAAACAATATAGCACAAATTTTAGATAACAAAATGCAAATGTCTTCATGGATGTACATAAATTTAATTTTAAATGAAAATTAACATCTGCTTGTGTCCTACATTATAATTATATTTTTTTGTTACCTAATGTAATGGTGCCAAAGTTTATCTTTAAGTATTATGGCTACATACTCAATAGCATATTAATTAAATAGGTATAAATGGGTTCTTGCAAAATATTATTTAACACCTATTTATCAGTATCCTACTACTAAATAATTTCTATACTATTCCAAAAACAGTCTCTATAAAAATAGAGAAAGTTTAATATTTACTAAATAAATCAATTACACCATTTGAACGCGTCACAGAATGCATAATGTAAATTATTTTTTGTCTGTACCATAATATTGATCTGCTGACAATTCTCAATTTTTGAATTATTTATGTTCTGTATAATATTATATATTTTTGGTAAAATTCCTACACATGATAAAATAGACACTGATTATGCCCTTCTCACATACCTCGTGCTTACTTGAGAGGAACATAAAACTTAAAATATCAGGGGAAAACGTAAAGAAATAGCCATAGGTATGAAAACGGCGTTTATTTTGTCCTTTGGTTTTACTTTTAAAGGTTAATGAACAAAAATGTCATTAATTTCCTTTTTTTCAAAATGTAATGGCTGTAAAAATGTACTTTTTCAATGTTTATTTTTCAACTTATTTTATGTAGACACTTCAAAAGACATTGGAGTCAGAAAGTGATATTATACTAACTTTCTAGTTAGCAGCCTTAACTTGCCCTACACTTTTACTTTTTGAGATATCAGATAAAAGTTTTCAGTTTAATATTCATTAACATAGGATCTTCTTCTTTTTTGCATAATTCTATACAAATGGGATATGTCAATTCCTAAAGTTAAGATAATGTAACATATTTTTTTTATTCTAAATGGGTACGAAAAATGTTTATTGAATTCTGGCTCTACGAAATTAATTCTAAAATGAAAAAAGCAGATTTAAATATATCTTTGTTAAAATTATTTTCAAGTAAAGAAAAAATAAATTATTTAGAGTCAAAAAAGGAAGTTCAAGAACCAACAAAAGTTAATTTTACCATCAATATCAAGAATTACATATTTAAATAGTATAAATCAACTGGTAACTGAACTGTATAACAGCAAATAATATCAACTAGCAAAACGTATTTTTTTCAAATAATAAATTACCGCCAATAATCCGAGTCATTTTGACCACGTTGAATTGTAGATGGAATATCATTTAATGTAGACTTGACGTTATCATTATGATCAAACGAGAAAAATCCATACAAGTATAACAAGTTTGAAAATAACGTGCACGACAGTAAATACAACAGAATAACCGGTTCTTTGGTCGCCTTCATGATTTGAATAAGACTTATTTATCAAAATATGGAATACTTTAAATGATAATCATCGTAGTTGGACAGAAGTAATTTCGTTATGTAAGAAATGATCTGGAATCCGAATTCCTAAGCAAAAATGATAATTTTTCATCCCCAAATTATTCTGTAGCAGGTAACAGTAAAAAAAACGTTTAAAACCCATCAACGAAGAGGTACAAATTGTCACTGGAAAATATAAATAGCTTATCTCTACTATCTACATTTATCTGCCCCCTCCCATTGTTTACTGTTAAAAATTATCTTATATCAGCTGCTATCACGGTAGACCAAACGACCAATGTCGGTTATATTTCGCATAACCTGAAAGTGAATATTTGAAGTTCGATCCGTTTCTTACATAAGACCGGATGAAATATCGTAAATTCGATTCACTAGAATTTAGACATTTCGAGTGAAAATAATGTCGATTGTCGACGACCATGACGAAGGCAAACAAATTACTAACACCACATTAGGTGAAATTGTTCCTATTTAGAAAAACAGTTATAACGAAATAAATATATTTGACGGTTTTCATATAGACGGTTGTATATTTTTAATATACATCCTCCAACAGGAATTGGAAATGTTGAGAACCCATTTCACACGCCATTTTGGTACAGTTTTTTCACCATTTCGTGATTTGTCAATTTACTTTTGAGGCAAGAGCGGCAGCGGTGGCGGAATTATAAGCAATTTTCCATAACATACTAATAGTATAAAAAATTATACAAAATTTAAAAAATATAGTCTTTTTTTATGAAAATCTCGTTCAAACTTGAGTTATCAGAAACAGCAACATGTTCATATCATACACGTCGGACGGGCATGTTTTCATTTCGTGATATTGCCTTTCAGTTCTGACTTCTGAGTTCTCCGTTGTAAACACATGCAAAAAATATTCTGCTTGATAGTGTGTTGATGTGTTGTTGAAGAAGGCAGCAGAAGTCCATACACACACACAGTGTATTAGAAAATTTCGAAGACAATAGGATTAAATTAAGTGTTACTGACGTCATTATTATCACCACTACTTCCCTCAGGTTTCCTTTGTCAAGCCGACTATTTTGTAATAAACTACCAATAAGATGTCAGCATTACCGCGGAGAATTCTCAAGGAAACTCAACGTCTAATGCAGGAGCCTGTGCCTGGAATCAGCGCACAACCCGATGAGGGTAACGCACGGTATGATGTTTAAGAGAAATATGTGTATAAATCCCAAACCTCTTAAATATCCTATTCATACCTCCTGTTCAAGCTGCTTCCAACTAGTTACATATTTTTAATTATTTTTTAAAGTTAACACTAATATTAGATGTAGAGTTCATAAAGGAATGTGCATACTATTTTAAAATCGGATAATAGTTAAAACTTAAGATTTTATTTATAAACTATTCTATTTATAACAATTTACTATATAATTATTAGTATAAAGTTTCCAAAAATTATGTTTTTTACTAATTGCTATAATAATAAATACGCCTAATAGATTATTTGGCTATGTCTTATTTAGCTTATCATTGAAACTAATAATCAAACCACTGTGAAATCCATAAATGCAGGTATAATAAGCAATGTAGCTGGTTGTTACATTAGTGTCTTTATCTATAACATATTTACTTATGAAACTATGAAATAAAATAAATTGTTAATAACTACAAAATCCAAATCCTTTAGGCTTAACTAAGGTTCGCATACTTATTATATTATTGTTTCTTTAAAAAAGTCTTCATGTAAGTTTTTAAACACCAAATGTTGCAACTCTTGAAATTCAAACAATTACATTATTATTATATTCTCATATTAACCAAGATTGATCTTTTTGTTATAAGAATTTAATAAATGAGGTAGTTGTTTAGTTTCTCTCTTGCACACATGAACAAAATAGTTCAGAGAAAAAGAAGTGTAAGGCAATTGACCTCCCTGCAAAGCTAATATATTAAAAGTGGCATTGATCCTTGTATCAATCATCATTTATACATTGTAAATCATACCTTAATGTTAAACATTTTAAGTAGATTTTTTTGTATTTTTAAACAGAAAACTGTGACAAATTCAGTAGTGGATACCTCGTTACATTTTTATTACAAGCAAAACAATAATTTTTGTGAAAAACAACCAAGTATGATAAGAAAGGTTACATACAATATACAACATAATAATGTTGAGTATTTAAAATTAAAAATGATAAAATAATAAGTACTTGCTAAGCGGCCATAATGTTACAGTTATTGTAAAACAGTTATATTGAACTTAATATACTCGTAAAAGCAATTTCAAGACATCATCCAAATTTTAAGCATCCTGTAAAACATTACATGTACTACTTAAATTAAATATAATTTGTATACTATTACTATTCAGTCATTTTTAATGATACCTACCCGTGTTTAATAATAATAATAATTGTTATTTCAGGTATTTTCACGTTAAAGTGACTGGTCCAGAAGATTCACCATTTGAAGGTGGTCTATTTAAACTTGAATTATTTTTGCCTGAAGATTATCCTATGTCAGCTCCAAAAGTGCGTTTCATTACAAAAATCTATCACCCAAACATTGACCGATTAGGTAGAATATGTCTCGATATACTTAAGGATAAATGGTCTCCGGCACTACAGATTCGTACAGTTCTGTTATCCATTCAAGCTTTACTTAGTGCACCTAATCCAGATGATCCATTGGCAAATGATGTAGCTGAGCTTTGGAAAGTCAATGAAATAGAAGCCATACGTAATGCAAAAGAATGGACGCGCATGTATGCTACAGAAAACTAATCAGATTGCTTTAACTGAAGAGTATATATTAAAAATTATGAAAAAAAAAAACTATTATATAAATATAAATACTCGGATTGAAAACCATTATAAATCGAGCAATATACTTTATATATTTTTTCCAGCAGTTGTCCTTTAACTAAAGGAAATTTATTAATAATTATAGTAAATGGATTTGAAGGAATACTTGTTAACGTTTTGTTTCCTAACTGATATGTGTCTCATAATGTGTTATGTAATCAAAAATAAACTTGGAAGGGTAGGCAATTTTTTATTAGTCTATTCACTGGAGAAATGACAAATATTCAGTGAACACTAGTAAATACATACATTTTAATGTGTATAATAATTTTTAATATTGTACTGCTTTTTATTCAATTTGTCCATAATAATTTTTAGTTACACTTTTTTATTATAATTATAATTTATTTTCAACACTGTTATTTCTGAAATTTCATCATATGTGTGAATAAAACAAGACATAGCTCTTGATAAAGTTGTTATTATGGAGTGAAATATATTAATTAAACACCAACATTTTTATTTTACAGTGTTCATAAAAATACATTATTGTTTATCCTCGGATGTGTTTTATTTTACCACCTAACTAGTAACTTTAATTAAATTTCTAAAGATTATTTAAAGAGTAAAAAAAAGTTAGAATCGGAATAGTTCTATAATACTAAGACTTATATGGTTCATAGTCGACAGTATTTTTTTTCTCCAAAATTGCTGTATCATCGTATTTATTTGTGTTGAAGAAATTCTTACCAGATTAAGAATAATGCAATGTTAAAAAATTTTATTTTCCTATAATCTACATTTAATAGTTGGACAACCTACAGTCGGCACATGAGTGCTTTTGTCAATTTAGTTTTTAATTCAAAACAACATAATTTTTTTGCTGTAGCATTCTATTGAATTAAAAGTTATTAAAATTAAGTTTAATGTCATACAAGTTGATAACTGTAAACTTTTTACTTGCAAGAATACTATGAATTAGGTATTTAGCGATGTGTGTATAACGCAATATTATGCAAATTACATAATTGTGATTTATTAACATCCTAATTTCTAAGCAAGTTTGAAAAGGCGAGAATCAAAAGGGTATAATATAGGTACTTTTACAGTAAAGCAAAATTTAAATTGCAATGTATTCTTATTGGTTCATTAGTATTCTTAAGTACAAAATAATAAAATAAGGTCTTGTTGACAACTATTGTATGGTAAAAATCATGTTTATGAAAAGTTACACCTTTTTGCGGTTGTCACTTGATTATCACTCAATGATTTGTCTTAGATTATGTATCCTAACAACACTAATTACTGTACACCATTTTTGTTGTACTTACTTATCTATTACGACTAAAAATAACACAAAAAAAAAATATATCAACTTAAATAGTATTTGAGTTCCAAGACAACTTAGTTCCAATATTTAAAAGTTCTTTAATAGACATAATAGAAAATTAAATAAAGGCATAAAAAAAAAGTTATGTATACATGTAATTTGTTATAATACATAAGTTAATAATCTAATGACAATATTATTATATTATAATAATTAAAAATACATATTAACATGTACATTCACAATGATGACTAGAATAGATAGGAATTAAGAATTTGTCACAGCTGCTGGGTCCACAGACATTTATACACATTATGATATTTGAATTTGAGTTGTTCAAATGACACAATGCTGATACGTTTATGCAATTTTGTTGGAACTGCATTGCATTTACATTGTTAACCAAATAATTATCACAAAAAATTAAAATAAAATAACAATAAAAAATAGTAATAATAATAAAAACAAACTAAATAAAATTTGATAAAGTAAAAAAAAATTGGGGGTTTGGAAAATCAATTATTATATTGTATTTTAATACTAATTCTCTTCTTGATATGGCAAATTGTTGATAAATGTTTCTAACTTACGTTTTTACTTACATCAAATAATAGTTTCTCTTACTATTCAACGGTCACAGAGAGTTTATAAATCACAAAGGCAACTTGTGAAGAATATATAAAATAAATTAAAGCTTTACAAATGATTTTCATAATTTCAATTCAATAATAACTCGCATTAAAACTATTAAAGGGAACGGGATTAAAAAGGAAGATATGCCCGTAATATTGTGCAAAAAAATAAACCCTTTACTAGTCCATATCTAGCTAGGTAATATTATATATTAAGCCAAAAAAATGCACAGAATATGAGCTAGTACCAGGTTCAATGGTAGGGTAGTTCATAACTTTTTGTACAATTTTCAATGGCATTTAAAAGGTTTTATTTTATTTAGGACAAATTATGTCCTAGACTAGATGAACACAGGTGACTCCTGACCAGTCAATAATCGAAACATTGATGTAGGCATAGTTTTCATTAAAATCTGAAATTTTAAAACATAAGTTCATTGAAATCATTTAATCATTTTTATACAACAATTTTTTATTGGCTTATTTTAATAAAATAATAAGCAGAGAACATAACAAGTTGTTTTAATTAAAAGAGTATTTTAATGGTTTTGATGGCTAAATAGCTATTTGCTGAAAGCGACACAAGCTAAAGAGAGATATAAACGTTAATTTGTCACATTGATTTAAAATTTATTAATAGGGTTATTTTATGAATTATCAAAATTTAAATTTTGTACTGTACACACAGTCAAAATGTAAATGAAAATTATTTGAATAGCAGGAAAACTGTCATTTACAGCAAATAGCTTTTAACTGTTGACTCACCAAACAAAATAACTAAATAATATTATTGATGGTGACACGGGCAAAAGGGTCTAAGCGACTTATTTCATAGTTTTCAGGATGACCACTAAACGTTGTTTTTGTGATTTTACTATTTTTTTTTTTAAGTTCCTAATATCTTTTTTTTAGTAAGAATTGGGAATTTTTCAATCATATAATTATATTATAATATATATGAATTATAATATATTTTTCTAACCAATAGTATAAGCTGTGTCGCTTAGACCCTTTTGCCGTGTCACCATCGATATATATATATTATACATGTATAATATAATATATAAATAATACATATATCATTATTGTTTTACTTTTTCTTTATTCATAAAGCCAAAAACTATTTTAATAATAATAAAGATACAATAAGAAAAATATGAAAATCTAAATATACTTACTTCTCCAACAGAAGTAGCGAGCAAATTAACAATTTTTTCATGTGGTACTGCTACTACACTTTGGTTATTTATCTCAATAATTCTATGACCAACTCGAACACCACCGCGCTCTGCAATTCCACCTCGAAGTAGGCTACATATCTAAAAGCAATATTAGTAATATTATAAAATAAAATACTGAGCGCTTTTCAAATTTAAAAGCACATACCACTCCATTTTGTACGCTAAAACCAAGCTGATACTTTGTGTCTGGTCTTTTGATTTTTACTTCAACTACTGGAGCGCACGGCACCACAGTCAGTTTAATAACAGTTTGAGGCTTCGAGTTCTATTAATTAAAATTTAATATTAAAAAATAAAATTGATTTCAATACATAAAAATAAAGGCTGCTTACCTTAATATAATTTTGACATGTAGATAATGGCAACCCGACAAGCGATACACCATTAATAGCTATAATTTGATCTCCGATGTTTAATTGTCCACAACGTGCAGCTGCCCCAGCAGGCGCTAAATTTGCTATGACAACAGTTGGTAACATAGAACCCCAACCAGATTCAACAATTACTACACCAAGTATTTCACCTTTAGATTTTGGTACAACAACCTGAAAAAAAAAAATCATACACGTGAAAACTAAACGACTAAAGAAAAACTGTTAATAGTTAGCACTTTTTGTAAATATTATATTCAACAAAGAAACAAAAATTACTTTATTCTACAATACAATATTAAAATAATAATTGTACATGGAGCTAATACATGTAATTTACATTGAACGATTCTATCTGATATTTTTATCTGTTGCATAAAAAATATAGCAGTGGAGTTATACAAGATTGTTATCTATTTATTAATTAGAACATAATAATTATTGAATACATTTATTTACTTCTTTTTGAAGTTCTTTTTTTGCAAACATTTGTAATTCATCTCCAAATATTTCCTGTGAATTTAATACTTCTTGATAGTCCATTTCTTTAACAAAACTATGATCTTCAATGCCATTTGCTTTTAGAAACTCCATATAGGCCACTTGAAATGCTTGACCAATAGACTGTGCAATAAATTGAGCCTAAAAAAAAATAATTAACAAAATTAATTTATTAGCAGAAAATGAAAAATCCTTTAATTTTTATCTCTATGACTTTAAAATATAAAAATTGACAGTTTTTATTTACTATATATTACCATTGTATGTTAATGGAAAATATAGGAAGTTTCCTGTTTTTAACTCTTTGTAAATGTAATGTAAAATATTAGTATGATAGGTTTTGGTTTTGGTGAGAAAGGGTATAGGTAAATTGTTTTTCAACACTTATCGCCTGTTTACATTTTTTTATTCATAATTGTAATTTTATAATTAAAAGTAAAAAACTCTAAATACAAATTATTAAGTTTTTTGTCTTCTGCAAAATCTTATAATTTGACTTACATCCTTCCTCACCAAAACCGTCCAATAATATATCTGTATTTCACAGTACATTAAATATAATATAGATAGTAACAGTTTTCAAAATTATATGAAACATTAAACACAAGTTAGAAATACGTGACAACATACATGAATATTTATGCCTAAGTAATTTAGCTTAACTTTTAAACAAAAAGTGTTTTAATAAAAATGGTTAGAAAGGCTTAGTATTATGCTACACTTTAAATTATAGAAACTAGTTTTTAGTGTCTACAGAGAAAATTCTGAAGAAATTATATTATATTTATTTTCTTCTAAACATTTTTATACACAATTCCACTGTTATGGACAAAAACAATTACAGTACCGCTATGAAGTACAGACTATAGTATTAAGACAATTACTTTAGTGCCTTACCTCATCACTTTCGAAAACATGACATATCATTTTTGGTGTTCTATTGTTGGGCGTTTTTTCTACCCCATTCACACCAGTTGGAACTAAAGTTGTTTCTGTAGTAGAGTCTGATGTTTGATGCGTCAAAAAGCAACGTCTTCGTGCCATTAATACAACTAGTTCACCAATATCAGCAATATACGATATAGTTCGGAGAGCATGATCCATCATGATTTCTTTTAAATCTGTATTTAGAACCATTATTTTTTCAGTAGATATGAACAAATCTACTTCAGTACTAGGTTGTGTTTCTCCATCGGGTGCCTTGAAAGAGAACAATAAAATAAATTAAATAAAAGAAAACTAATTTTATTCATAATTTGTTTTTAAAAATAATGTATTGCCTATAATTCTAACTTACCAATGCCTAAAATCCATATAGTTTGCGATAATAACGGAAAAATAACATAACATTATAATATATACATAAGTTTAGGTAGAAACAAAATACAACCTTTATTCTTGACACAGCTTCTTCTGCTTGCATCATTCGGGTACTTTTAGTAGGCTGCCCTTCACAAGCCAGTTGCGTAGATCCCAAATACCTCGCTCGAAACAGAACACCTTCAATTAACACTGCAGGTTCGTGAATCATTACTATATGAGCAAAAGAAAAAAACAATTTTAATTTAATAAACCATTTTTGATAGCAGTGTATTTTTAATAAAATATTTGTTTTAATACACTATATCAAAGATTAGCTAATTTTACTGTAATACTACTGATTATAGATAACTGGTCTCTCTAATATTTTTACTTAAAAATATTACTTTTTCATATTACCTAAACAAAAAAAAAATTGATATTTTTAAGTTAAAAGTTTTCTTATTTATTTGTATGGTAAGTTTAGATAACTTTATGTAATAAACTATCTTTAGTTATAGCTTAAGTTGTGGAACACTTTGAAAATGAATACTTATTGGTTATCAAATTATAAATATTAAGGCATAACCTTTAAAAATACCAAATGTGAAGAAAATAAATATTTAGCGACTAGCACCACAGTCGTGGCATAAGTAAAGTAAACAAATATGTACATAGACAACTAATTTATTGTTATAGTACTACTACTATTGTGGTATTATCACTTTGTACTATGACATATCTTTTAGAATGTTGATACATTTAAAATATGTGAAATAAATTTATAAACGCATAATACTAGAAAAAAGTAATAATAAAATAGATACTAAAAAAGAAGATCAGATAATATACTATTAATATGGCTCTTATTTACAAAACATTGAACTATATTTCAATCCTATCTTATTTAGTAAATAAGACATTATCAACAACAATGCAGTGGTATAAATTGAGGAAATATAAAATATTTTAAACATTTTGTATTCCAAATATTTTTCCCTATTTTGAATGTTTGTTTTTACTACAATTTACCAGTTAATTCTTCCTAAATTAATTATCTATACTGATTTTATTGTTGAGACATGTTGTTAATGGACTTACCGTGCAATCAAGTGCAATATATGTGAAAAATCCGTGTTGTGCGGTTGATAAAAAATAAGAAAGCAATGTTGTTAGTGTTAATAGATTAATAAATTTGGCAAAATAACATTAAAAACAAAATAGTATTTTGGAGAATTAATATTTAAATAATTAAAACAACTACATATACAAATTTCATTACTAATAACTGTGGTTAAGATTTCAAACACAAGATTCAAATTAAATCTGAACGTAAAAACATTTATTGTATTGAACTCTAAATAAACTAGAAATATCCAATAACAATATAAATAACATATAATTATAAATAGGTTACTATTATTTAACCAAAGTAAACAATTTGTTTCAGGTAATACAACAATTTAGGGATGAAATATAATTAATTTATAAGATTAAATTTGCCATTCAAAAAGTGTCCAAAATTATTTTTAAAATAGCATAGGGAATACAACATATAGAAAAATAAATAAAGCCAATCAATATTTTTTAAATATAACACTACACAATATTTTAAATATGCACACAAGAGGATGTTATACCCCCATAGATATTTATAATAGCTTGATAAAGGAAATTGTTTGCAAAATTTTAATTTAAAGCATATAATGTATTGTGAAATTATTTGTTCAGTAATTAGGACTCTTTTTGACAATTAATATATTTCGTACTATCACAGTATCCTTTACAGCCAATTTAAATATTTTTTTCATCTAAATATAGCTACACAGAATGCGTTTTGCTCAATCCATGGTAGTTTAAGATCGAAAACACCAATTATAAAATCAAAAGATGATAAAGTTTTAGTGGCAATGACATACCACGTTTTTAATATGTTCAATATTTAGCTAGACACTAATGTTAAATGGAATTTTGTAAGTATTTTTTACTTTTTAAAACAATTATAATAACACCTTTTCTAGGAAATATTTTGATAAAAGGATGTCTAAAATATTGATCTAATTTTGATTATAGGTGTTCAACCTATAAAACTATGGTCCGAATAAAATACATTCTGCATAGTAAGGTTTTCACACTAGATAATTAGGAGGGGTTATATGACAAAAAAAAAAATCATGCAAGAATGATTAAAAACTCAAAATTGTTTGATAATATAGCGTACCTGTTTGGTGCTGAGGTACTCCTAATGGTATATGTATGTATATGTATATATATATATATATATATAGAAAAATAACAACAAAGCTATTAACATTTCTCAAAAAAAGTGGCCAATAGTGTTATAAATAGTTGTGTTTTGCATATTATTTAATGTGCGTCTATAATCCAACTAGTAGTTTAATAAGATATTGAAATTGTTATTTTATTGTTTAAATTAAATATTTAGTGTATTGTGCTAACAGGCAAGCTGATAGCGAGCGAGTGTACGAAGCGTTATTCAAAAGAATATTAATATTAATTGCAGATTTTCTGTTAAAAAAATTATTTATACAGTATTTCATTAATTTAATATTTTCATTAGCATAAATCAAATTATTTAATATTGCAGCTATTACTTTATTTTTATTCATGCGACAAAAATATATTTATTTATAAGACCTTTGTACACTTAAACTGATGAAATAATTATTGATAATAATTAATATTATTTCCATAACATACTGACCTTCTTTGTTTCGCGCTTTTTTCTTTGTACCATCTTTTTCCTGAAAAAAGTTGGATAAATATTAGAACACAAATAAGCTGACAGAAAAAAAATTATACTTGTTGTTAAAAAAATTATACACAGTCGAGTTGCAATATATCAAACGTAACATAGAAAATGTTCTTTTTGTTTCCCTTAAATTCAACTTATCGCGACTTGACTGTATAATATTGTCCACTAAAGTAATATAATAATGGAAAAATAGTAAAACCATGCTGGGAAAACCATTTAACTAAAATGCAAAATATAATAAACACACATTTTCTACATTAATAAAAAAAACTAGTAATCATTCTACTAATATCATGCCTAAAATATAATCTCCCCTAATATGTTAAGTAACTATTCAGTAAGCATTAATTAAGAATAATTTAGTATTTAGTCACAACATTTTCCATTACTATTTAAAAACAATTGGCATTTACTAGAATACGGGAATTTATAAATTTCATTTTTTTATATACTTTATATATTTTCTAACTTAAATAATAGCTTTTTTTTTTTTATGTTACAGCTAATTGCTAGATTTATATTCAATCCTTCTAATAATTACAGACAAATAATTATTCAAATCTTTAGGACAAAAATTAAAAAATATTAGGTAATCATTGATCGAGTATTAAACCCTAATATTTTTATCAACTATTAAAATATTTTGCAAAAATTGTTAGCTTATTCTAAATCAAGCTTTTTAAAGACACAAGCTGTTTAATCAAACATTTCAAAATCAAAAATAAAAGGTTTATAAAACAAAAAACCTTACATCCAAAAAAAAAATTATTAACTGAAGTATTTGTTTTATGAAGTATAAATTCATACGAAAATTAAGACTAGTTTGAAAATAGGAATTAAAATGTAATAATCTAAAGATTATTTTCAAAATGTCTATGTTTAAAAAGTGTATTTTTTCATTCAAAGATAGCACACAAACATATGACTTAATCAAAATAAATAGAGCATAAAAATGGTCTAGATAAATTAAACAAAAATTTGTGAAAACTAATTTGCAAATGAATTAAAGAACAACATGTAAATAAAAGGAACCAAAAGCATTTTGGCAAACCTTTTTTGTAGGATTTAAGGTTTGGGGTATGATGAATGTTTTTTCATTACTAGCAGCCGGATCTACGGATGCAGGATGCGAGGACGTATTGCTTGAAGGCGACGTCAAAGTAAATGGTAATAAAGACCGTGATTTCAACTTCCTCCAGTCCTGTGATGATATTATATACAAAACTGGTTTATTTTGTTTTTACTTATTAATAATTGAATAATAAAAAATAAGTTAAAATTTAAAGTAGTGAATAAAAAAAGCGTCAACCAGCTTTCTGAGACATAGCAGTTAATCAAACAAAAGATAGACCACTTGAATACATATTAGAACCTATCAGAGGTTTTTGAAATATAAGGAATAAAACATTAAAATAAAAGTTAAAACTTACGGTTTTATCATCAAAAAATCCAGTATCATCAGTTCGCTGTTGTCCCAGAAGTCTATCAGTTTCTAAGTCTGTATCTGCTTCTTCTAAAACGAATGGAAATTAAATGTATATATTATGTTAATATAATTTGTGTTGTTAATAATAAACTGGTTACCTTCGTCACCACTAGGACCCGAACCAGTCCCTCTGTGCCTAATAAATTAAAAAAAAATGTTGAACAGATAATATAGAATGTTTAAAATTGTCATCAGTTTATATCGGTATACCTAGGCACCCAAATTGGTATATCTTCAGTTTTGGCTGTATTTGAATTTGTACTATCTTTGCTAGGACTGCAACCTGGTGATAAGTCATCATCTACGGTAACAGCTTTTAATGACTGACTCTGTCTGAGATTGGATCTTATTTCATTAATAGCAGCCTCCACTAAATCGGTAGATTCATTAATTGTGCGGTGTGTTGATGGCGCTGGTGGGGGAGGGGTTCTGCTCTCATCGGGTCTTACTAAATTATAAATCAAATATTTTGTTTTTATCTTCCTAATTTAAAATGAATATGACAAGAAAGTTAGTATAATAATATTGAACCTACCTAAAGAATCCAGCAATTGTAAGCTCGTTTCTTGACTAGTTGCATGCGTATCAGTTCCACTAGCATCACTACTATCACATTTAATTACTCTGTTTGTTCGTTCAATAATTTCTCTCTCAATTTCACTAATTTGCCTCTTCATTAATAACACCTAAATACATATAATGTTAAAAATTGTAATCATAAATAGCTCTTAATTCAAACACTAAAGTGAAACATTTCACATATGATTTATGATAATTATTTATTATAGCTACCAAGCTATGAAGTTAGCATGAATGAATATATATTCACAAGCTAACGTTCAGTTTGTAAATTAAAATTTTATTACAAAAACAAAACAATACTTGAAATATGACATTCTTATTAGCCATTAAATATGTTTAACTAATATAATTTAATATATTGTAGATAACAATTTTATTATTTATAGATTTCAGTTAGAATTACAACTGAGCAAATATTTTTCTAGTATATTAATTAACTTAACAAATAAATTATACATTTTCAATTACTTACAGTCGGATTGTTGTTGTCTGTATCACTAGTATGTCCACTAGATAACCCATCTTCTAAAACTGGCATGGTAATAGAAGTTACACCACACAACGGAATTAGGTGCTGACCATCAACCATGGATGATGATTCACCATCGCTACCCATTCCAGTGTCTTCACAGTCAGTTACTTCAGGAGATAAAGTCACGTTGCGATTTAATCGCCCAACACAACTCTACAATATTCATATAAATGTTATACATTTACTGGTCAACCATAATACATTTCTTTAAAAAATGATCAAAACTACTAAATTACCTGATGAATACCAGCCAAACAACGAGATTCATCTATTGACGAGTTAAGCTTAAGTGGTGATAGCTGAGAACTTTTGTGCAAGTCTTCATTAGAAAGAAGCATGTTTAAATATGTATTGTTTTGTTCGGATACTGGTATTCTTCTTCTTAGTTCATACTCTAAATCCTGAGAATATACATTTAATTTTTTATCAATTAAAGTATTCAAATAACTTGTTATGTATGAACTGAGGTTTGGAATTCTTATTAGGAATGATATAACATTTAAATACCTACCTGGTTAAATACTATTATGCTTTAAGATATGGTTATAATTTTTTAAAACTATTAAAGATTTTACTAAAATAATTACTTGAAATTGCAGTTGTTGAGAATCTTGATTTTCAGTGCCAGATTTAAAGAACTCTTCTAAAACTTTTCTCGTCTCAGAAAACTCATATAAATAGTCAAAATTCATAGTTGGAGAAGGACTGGAAGATCTTGAATCATCTTCTACCACTCTCTGAAATTAAAGTCAAAATTGTTTAATTTTCAAAAAAATGTTAATATATAATTTTGTTATTAATACTTGAGGAAATCCTGGGCGAGGTACATAAAGAGTAGGAGACGATAACAAAGATGGCATCAAATGTTCTTCTTCTCTAAAATGTTTTGGAGATCCATTAAAATCATTTGTCTGAATGTCACATTGCGACCTTAATAATCCATCTGTATTTTCTGTGCTTGATTTTTCATTACAACTACTATTGGCCATCACATTTATGTCACCATTTTGATTAGACTAAAACAAAATTCCAAAATAATGAATAATTTATGAATGTTAAAAAATAGTAATAATAATCGATATAAGTACTTTGTAGTTTAAATGATGTTGACATGGATCAATATTTTGACATGAATTTTTATTATGATGCAGACCATATTGACTTATTGAAGAATCGTGTTGAACTTTATCCCATACATCATTAGGGATGTCATCAAACAAAACAGGATCATCTAATTGCCGTTGATGTTTGGATGATTTCCCTTCACTTTGAAATACAGATCCTGATATTTCCTGTGAAGTCTCAGTGCTAGGAACATCTAAACCTCTAAATAACAAATGTTTTACTATTAGAACATTAAATTTTAAATTTTCTTATTAAATGTCTTTAATGAAAAAATTACTATATTTTATACCTAATTTGATTTATAATATTTTCATTAAAAATATTAACATAATTATGGATTATGCTTAAGTATATACAATTTTTTTTTAGAATTCAAGGTCATAATTATAATAATATTAACAGAGCATTTTTTTAATACTAGCTTTAGTATTTGATACAATATTTTTTTATTGTTCCACTCTACTGTAGTATTGACTCCAATATTTACCTATTACGAAGTTCCCAAACACGGCCAGGTGATTTGACCCAGTCTACATCAGAATGTACAGGTAATTGACGTGTTTTTCGTCCAGCTTTACTGCGACTTTGACTATATACTTCTCGGCCCCCAGCTATTTCTATTATTCTATGAATATAATTTTATTTCATTATAATACTTCATTTCAAAAAACACAAGGAAAAACAAATTACTAACCTTGAATCTCTTAATTTGTAGGTAGATTGTTTTGAAGTCAAACTCGTTTTATTTGGATTTCTTGTTCGATTGGTTGTGCTATTTTCTGTACTGCACTTGACTCCAGATTCACAGTAAATGTTTTTGATATCAGATTCGTCGTCTTCATCTTCATCCATATTCTCAGGAAATTCCTCCTCTTCATCTTCTACACTAGTTTCTAAGGATGAGTCTTGACTCACATCGCTATCACTTCTTCTTCTGGTTCGAAATTTTTTAATTCCATGTATACTATGTTTTCTTGCATTGTTCCGACGTAAATTATCACACCTGTTCAACAACACCAACAATAAAACTCATACAAATCATTAAAATATTTTATCCTAAGCGAGTGTTCATTAATATACCTGGTTCTTTGACGTTCAGATATTTGAGTTAAATCCATATCATTATCCGAAACTTCACACAGAGGATTCAGATTTAAATCTGTTGAACGTACTGTGGCTGGCCGACATTTAGGAAAAAGCTTTGATAGATCATCATTATCTAGCTTCAAGCCTATCATAGCTTTTCAAAATACGGATTCCACCGTTTCTGAAATCTTGAAAAAAAAAAAAAATTATGTAGTTTTTCAATCCTATCAAAAGAAATATATATTAATAAATAGTAATAATAACTTATATTAACACCAAAAAAAATATGTTGGGATGAAAGGAATAAAAACAATACAAATATATATACAACCATTTAAGACATTTTGGATACATAACATCCGGCAGAAAAAACTACAAATCGAAGAAAATTTTTGAAAAGTATACTGGTCAGTTGGAAGAGACTCTGAACTATCATTTGACAACAAAGATCTCTTGTACATAGCCACCATATCAAGCCGATTTAGACTTATGACATTCAACTATAGGCAGTGGCGACTCGTACTGATTTGACACAGGAGTGCGATAAATAATTAGAAAACCATAACCCAAAATCATATAAAATCTATTTATTTGAGGAAAATACATATAAATACAAATTACCTTTAAAAACAATAGACTTCTGAAAATGTTCCATAAACTTGGGTCTAAATCTGAACATAGGTTATTAAACACCGAAAATTGCTTTGATTTTTTTTTATGAAATTTTTTCATCGTGTCCACGTAAAGGTAATTTGTGATTTCCACAAAATTTTACACAATTTAAATTTTTTTCTAAAATATCTCGATTTTTAGAAACTTGTTCATTATGACGTTTAATCCCTGGTTATAAAACCACTATCAATTTGACTTCTTATGTCAATAGTTCCCAACACTTTGAAATTTGCCTCATTCTGTAGATGTTTAAACGAATTTTCATGTTTATTTATTTTGGCTAAAAGATGTATTAAATCTTTTACACCAGTCTTACTCCAGATAACGATACAGTAGTTTCAAAACTAGAAATAGATACTAAGAAAAATAATAACAAAGTATTCCTTAACATAAAATATCAAATCAAATATATAATTTCTACAATTTAGTTATTTCTGTAAGAAGTGCGGCCGCGCCGTCGCACATAGCCACGAGCCGCCACTGACTATAGGGTACTGTCAGCCAGTCCAATTTAGAAATTATGCAATGTTGCCAGAACACCGCTCTGCATACCATTGTTGGAGCATATCAGTACGACAGATACAACTTCATTTACCACGACATGATGCTGCCTACAGTAGCCAAAGATATTAAGAAGTTTGCTTGTGTATTAAGAAGATGGGGTTCCACATCAACCTAGCGGCAATACAATTGATGGATAATTTCGAAGACGGCAGGCGTCTCAAGCGCAAGAAGCCATACAATCTAGTTTAAGTTTAAACTAGATAAGCAGCTAACTCACTGGAAGTAACTTCTTCGTACCTGTGTTTGGTATACCATGTATACCACCTATTGTGATTTGTATTGATAAAGACTTATGTTGTTGTAATAAAAAAGCTATATGGCAACTAAAAAAAAAAATAATAAGACTAAGAAACTTAAACTGCAGATTCAACAGATTCAGGCTTCAAAATGATTTAAATGATATAATTCTTTCAGTATTAGAACAGTTACTACTGTCATGAAACCTGACAATGTCAACGTTGACATGGCAACAGAAAACTAACATTAAAAGTTCAAGAAAAGATCAATTAGTGTGTATATACGTATATTTCTATAGGGTTTTTTGTGTATGACCAACTTGATGAAAAATGTATTGTATTATTCATACAATATATATTTTATAATGTATGTATGATTAGTGCACAAATATAGTAAAAAAATCACTTTTTAAACAAATACATAAATTCAAACATTAATCTATAAAAAATAAAGTTAATATATTATCATCATTATCAAGCTTAACGGGCCTTTAAAGCCCAATGCTGCCATCATGAGATGATGCTTTCTAAACGGATTTGCTGTCTGGGATGGGTCGTCAGTCCGTCGCCGGAGGGGAAGATGGGGGTTTCTTTTCACCAGACAATTGCTCGCCCGGTAAACGGAGCGCCCGTAATCAAGTGTCGAAACGTTTACAATGAGCAATAACACACTGCCGCCTGACCCACTCGCCCACTCTTCCTCCTACTCTTAATATATTATAAGTGATAGTATTATTCAAACAAAATTAAATTTGTCACTTTTTTAAATATAATAAATAATAATATAGGTACAATATTTTTCTTTTAATCAGAAAACTATTTTTTTTAATTTTTAGAAAAAATGTTTAAACATTATTTGTTGTCGGAGACTAATTGTACAAATTGTAAACACATGGAAGACTAATGTAAGATAATCCTTTTAACTGTTTAAATTTTTTACTTGGCAATCATCATTTTTATTAATGTTACTATAAAAACAGATTCAAATCTTATGTATTTATTTAACTTTGGTCATTAACTTATGTTAATGACCAAATACACTAATATATAACTGAAAAAAACTGCTAGCAAAAGTAAGATAGCTGTAATTACAATAGAAAGGTAATTTAAGTATTAAGCTTAATTTAAAACTACTTGTTTTATTTTAAATAGCAACTAGTATTTAAAACTAAACCTTAAAGAGCAATAATACATTTTTAAAAAACCCTGAACAATCCAAATAAGTCACAGCTAATAGTACACTTATTTAATATGATCCGTTAATAATTCTATGGTCCGTAGTACCGTATTGTTAAAAAGAAAAAAAAATGTGTTTTGAATAATAAGAACCTTACAATGACCACTAGTTTTAGCCATATTATTTAAAAAGTCATGTTTAAGGAATTATTCAAAATTAATATTTAACTATGTATTCTTATTACCTCATATAATTACAACATATTTTTATCAAATTTAAGAAAACCATTATACTAGGGAAATTGTTAAATTATCCATTTTGTGGAATTAGAAATACATGTTTCTATAAGAAAGTACAGCTTCTAGGTCATAGTCCAAAGCCAATCTAAATGGTCAGTTTATATTGAAAGAGTAATACAGATGAAAACTCAATACTGAATACAATAGTACCTAACATTTGAAAGGTTTTAACATATTTATACAATATTATTTAAAAAGATACAAATAAATATAGTATTTCTATTACATCAAAATCAGCAATCGTAGTGGAAAAGTATACTGTTTTAATGGGTCACCAATCTGACAAGTTACAATAATTATTCCTAAATCCGTGTACTTATTATCATAATAATAAGTACATGGATTTAGGAATAATACAACAGTCTACCATAGTAACTGTTGTACCCACGAATATATAACTATTGGTTAGGATGTACCAAACTACTGAGTAATTAGCACTAACTAAAGTACACACGTTTAAATATGGTTATAATGGTCCAACAGACACACGGATTCAAATAACTTACCTTGAAGAAAAGACAGATTTACTATGCCCAGACATCAAATCGATAAGGCTGAATACGAGTGACACCTGCAATCAATGATCACAGACAAACCAATTAGTCTGACGATAAGTGAAGTAAAATAACAACAATAACAATGAGTAGTTACATAGATGTGTGTGTCGCTAAAAGCAAGAGCACTACCTATTTTTCTGGGATGGCGCGTGTACCTATATTGATAACGCTATTGATTTCTGAAGGAAAACGTGAGTCATATATGGCGGTAATAATCCTTGAGGCTCGCTACAGTAAAACGAGGCGTGATGGGGAAGGGGTAAACACACACTTACCGCCGAGACAAGACAGAAACAAGGTTGACCGCTGTTTACTTTAAAAAACGTGTCGCGGCCGTGGCGTTGATAACGCGCTTCCCAGACCGCCGTGGCTTGATCTCGCCGTTGAGATGGGAAATCTGATGAGAATACAATAATAATATTGTCGTTAGCGAACTCACCAATGGTATACAAGTCGTTATCGTCTGGTAAACGAACACCGCCTTCGCTTACTCGTTCGACGCGGTCGCCGACCGTTGTACGATAAAAAAAAAACTGCGCGACCTTTGATATTTAGGTATGCGGTGTCGTATAGCCACGGGGCTGTCCACTGTGTCGTTGAATACGCGGCACGTATATCTAACGCAGGACGTGGCGCCTGTGGTCGAAAACGAGATTACGGGGATTTTCCGCCGCTATTGACTGCAGGGGCGGTGTGGCGCATGTGCGAGTGAAATTTTATGATTATCGGATGCTGAGACGACGGCGTCCACTCTGCCATCGATAGACTGGGGCGGACGTGCAATTCCCGCTCGGCAATACACAAGCACACACATATATATGTATGAATCGAAAGAGGAAGAGGGCGTATAACGGTCCAAGGAGATCGACGATTCCCGGAAAATGCTCCTTGCGCCACAATATTCGACGGACGACTGTTCCGTTCCCTTGCGATGTGTCCGGTGCAATCGGCAATGTGCATTTTCACGTGTCCGCGAGACCATCGGGTACACGGGGGACACCTACGATTTGTCGTCACCTTACTTTCAACGTTAGGTACACAGTAAATGAGTAAATACTAAATAGTATGATAAATCTTGGTTTTCTTATCCTTGCGCAACACGTTTTTTTTTTAATTTTGTACAGAAACACCGAACCAGTGTATACTTTATTTTCGTTTTATACAGTTTTTTTTATTACTTTTTTTTTATTTAAATGAGATATATACAATCCGTACAATAAGCCTATAGGATAAGTGTAGAAAGAATTACATGGATAAAGTTTTGAAGAAACAAACCACTCATTAGTGACACTTCCCATGATTTTTCTTAACTTTTATATTTATATTAATTAAATTGACTTAATTATATATTGTTATTAAATAATAATATTAGAAAGCAGATCACGGCACCACTTACGTTTTAAACGTTTGGGTGGGTCTCCGGGTATGGTCAAGTTTGAAAGGTTTTTTATTGGTTTAGTTTGGGAGAATAATTTATTGTGGAATCTTTTGTAGAATGAAATGGCTTCTTCATGGACTGTTTTTATGTTAAGATCATTATGGAGTGTATAATTAAAGATATAAGGAGGTGCATTGGTTAATTTTCTTAAAGCTATATTTTGAAAGCATTGGATTTAATTGGTATTGGGTTTGAACATCGAAAAAGACAGTGTAATCAGATGTTGGAGTCAGCCTTAGTTTTTGAGTTACAGTAAAATATTATTAATTTTTAAATTAAAGTTTTATACTGTTAATATGTTTAATATAACTACCTATTAAATTTAGTTGTATCTTGTATGTGTACATTTTTTTACCCCGAGAACGCTTATTTGATTAAAATTTACTTATCCCTCATATTTTTTGAGAGCATAGACTATTTTGATACATTTTATCTCCATTACTACAGTTAAAACAAATTACATGTTATTTCTTTTATTTGTATTATTATGAACGCTAGTTTTGATTAAGAGGACGTTACATCGCTTATTTCTAAGGAGTAAAATATAGGCAATTTTCGCAAAATTCTAATTTAGAGCTTGAACTATGGTGTATACTTTTTAATACAGTAATGAGAATTCTTTATTGGTTGCCAATTTTTTTGCCAGGCTGTAACAGTCATTTCTGTAGGATAAATTACAATTATCTCTCCATCAAAACTGATTTGCGCAGAACTAGTACATGACTAGTAAGGGAGGCAGTATGTGACTAATATTAGCAATATATTACCAAATTTTCACAATGTATAGAAGAGAACTTTATCTATGCCAGAGCATTTTTATTTTTTGAAATCTATACTTAATATTTTTTTATAAAGAAATGAAAAAAGAGAAAACTGAATAATTTTGATTGTGTTCGTTACAATAGTTATAACTTATATGTATACAGAAATAACTAATTCACTATGTACAAATACTGGAAGCCAAATTTTCAGCTGCTTAAAGGGTTAGGCCTTAGGGGTAGTCAGGATTTTCAAAAATTAGATTTTTTTTTTGCATTTTCTTAAAATCTGATGTCTCGAAAATATTATCTGAAAATTTCAAGTTAATCCAAGGAATAGATGACTCGATGTAAGTAATTAAATAATTAATATTTCTTTACATCGATCGATTAAAAATCTTTTTAAATGAGTTTTTATCGAAACTATGTTTTCAAAGTAAGTGACCACTGTAATTCAAAAACCACTTGACAGATTTGAATGAAGTTTATAAAGCTTATTGAAAGCATAAAAACTAGTGCCTAATCGAAGGATTTCTTTTTTTTATTAAATATTATATTTTTTACAAACAATAAACTAGTGGTTTTTTCCTTGAAATTCCGCGAGTAAACGACCAGAGGTCACCATTTTGTTTATTTTCAAAAAAAAAAAAAATCTCCGATCAGGCACTAGATTAACTATTAAACTATAATGATTTTTTTAGGTTTGATTGATTTTAGATGATTCAGTAAAATTGTATGTTGGTCACCGCAAAACACGACTTGTGAGACGGGGTCCAACAAATAACTTTATATTATTTGTTTTATAAAATAAATTAAACTACTGTCCAAAAAATATTATTTGAAATACTCATTTTTTGACCCCGCAGACTACCCCTACCCCTTAAGCTCTTATTGAGTTTATTATATGAAGCATTAGCCATTATACATTTTTATACAGCTATCCTATCTCATGATGCCCGATGATGGCAGCGTTGGGCCTTCATGACCTGTTAGGTTACATGATGATACAGCTATTCTGTAAAATTAAAAAAATGTATTTATGACATATTATTATGTAACAATAAGTTATATCTTTTAATTGATAATTCATTTTTCACCAGTCTGTCCATCTTACCATAATATTTTATCTGTAGTAATCATAGAACTTTCATATGTACGTAATTACAATTATTAACATGGAAGGGAGGAGGGGTTTGGAAAATTGAATGATACTCGGGTCCGTGGTGGGTTCGTCCTTTGTATTACAATTTACACTAACTCATTTCAGATTAAAAAATAAACACAGAACTCTTAATTATTTTAGACTTTGCAAATATATACTATACCTATACACATATGGGCAAAAACGCCAAATACAAACGAACTTTTAGAGCACCCCCCCCCCCCCCCGCAGAACTTTTTGAAACGTGCCTTGCATGTCTGTTACAATAAAATAAATGTTCTCACATTTTTTTGCACTTTTTTTTCCAACTATTTTGGCCATGACTGTATAAATATATATATATATTTTTTTTACTCATCTTTTTTATTGTTTTTTTGTAGTATCTTCGCCAGTTATTAAGAATAGGTTAGTTCTGTAAAATAATCTATTTACTGATAAGAATATTAATTTTGTTTTTCGATTAACTGAAAGTTATTAAAATTTAGTTTATAATCTAAAAAGATAGTTTTTTTAGTGTTGCTCAACATTTGAAAATTTGTCTATTATTTCTTTTCAGATAGCTAAAAAATGTTTACATAAAATGTGTAAATTTCAAATTAGGTTCTCCATAAAAATGCTAAGAAAAAAATCATAGTCATGTCAACAAAACAGGAAATGATCTTATTTTTACACATAATTATTGAAACTATTTTGATAACTGTGGTCCCTTTTTCCCGTTTTTTCGAACTCGGCTGATTTCTTCATATAGGAAATAAAAAATTGTGCACAAAAAGTACTTTCAAAGCCAACAATTAAATACTATCACCTATTTCCTTTTAAAATTGAGAAAATGACCCTAAAAATGTATTTATAACAAGACACATCATCTTCTTCCTGCTTTACCGCGGAATGTACTGTCATTCTTCATGCGCTCCTCTATAACATTTCGTCACAAAAAACCCGCTTCCTTATCTGTTCTGATTCTCAAGCGAGTCTTCTAGCTCTAACTACTAATCTTTTCAGCATCTATATTTCCCCTGTAATCCTTTCGATTAGATCCCTTTTTACTCAAAATTCATTCTTCCGGGAAAGAAGTCTACTTTCAATCGGTCACGCTGGGATTAGGGGTAATGAAATTGCCGATTCCCTTGCTAAAGCCTACTTCTTGAATCACTCTATTTATCCTTTATTTAATCTTTTATCCCTCGATGCTCTTTCTTCCTTCAAATCCACCATAAATAAAGCTTGGCTAGCCAAATGGGCTGCCCTCCCGCATAATTGTACACAATGGCATCGGTTTATTACTCCTATTTCCTCCAGCTTCCCTTGGTTTTTATCTACCTGACCTTCTCCGCGAGAGTATTTTGTCTGCTTTTGCAGACTCAGATTGGTCACAATTTACTCCCGGCCCATGCCTTCAAAATGAAGCTCAATTCTGTACCTTACTGTCATCTGCAAGAGGAGAAAGCTATCGGTGACTTCTCTCATTTCGTTTTCGAGTGTCCCTCCCTTAAATCCGAAAGAATCTCAATTTTTAATTTCCTTGCCATGCATGGCATCTCTGGTCCTACTCCTGTTCTCATCCTTAACTCCCGCGTTGTTCCTGTAATTAATGTCACAATATAGTTTACCTTGAGCTCTGGTTATACTATATAGTTTTTTTTTGTATTTTTCTTTCTCTTTCCTATCTATTTTTTTTTTTGGAATTTTCGGATTTCCATCACTAATAGAGTCCGAATGTCCGATATTTTAGTGTCCGGTTATGTTGTACACGTGCAACATTCATATTCAAAATACATGCAAGTTGTACCTAACCAGTGACAATGTTATAGTATGCTGTTATTTTTATTAACAGTACATTATTAATTTTTTTAATGTTTATTTGTTTTGTTATTCTGTAGTGAGGTTGGTAGATTATTTAGCTATTAGTTTTCCAACATCATTTGTATAAAAAAAAAAGCCAGCACAGTGGGGTTGGGACATAATGGGGAGGTCACAGATCTACATAAATTATTATTACAACTGAAAGTTATAAGATCACTTTTAAATAACCGCTTCGATGCAAATCTGTGGATAGTAGGTTCAAACCAGTACAGTCTTAACCGAGCACAATAAGAAAGTAGACAGGAGCAGGAGGAGAAGTGACCGAGTGCTTAAAAATTAATTATTAGCATTAGGGTGGATACGATTATAGTAAATCGTCTGTCTATAAAAATGTATTGCCATTAGTCATAGTTACCCGAGTATTGTAATTATTAATATAATGAGAATATTTTCATTACCTGTTGACTGTTGATTCACTCACACATGACAACCTGGAAATTGACGACATTCAAAGTGTAATGTTCCCCTTTTTTTAGGGGTTTTCCTTAACTTTTAGGTACAATTTTTGATCTATAGAGTTGCTACACAAACAATTTTCTTAAATACATATACTTAAAAAATTTGAATGGCTTAAATACCATTTTTTTTTTTGTGAAAATCCACATTTTCAAATTCTCATTACTACTATAGAAATACATTATGCTCAGGTTTAGAGACATGATCTAATTTCTGTTTTTCTAATTGCACAATATTTTAAAAGCTGCAAATTACTTAAATTTGGATAGTGTCATAGATTAATGTTGTAATTATATCAAAGAAGAAATTAATTCAGATATTGACTATTTTTTATGAAGTGCGCTGAAACTTTTTCTATTATAACATACTTTAATCTTTATGATCTCTGTCACTTTGGAACAATACACCTCTCAATTATTTAGCATAGTTTTGAAACAACAAAAAAATATAATTCTTTTTTTCAAAGAAATATTTAGTGTTTTTGTTATAATAAGATCAGTAGTCGTTTATACACTTCTATAGTTTATTCCTCAATAATAATATAGTATTAAAAATACAATAAAATAAAATAATTGAAAAATGAAGCATGTGAAAATGAACAAAAAATAAAATGTATATCACATACAAGTAAAAAATATAATATTTTCTATTTAATGTTAAATTGTGAAAAATAAAAATGTTATGTCAAATATAAAAAATACAAGTTTGTATTAATACTTATTTTATTTTTGAATAAGTTAAAATATTTAAAAAAATATTTTTATTTTAGTACTATTTTAAGCTGCAATAGGATTAAATCGAACTTGATGTGTTACACCCAAAAACTGCAATATAACTTCTCTTATACAGGTTATTAGCAATGAGTTACTTCTAATTGTTTCTAAAAGTCTTACAATAGATGAACCTCGATTTAATGCTCGACCCAAAATATTAATTGCAACATTTAAAATTTCTTCTGTAATCATTTGAATTAAAATACCCATTTGGGTTTGACTTAACTTGCGGATCAGCTCAGTGAGAGTAACAGCTCTGTTAACAATCAAAGTAGACAAGCCCGTTCCAATACCTCCACCTATAAACAATGTTGAGTATAATTATTGTTCTCCGTTATTAGATAAAAGTTTTAAGCATACTACTTACCAACCAACATCCCTAAACGACCTGCAAAAATACCTCCTACTACAGTACATGAACCGACTATGAACCCAGATGTTAAAAAGCCTTCACGTTCAATTTGAACACCACTAAAAATTTGACATAATATTTCTACCGCAGTACTTACTTCTGTCGTAGTGGCCAACGCCATCATGAATGTTAATTTTATTTATTAAGTTCTTATATTCTGAATTCACTTAATAAATAACAAACGATGGGCACAATTGGATACATAAATGTAAGTACCGAGTAGTTCTAGGAAATACTAAATAGTTAAAAATAGTATACTAGTCTATGGTGTAATCTGTATGCTCAAAACTCAGCTGTTATTTATAAGAGTAATAACACAAATTGGTAAGAACTAAGAACAGAAATCTGGACGAATGATGATAATAAAATTATTATGAAACTATGTAAATTTACTATCAAATTATCACCAGCTGATCCAAATAGTATAAATGGTAATACTAGGAAGTAGGAAGGCTAGGTCCACGATGTATGGAAGATATTATATTCTCTAGGGAGTCGGGAACCCAAAATGAATTCAAAATTAAAACGAAAATCTACAGACTATACTGTATTTTTTTTTTTATTCTATTATAATCAAGATGTTTCATATTATACAAAAAACGGATAAAACCATTCGTTTTAAAACTATACACTTAGACAGAGCGCACCGTTTTCGGGCGGCTGTACGTTGTCTATATGAAAATAGTTAATAGTCATAATAGGTATAGCCGTTTTGCATAATATTATATTCTGTGGAAAAACTAAATACTTGGCGTTTACAGTGCTGTCAAGCGTAATCGCGTACATGTTGGTGATGGTTTCCTACACTGCTCCTATTATCAATCGAAATTGATATTAGAATAATCAACAAAAATCAGGCAACCCGAGTTATCTGATAAATGCAGTTAATAACAACGAAATAAGTAATAAGTAATAACTATTGTTGTTGTTATTAATAATAATATGTAACGTAATATTATTTAAAATTAAGAAGAATTAACGTGTTGGATATTTAATTACAGGTAACATTAAATTAATTTACTAGTGACATATAACCATTACTAAAACATATGAAATTTGAAACATATGAAATTATTTCTAAAAAAAAAATGACATTCTGCAGAAAAAAACTAATACTTGACACACTACATATTTGAATTTGTAAATTTGAGTAGTTTCGACTCGATTTATATTCAAATTTACTCTTCTGCAGGGCGGATACCCATTCGGTAGTTTAGGTTAGCCGTTAGGTGTTTATGTGAAATACAATTTGACATATTATATTTTATGCTGATTAAAATCTAAAATCGCAGATTAAGAACTTTATTATGACTAATGAGCTATGTAAGTTATTATCAGATTATTTTTAAATAAGGTTTGTGTTAAAATGAAAAAAAAACCAAAATAAGTGTTGTATTTTAAAATGTTTTATGTTACGAGTAGCTGTGTGGCTGTGATGCCAAAAACATGATTTAAGATAATGTTATCTTAAATTGTGGTCAATACTAATACTTGCTAAATTTTATAAGTGTATTTTATACCATAATAAAATATTATTTGCTTTCAGATTAATAATAAAAAGTGCAATGTCAGCATTAGCGTCATTAACGGCTAATTATACTGATTCTGAAGATGAAGGCACTACACCTAATCAGCGAAGACAAAGTGAAGAAATTCCTAATCCAAACCTCTCAGAAGAACGCCTACCTAGTCCTAAGTTACAAATACCAAATTCAGCACCAGCTGTAACCAATCCAGAAGATGACAATAAAACTAACCTAGTTTCATATTTTGAAGAACACGATATTGTTATGTCAGACGAAGAAATTGATCACCGACAATCTATAGATGAACAAGATATTTTACCACCAGAACCTCCAGGTAGATGTTCTAAGGAACTACAAGAAAAAATTGCTCGGCTACATGAAAAAATGGGAAAAGATGGCATGGACATGAACTATCTTATTCAAAAAAGAAAAGATTTTCGAAATCCCAGTATATATGAGAAATTGTTACAGTTTTGTAATATTAACGAGTTAGGAACCAATTACCCGCCACATCTTTATGACCCACTCAGATGGGGTAAAGAATCTTTTTATGAAGAATTAGGACGATTACAAAAGGAAGACATGGAAAAGAGGCAGAAAGAAAGGAAAGAAAAAACCAAGGTCAGTATTACATTTTTCACATTTTTTATTTATAAACATTTTTTTAAATTAATACCAATAACAATTTTAGGTTGAAGTGGTATCAGGTACCAAGAAACCGAACAATAGTGTTACAACTTCCCACAAACCTGAAGACAAAAAAAGTAAATGGGATTTGACGACTTCTGCTACTGGAACAAAGGGAACCATCATTTCAGCTTTTGGTTCTCTACCAAAAAAACAGAAATTAGATATTCATTAAAATGTACAATATTTTAATATATTAATAAGTTTTAGCAGTAATTGTAAATACTTTTTGTTAAAAAAACGAAACAGTGCACTAGGTTTAATTCCATTTTATTTGTGTAATAAAACAATTTATAAAGATAATGTTGCTACGCTAAGTATGTATTTAGTTTATTATGACATGTAAAAATTATATTAAGGAAAATAACAAATAATTCTGAAATTTTCGAAATATCTAAATATTTTTTTCTAAATAAATAATATTCTTCTTCTTCTTTTTAAAAAATACTATAATATGGTGCTTAATGGAGAAGAGAATAAGGTACAATTTATATCAGTTATTCATTCACTAAAAATTGTTTATAATTTTCCATAATTTTAGTAAAAAACTACTTATCCTTAATAGTCGGTCATGCAATTTATGAAATACACAATAATAAACATAGGTACTTTTAATATAAATATGTTTTAATTTACCATTTATATAAGTTTAAAGTAATAGAAGTTGACTTAACCACTATTTTCTTAAATACTGCTTGTATAAAACCCCTTAAAAACCGCCCACTTTCAATGCCCTTAAATATGTATCAACATAACTCGGTTCTTAATTAGATATTTGTTATGCCTAGTTTGGTTTTACAAAACATTGTTTTTGTTCTTAAAGTATTTCGGTTATTTCCAAGTAAGTCATCTTATCGTAGTTGGTTATCCAAAGAACTTTGTATTTTAATACGTAAAAAAAATTAGATTCATACAAAATTTAAACGTACTGACTGATAAATAATTTATAATGAATTTGCACTAAGTGTAAACTATTTAAATATTGTTCTTACTCGTGATTCCAATTATTTTTTGAAGTTTTGAAGAACCAAAAAAAAATTGTTCATTACCAAATTGTATGGAAACGGTCGGATGCCTTAAATGTTATAACTGATATGTTTAGTGATTTTTTTTCTCTTCTAAATATGTCGCTTTGAATTTAGCCCCCCCCCCCCCCATTCTATCTAAATCCAAACCAATTGTAAGTAATTATAACCACGTTATAAAAATTTGTAACTTATTTTCCACCCCTCTACAACGTTTTCAAAATATACCCCAGCTCCCCCTATTTTGTTCAAATAGCTCCGGACAGATGGTAAGTCGTAGATATGAATTTGTAAGTAATTGTAACCGAGTTTTTAAAATTAGTAACTTACTTTTCACCCCTCTACAACGATTTCAAAATTGACCTTACCTTAGGATCGTCTGAAGAAATTAACATTAAATATTTATATAATAAAAATAAAGTTTTGTTGAACAAGGTATTGGTTATTAGGAAACAGATAAAATATGCATTTATATTATGGATTAATTAAAACGTGTGTCGTGACAGTGTGTTCAAAATTATATACGAAAGCAAGCACGCCAAAAAAATTCTATTGGGGGGGGGGGAATACTTTTGGGCTTTGTATCATTTTCCACATTTTGTTTCCAATGAAAACCAGTTCAAGTACGTTGAATATTGCTATGTACAGTAAGTTACATAAATTATATGTATGGATACTTGGATAATCCTGCGTATTTTTTTATGCTTAGGAAAAACACTGTATCTTCATCAGAAATGCCTTTAAAATGTCGCATCGACCAAAATATTGTCAAATACTAGGGAAAAACACAGTATGTACATTTATGAAGCATGTCCTAGGGAATAAAGCAGTATATACAATGGAGATACTGCTTATTTTATTAGTAATCAAATTTCTCAATGCATATACAGTATATTTCCCAAGTAATCTTAGCTAAAACGGCTTTGCAGTATGTACACTATATTTGATCTAGAAATGGTCGTGGTACTAGTCAGACACGACAATATGTACCAAAAAATTTATAGTATTGTGTTACTGGCTTTGGTGGAATCCGATTTTTTTTTTTTTGTATGAAAAGCTAAAGGAAGATCTAATTGATATGAGGATGACCTCCCTCTTCATGCCGCACAATGTCCTGTGGAATTCACATCCAAAAACTGGAGCCGCCATATCTATGAATAAAAGAATTGTTAGTTAGTGGGGCCATAGAAAAAAAAAAAAGAAGAGAGAAAAAGTTTTCTTCAGCTATTTTATAAATAACTTACATACAAATATTGTCGCACTGGAGATAGATCCGACAGCCCTAAGTCACCAACTAATTTGTTTCTTAACATCAGCTAATTCGTCACTTGCCAACCATTTGCCGCCATACTCAGAATGACACAGCAAACGCATTCGAACACAGTTTACGTTTTGCTACAGAACGATTAACCCGAACATTTGAGCCTAACACTAACGAAGTGTTACTAAGATTAATTGCAGCTTTACGCGAAAGGGTCATCTTACTATTGTACTATCCTATTGAACACTATTTACGCATACTTATCGGGCCGACCCCGACAACGGAAGAATAAGACAAATTGTATATATCAGTTGTACACCATGGTAGCAGACGAACTAAGGACGTACAAATAACCAGTAGTTCTATACAGGCAAAATATCACTACAGCGGTCACCGTGCATATAAAAAAACCCAGCAGGATGGAGCGAAATAACTTTGCACCATTCCACCTCAAAAACCCGTCCCGTTTTTACCCTACCAAATACCGTCGATGATTATTTCTTGGATCAACTCTTTTTCCATTTTATTAACATAATATACGAAAACCAATATTTAACCGTCGATTTTCGGTACCACATTGACGCATTCTCCGATACCCAAAGCGGTTTATATTTTGAGAAACTCGATTCTCTTAAGGTCCAGACCAAGGAAGTTAATCTATTGACTTACTTAGACTTAAGCCAATACAGTAAAAATATACAACTACTAGAGGCAAATCTTACCCAAATGGTACTTTGTCAGGCCTAAAATTAAAAATGTTCATTGTTCACCCCATCGCTTTTCATAATCGTGAAAAACAGCCAAAAAATATCAACATTATATAATTAAAAAATAGTCGAATTAGTTCCAAACGGGTATGGACGTAGTACTACCGATAAACATTGACAAACCCCAAAAAAATATCATAAACCTTTTTCCCTTGAAAGGGGTGGACATTTTTTCTTTTTCTCTTTGCTTTTTAAGTGAAGTTTTAGGGCTTAACGTTTGAAAGTTAGATCGAAGTTGGAGATAATTATCATTACCCCAAATACAGTTCAGCTTGAAGGATTTGGTATCATTTTTTTAAAACACAACTGCTAGCTATATTATCATTTTTGATTTACCCTCAATTTAAGTTAGAAGATACTGCGCTAATAAATTGATTGATTATTGCATGCAGTCGGTACCTACTTCGTAAATAGAATATCGATTCACATTGATTAGACTATGACCATATAAAAAAAAAATTGTAAATTAAACAAATCTAATTAAGTACATTATTTATTAAAACATCAAAAGCACATTACAATAGTACCTATGTAATATTATAAGAGTAAAACTTATAACGTTTTATATTTTTAACAAATGGGGATCATACCTATAAGGTTAAGGGTAGCACATGATATGTTATATAATACTTGAAAAATGACTAAATATAATACACAGCAATAATATATTTAGTATAGTATATATATAGTTGAGAAGATAATATTAAAATACAGCACTCCAAGGAGAAATAATTACATACATCAGCAGACAGCAACAGCATCTGTCGACGAACGAGTATGAGGCAGTTCTAGGCTAGTGACTACCGCAAAGCTAATATAAGTTAGGCAGTAAAGTAGTAAAGAAATAACTATAACATATTTATTTCAGTTTTTATACATGTCGCATAAGACTTTTTCCATGGGTATATTGCCAATAGTTCTTTGAAAGAATATCGCTTCAATACGAACGGCTGGTACGGTTTTCAGTAGTGGTAACATTAATAACAGGCGACCAAATCTCACCGGTTGCCCGGGATGTTGATTTCTAGTGTGTTGGCCCAACATGACGTGAGCTTGGTCTTGTAGGTTTTCCACTTGTATGGGATCCTTCAATCCTCTTGTATCTGTAAAAGATAATATTTATTTATTCATTTTTGTTTAGTAGAAGCATAGGCGAAACTGGAAGAGAGGGGGAGGTGGGCTAGAGGAATTAAAATCCTTTGGGCTATCAAAAAATGTTTTTAACAGGTAATTAATAGTATTAAAATTGTTATTGAATTTTTTCTTATACATTAAAGAACCCTTTTTTTTTTAGAACATTTAAAAATAATTAAAAACTGTTACTTAATTTACAAATTCAAAAATATAGGTACTATAATAGCTCCTGCGCATTAACCTGAGCACACGCCCAACAATAATTGTCCTCCCATTAATATATTATGCTTGAGCGAAGTACTCAAGTAGAAATAATTAATAAATAGGTTAGATATTATGTCTAATGTCCCATAATTTCTTTCTTGATTTATATAGCGAGAAAACATTTTAAACGCACCTGCTCTAAATAAAACTATTGCCTTCATGCAAGCAAACTCTGCTGGGTCAACGCTAATGGTTCTGAATCTGCGCAAAGTCTCGTTCAATATCCGAATGTCGGCGGCCACTTGACTAGCCTTACCGTTTGGAATGGCCGCTACGTGATCCGATGGGTTAAACAGTGGATTGTTTTCTAACGGCAAACACCACTGGACTGCGTTCAACAAGAATAGTTCCGACCAGCATTCTTCTAAAAGTATTACCTAAAAAAGAAACAGTTTTGATTTACCTTTATAATATATACATAGATATAACAAATACTGTTGTAGGGTTTTTGCCATAAAAAATTAAGTAAATACATTTTTAAAAAGTTCGTTCGGTTTCTTTTGGGTACGCCCTCGTATTGGACTTAAAATAGTTCTGGTTGAACTATCTTTCGTAATGTACACCTTTCAAATTTATGATAAATCGACTATTTTGTGTTTAGATGTTAGTTTAGAGGTAGAAGCGCCGTTCAAAACAGAAACCCTATAGATGAGGCTAGTTAGTACAAGGTTAGTTAGTCGACTTGAAGGGTTTCTGAAATAAACGATACACTTAACAAATTAGCTACTGACTTATATAACTTAGCTGTTCTCACATCTGGGGACTAAGTATTCTTTTACCTCTTTTTTTCGTTACCAGTACAACCTTAACTGTTTCAGTGGACAGTGTTATCCATACTCAAACATGCTAATCTTTTCAACTATTGAGCTCAAACCTAAAGCTACACGTTACGTGTACAATTCTTAATTCGTCAGACACAAATCGGCCACGGATGAAAAGTGTAGGTAATTACAACAGTTTAGTAAAAATTGTTCTACCTGATCTCTAAATGGTAGAGACGCGAACGAAGGTAAATTTTTGGCCCACTTAACGGCCATGAACAGCAATCGGGCGGACGTTTCATACACATTTTCGTGGAGACCCGGATAGAAGGACGTGTGGTGGTCGTAAATCGAGTGATGTTGAGTGAGCGGTATTGGTATTGCCGGAGATGTCCTTTTGTTTTCTGACGTGTCCGGTTCCTCGTTGGTAACGTCTATGCTGTCATCTGAAAACGAATACACAACAGTTTAATAATAACTAGTTTACTCTTTGTCTGGGTAAATTCGATTTTACCGTCGTCTTGGTCTTGAGATTCTTGTTTTGGAGACGAAGAAGCGGTAGGCGATGGTTCAGCGGGACGCTGCACGTTTGGCGGCGCTATTGGTCCACTCGGATGGTACCTCAACGGAGACAACGCTAAGGCAACAGAAACCGGAGGTCTGTAAAGACATGGCCTGTTGAGAATTTTTGCTACTATAATGAATATTGAAAAATAACTGGTAACGTACGAGCACAATGTGTGAGATATTTATTGTTATTAATATTATGATGTTTTTAGGCTGAGGGACAACTAAGAAAATTTGTAACATTTTTTGCGTCACTCTAATTATTTTTATAACAACTTGGCAATAATTGACATATTATTATAAGCTGCGGGCGACGTCTGTCGATTTTAAATAAAAACTATATCAGTATACCTACTATGATATAATAATAATAAAACAAATACGAGTAATATTTTAGGGTATAAATCTACTTTATCGGACACCTTTTTTTTCGGTTAGTTTTACCGGGCACCAAAAAGGTGCCCGGTTAAATAGATTTGTTTCCCCTTAAAAAAAATACAAGAACAAATCCAACAGATCCTATAACAGGTTGGGCTAAAGTCCTACTGTGCACGCGCTATAGTTTTGGCTTAGTATCTTAATGGACGACGTTGATTTATGTGAACATTCGACTGGAATATAAACTTAGTAAGAGCGAACGTCGATGATTGTCAAAACGCGGTCATCAAATTAACATTAAGAGGGGTGCGGCATTAATTTTTAGGGTCACCGCAGTCACAAGTGCAAAGGTTCTTTGATGGTTAATCCTCGAGCGTTATTCGTCCGCGAATCAATATACAGGCAAAAAAATCAACCCATATGGTAGGCATATATATATATAATATATATTATAATTTTCCGAGGGTTCGTCATTGAAACGTTCAACTAGTGTAATTTGGTTTGGATTAAATTTAGCTTTGTCCATTATTGTTATATATTGTGTTGTATAAGTTATAAAATATGTATATAAATTATAAAATATGCACACACCCTCGTCATTTGCACTATACGAATTATTATAAATTATACATATTTTAACCAGCTTATACTTGTTGTACACATAAATCATTGACACGAAAAAAGATTTGGAAGTATAGCTTGTCGCTATAAATTGTGTAAAACAATACAGTATGCCTATTATAATAACCGTATCGTTTTGTAATCATTTAATAACGAGGTTAAAATATCAATCTACTTGGGCAGTTAAAAATATAAACAATTTTGAAGCCATACTAAAAAATAATTGCGAAAGAAAATTATTTGTTGTTTAAATAATGTCCGTATGGTTATGGATGCGATACGATTCGTGTGACGAGTACCTAATGCATGTTAACTCATTACTGTTAACGCAAATAGCAATAAATTAAAGACTTTTGTAAAAAAAAACAAAATCAACAACGCAACAAAACAAATTGGAAAGACAAAACTGCTGGTTTTGTCATTAGAAAACGTTGTTTGACTTGCGATTTGCATAACAAATACTAACAGTCCAGTATTGAGTAAACCGACAACCCTGCAGCCGTCGGCCGCAATGATGTGTGTCCGACATATAATATTATTACTATGCACTTAGTGTAAAATTATAACAATAAAAAAATGTTATGTAAAAATATGCGACAAACGCACTTGAGTAAATGTTGTAGTCGACAGCTGCTGCCCAAATACTATTTATAATTTATTTTATAACTTTTATAATAGATGTACCGACAAAAAAAGTATTTATAATTAAAGTTATGTAAGTTTCAACAGTTACTTTAGTGAATAACATGAAATATCAGCTCTTCGCCTAGTGACCTATCGAATATAGAGAGACTCTCCGCAACAAACTTTGTCCTTCATTAATTAATAATTATAGGATTTAAGTCATAGGTTATTCTCTATTGGTAACAGGACATTGCACACACGCCCTGCACCACATTTGCATGTAAATTGTAACATAAAGGTAGTTAAGTACCTGGGCAGTGGGCACGTACGTGAACTATTTAATGTAATAATATTTTTTCCCATTGCCTATACTGATGGAAAAATTCGATTATCTGAAAGAATGTATTTTGTTATAACTATTAAGTATTTTATTTAATCAATTATAGTAATCAGTAATCTCTATTGGAAATAACGACATTGGATTGCGTTAAAACTGGGCGATTAACGTTAAACGTTAATGTCTTGTGAAACCAACTAGAGGGCTGGTGTTTAAGAATACAAAAAAACTAAAAAGCGTCAAGGCAATGGTTTCAGCTGACTCTCGTTCGTGGACTAGCAAAAATGAAAGTCACTTTTATATTTCAGGGAGCATGAAAAAACGTATACAAAAAAATATAATAGTATTACGATGAATCTCACTTGTCCGACATGAAGAATTAAAAAAAAACCTGAAACCCATTTTTACGAATAGCGTATACATATTATGCCGGTACGGCAGACCATTTATCAAAACCATTTATCCAGGGTGGTGGACGTGACCCTTTTTTGTCATAAAGAATATTATGTCATTGCCATTGTTATTGTATGAGGTGTGTTTATTTTAAAAGCCTACTGAAAAACAATTAACGTACGACTCGAACAATTTTCCATAGCGTTCATAATCCCATTTTATTGATGCGTCCCGATTTTGCAATCGATCAAGTGGAGAGAGTATAGTTAATTGATTTATTGATAATTTTTGTATTGTAATTGATGCGAGATTTGTTTATACTTTATTCAAAATGATCTATGGAATAATATGTATACCATATTGTTGATTTTAATAAATACGATCAATTACTATAATATGAAGGTATTTAAATCGTTTAGGGTAACTTCAAATATATTCAATACCTTTTTATCTACACAACGAAGCTAAATCAGAGCAGTTAAAAAAAGCTATTTTTACGCTTAAAATAACAGACGTGAGGGGTTCTCTTAAAGATTAATCAAGACTTAAGTCATTATAACGGTTTATAAAATAGCACTCTTACGATAAAAATTGAAAAATGTTGAAGTTTTATACAAATATGTTAAGTCTTATGGAAAAAATGCATATAATAATATTTCTAAAAGTCCATATGAGAAGTTTGATGAATACAAGTAGCTCACTCTTTGAAAAAAGGCTAGTTTATAATTAAAATAAAGATTTTCCAAATTACTTAGGACAAAATTTAAATTAAGGATATACTTTAAAATATCATCATTGACACCTACATATTTCTCAAGTGCACTGTGCACATACTCGTATTTGTCATGTCAACAATACGTTTTAATTTCCTACTGCAGTCTGCACACAGCACACTTTGTGTCCTTATGCACCTTAAAATAAAACCTAGGTAAATTATTTTAACAGTAAGTGCGATGCCCATAATGTAATATGTTTTAGAAATAGATTTACCTATAAAAATAAGGAATGCTATAATATTGCGCTGGAGACAGGATAAATGCACTTACCCAAAAACTCCAACGGCCACAGCAGCTTCCCTAATCACTCGCTCGTGGTCCATGTCAGCTAAATTTTCCGGTCGTATTGTTGCAGTGTTTCGAGGCTGACGTTCGTTTTGGACGGCTATAAAATCCAATCGATGTGATCATTATAAAATAAAATAAAATCATGATTTAGGTTTTGCAAAATAACAATAGCGATTTACCGTGTACATATAGTACAAAATATAATGACATATTAAAATTGGATGAAATATGGTTTTATTTAACGATCAATCAGCGGTTGAAAGTTGTTACATATTTTTTAAATGAATTGAATTTTTACTGTTTACTGTTCAGTGTTGTCACTGTGTTAGCGAAAATAAAAATCACACAGATTTTTAAAGATTCTATACCATTAGCAGGAAACGCTGCAAAATAAATCAAGGAGCCATAGACACTATATACAATTATTGGTTGTTGGTTGTAACGTTAAAAATACATAAATAAACCTCAAACAATTTTAATTCTAATACTTTCGTGACGTATTATTGTGCACTTTGATTCGTTAGTAATCATTTTAACGCGGTTGTAGTAAACCCATAAAGAGAAGCAATAGCTTAACGGTGTCGACGCACACGTCCATAAGACGTGCCTGACGGACATATTTTGGGTGTTCTTTTAATTATAATGATATACAGTAGAGTAGCGCGACTGCAACAATTAGTAGTAGTCGAAATGCATTGACTACTTGTACTTACTACTCAGTTAAATTATATTAACTACAAATTTATTAAAATACTTATTATACTAACTAACCAGTTTAATCAATAATACTTTTTGTTATTACACTTATATTAACTAATTTCAAGAAGTGTTCAAATTATTTTAACAACGACTACTAGTACTAGTTCGGTCCTTCTTAGATTGACAACCAAACAATTTATCGTCGTTAAAAGAAACACTGCATTATAGTACACCGCCGGTAGGTGTACACTGTACTGTATACAATGTCCTATTCCTATGTATATATACAACGGTATGGTATAGTGCGCTAGTCTCCGGAATCCCTTTGATTTTGGTTACGTTAAAATCGACTGTGGTGCTAGTTGAGCGTGAGCTTTTTAATGACAACCACCTCCGGCTTCGTTCACACGCTGTTAAATGAATTTTAGAAGAAAAAAAATACCAAACACAACCCACACGTCGGTTTTACACATTATTATTACTATAACAATACACAGGAGAATATAAGGGTGGGAACGCGGTGGGGGTTTTTTCGTTTTTCGCCCGGTGTCCTGTATATTGTATTGTCGCATTTAACACGAACGGAACACATTATCATATTATTATTATATGTATACATTGGAGTTTTCCAACAACAACAACAGTAATAATGACAATGTGTTTTACATTTTCGCGTACACGACACACGCCGATAACCGGAGGCTAAATGCAGTAAACTCGGGCTTTATTATGCATGGTACAGTGGTACGAACAAAAGACAAGCCGGGGATGATCGCTCATTAAAATAAAAAATACACGCATAAAATACGTTGGAGCATAACGATACGCGATAATATTTATTGTTATAATAGCCGTATTCCGTATACGTTTTCGGGCATTGTGGTGGTGGTACTGCCACATCCTAATAGGATCCTATATAAACTGTTGACACGTGTGCATGCGTTAAATACACGCGACGCTGTGGTCTTTTACGCAATTATTATTTTTATTTAAATAAGCGTGAAAAACCCTTTTTTTCTGTGGCTCTCCTCTCTCTCTCTATCTCTCTTCGGGACTGTATTGTGTTGTCTTAACGAGGGATGCCACGAGCACGTGCCATTGCTCTCCGCGTTTTGACCGCAGTCACTGTTTATAATGTTAATGATTGCGTTGTACGCGCGCTTTGTTAAATTAAAGTGTGCATTTATAATTGACAACGCTTATTATACATCGAGCTCTAGTTGTAGTTACCAAAATGACAAAAAACTGTTGGTTCGGATAATATTGTGTTGTAGTACGAATGAAATTATTATTAACGGGAAATCAAAATATAAAAAATAAGTAATAACTAACCGTCTTTGTTCATTCCCATGTTTAGACATTTCTTCAGCCTGCACGCTTGACATTGATTTCGATGCGCCTTGTCTACCACACAACTCCCAGTGCCCGCTTGACATCTGAAAAACAAATAAAATAATAGTAAATAAATGTTAAAATATATTAATTATTATGTTGGATAGGTAGGTTAGATATAAGGCAAATATTTAATAATGCATCGCCACAAAATACATTATAATATTTTATTTCATCCAAACGAAGCGAGCTAATGCAGTATATTTTATAAAATATATGTTATTGGGGCTAAGACGTTCTGGCCAACCGCTAGTGACGAAGAATCATGTACGCCCTTAAGACCGCCCTCGCACAGGCGCATCAAAGATTTTTTTGTTTTTCGCCGACAATAATCCGCAGGGTCTAAGTATCGTCAGCAGCACCGGTAACGCCTACTTTTCCAGACAATACGATTTCTTATGCTCGATCTTAAAAGCTTACATTGGCGAACAAAACACAAAAATCTTTACTTATAGAATTAATTTTGGATTTTTTTTGATAAATCCAATAACATAATATTTTGACAACAAACGTCTTAAGACTGATATTAATAAAATACAACAAAATTAAATTTTACGTTAAACGCACGTATGATCTACTAGAGCTGTACTACCTATAATGAATTTATTAATCACAGACTTACATTTAACTACTGCAACATACGTATCATAATTCGTAAAATAATTATTTAATACATATTATACACACTATACAGATTCAAATTTACATTTTAAAGTAGGTTAATGTTACAACATGAAATAATATTTTTGTTTGCTTATTCACAACACTAATTATTACTTATTAACTTTAAAATAAAATAAACTTGAAATTGAAAAGACACAATAAATACGAATAAAAAATTTAAAAAAACAATAAAGAAAGTTAATTTCGCTAATTTAATCATAATTCGAAATGATCCAAATTCACCTATCTGACATTTGTAAAAAAGTTTTTATTTGTTTATACCATTAAGAATTTAATCATACAATAATAAATTTAATTATTTCTTAATATGACAATTATAAATATGCCTTATCGTGTAATACACATTTTTTTCAATACTTAGAAATAACTCAATTTATAACTGTATGATTAAATCCAATGCATAAAAAAATGCCTGTACAGTGTTGCCGGGCATAGTGAGGACGGATCATATCGAGGGGGGGGGGAAGCAACAGGTCTACAAGAATTATTATAACTTTTATAAATGATTTATTTAATTTTTACTAATATAAAATCAATAGTTGATTTTATAAATTATTTATAAGATATTAAAAAAAAAACTATACTTTTCTATTTTTACATTTTTTGTTTGATTTAATTCATACTGGTAAAATGTGCTACATCGCTGGTTCCCTTGGGACCTAGGACCTGGGTCTTCACATTTGCCGGTATTATGACAGGATCTATTGAAGTTATTACGAAGGACAGCAGTGTTTTCATCCCGAGGGTGCGATCAGTGTTGAGATTTAATCCCTTCGATTGAAAACGAGACGAGGGAGAGGACTTTTTAAACAAATCAATTTATCGTTAACGCGATACCAACCATGTCCATAATGTGTTTCGCTTCTTTAATTTCGTTTTCTGACCATCGCCGGTCTTATATATATATATATATATATATAACTATAGGGATTTGCACTACTAATAACGAACGAGGGTTGATGATGTTTAGCATCGACGAGGGTCGTTCAGAGAATTATTATATATATATAATACACACTGGCAGTATACTGCGGTTTATAGTAATAGTATAGACAATTAGTGCAAACACCCGTTAGCGGGTCAAAGAGTCCTTAAAATTGTAATTCTGTGCCGTTTATTTATCGGGCTACGTTTCCAATCCCATTGAACATCTGGGTACTCCTAATCCTAATGTATGTACTTGTACCTTCTTCAAACTCAATCAATTGTAGACAGAAACTATGTACGATTACTGAAATTATTTTTGTGATTTCAATAAATCATCTGATGTCATACTAAATAAAGAAATTAACTCTATAAGTTGTAAAGGATAAATATAGATATTAATATATTTTACTTAATTGTTGAAAACTAAATTGACCAAATATAAATTTAAATACACGGTAATGTAATAATACTAAATATTTTTAAAAATCTATAACTAAAAAAAGAGGTAATCTGCTTCTTTATTTTAGGTATAGCCTTTAGGATATTAAATTTTCAATTTTGTGAATATATATATATATATATATTAATACCCACTTCCCCAGAATGGCAACTCTTGTCACTTGTAGAACAAGGGTAGTGCAAACTGACCTAAAAAATAAGTATAATAAAAATAAAGATTTCGTCCTAAATTTTGTTTATTTACGTAAATTTAGAAGAGCTAAAGTGTATTGCGACAATTTAACTAAAGGAATAATTAAAATTTAGCAATGAAGGAGAAAGTTCATAAATGTTTCTTGCCTTAATTAATTAAGCCATATTAAGCTAAATTGATTGAGGCTTTGGGGTTGCTCCGATAAATAATGTTTATCGTCCTCATTCTGTTTTGGTAAGTTATTTAATCTCCCTATATATCGTTGTATAATCCAATTGTTAATTTCTTTAACTGTTTGAGTATTGACGTCGTTTCATCAAGAAATGAACAGTTAATAGTGTTATTTATTTCCATACTCCTGTCAGAGTTCAGATTCTGCTTGCGTTATAAGTAGGTATATTATATTATATATATATAATATAATACCAACATAACATTTTCTACAGGGTCGTCACTTAGAAATAAATACAATTATATGTATAATTTAAAAATTTTAAAATGTTGTAAATCGAAAAACTTGTAGAACAGAACTTAACCAACCAGCCGCGCACCTGCCACTGGTGTAATAAGCCACGGTCTGTCTGCTCTGTATATGATAGTTTGGTAGAAAGTGCGAGCGGTGCGGGCTCATCTTAAGACCCGATTCGGAAACCAATCAAAAAGTATACTGCGGTGGCGGCAACGAGCGAGGAAGGAAATAACGGGCGATCGATTTGGAAAACGAGTGTTTCTAAAGGGTGCGAGACACAGACGATACACAGTGAGAGAGGAGAAAGTGAGTTGAATATACTGGTGCGGGTGTGGTAAGGAAAAGAGAGACTGAGATAGGGTGGACGAAGCTTTGGCCGACCCGCGTATTTCGTCAGCTATATATATATATTAATATAATTGAATCTTTTTGCTGCCGCGCGTCCTAAACTGCATATACACACAACGTTGTTGTCCCTATTCATCCCTCTTCGCGATAGTCCCGGTCTCATCCGAAGTAATCCCAAAGAGCTGTTATAAAACGTCAAACCCTCTTTCGCGGCTGTTTCTGTACTGAATCACATTTATTTATAACCGTTCAAGAGTATTAGAGAGACACGAAATTGAAAAAATAAAAACCCAACGATAAAAGAAAAGAAAAAGCAATACTTTACTACCGCCGCTGCAGTGGCCCGTATATATGTAGTATATACATATTATGACTTCAAATGTATAATCGTACAAATAAGATCTTTTATACAAAAGCATGAAATCAGAGAAGTTTAATATAGGTAAACATTCTTTGTACGACATACATTACATGTTTTATAAAACCGAACATGGTAATATAATACATAAAATTGGGGATTAATCTTAATGTAAGTTTTTTTCTTAAAACATATTTCAAAGTTAAATAAAATAATTCGAATAACAATAATCATAGAAAAGAGTACATACAAGTTAAATTATTTATGTTAAGTGTTACATGCAAATGTGTAATACCTATGTATTATGGAAGAAAATGTCAGTAATTCGTATGATTTACAAGCGCGGATTGTCTACGATGTGGTAGCTCATCTACTCCACGCCATTTAAATATTTTGCCCCAGTTTTTTTAGTTGTATTATTTTATTGTTTAAAAATACAAATCAAGTCAATACCCAAAAAACTTAAAAATGTATTTATTAATTGAATTGAAATGGTATTAACCTTTTTCAAACATATTTCTTGTAAAATGTAAAAAATGCCAACCATTGATGTAACCTCATCCCATACCTATTTATTCCATTCCGCGCCCGAGTATGATGATATTATATTGTTTAATTTCAAACAACGTGTTTTCTACTAATTTTAATGATTAAAACAGGTATATACATATAATATTAGTTTTATTATTACATTTAAATTTATCCGAACAACTGTGACATTAATTATGACCAGCTTGCCAAAAACCAGTTTTGTGCTTTAAGGCAATCGACTTTTGTTGCTCCTATGCTATTAAATGTCGTTACCCCTTTACCGTTATTAAACCTAAAAATTATTTTTTAAATTTAAGTAGGTAATCATGTTGCAACTTTTATGAAAAAGTATTCTTTTCTTCGCATTTTCATTATTCATAATTTAAAATAATAATACAATATTATACTCAATATACTGTATGTGTATATATATATATATATATATATATATATATATATATATATATTATATATATCTATGTCTATATAAAATTCTCGTGTCACAGTGTTTGTAGCAAAACATGTAAATAATAAAATAAAAAACTTAACTCCCTCGCCTATTAATTTAGAACAAAACACTTCACAAAAGAGGTTCAATTCATGTTTTAACAATAATAACAAAGCAATTTTATTATTTACCGTGAACCTTAAACGAAAATATAGAAATTAAAGAAGGAAAAATAGATATATTGTATAAATAACCATTTATTAACCGATATCTTAATTATATTTTTATTTCAACTTTAATTACCTATAACGATTCGTATCCGAACGTTTATCCCTCTATAGAGGCGTCAAAAAATTATTTACACGTCTAGTAGTCATACATGAATGAAATCACTATGTTGAATCACGGGTAAACATGTTTTTCAAAGGACCATATAATGTGGTTTTCGGACCCCTTATTGACATATTATTATAGTATTAGAGGGTGGAAATAATTGTGGTTGTACACAACATTTTGTTTGTTTTATTGTTATTCGTCGAATCCACGTTAAACAACAATACGGAAAACGACTTTTTTTAACCGAACTATAATTTTTGAGAGGGTTTTGTTAATTCTATAAGACCTTTTAAAAATGGTCTACTGGTCTTCCTAAGGCCAACATCTGAATAAACCAAAATATTTTCGACTTACAATCTACAAATGTTCTTTAAATAATATTAACTTGGATCACAAAGCGGTTTCTTACTATCATCTGCATGAGGAGCATGCTATCGGTGACTTCTCTAATTTTTTACTGGATTGTTCTTCCTTTAGCTCTCAAAACAAATATATCTTTTTCATTTCCTAACCTTGCCTAACCTTTAGTCCTAACCCTACTCTTATTCTTAATTCCCGCGTTGTTCCTGTAATTAATGTCATTATATCTTTCCTTTTGAGCACTATATTGTTTTTTTTTTTTTACTTTATTATTTAATCAGTACATTTAATTATAAATTTTGTCTTTTCTTATATTTTCATATCGTTTTTGGATATCTTTTTTATTTGGTATTTACCAACAATCGAGTCAAGCTTATGGCCATGTTTCTCCTTCAAACCACTCGGCGGAGTTATCGGGAGACGGGAACCCATCCCCCCTCCTTCCATATTTGAGAAAACATATCCGCGAATGATTATTATTTCTCTTATGTCGTTTTTAGCGTGAAGTTGGGAAAATAATGATTTTCCTAGTATGAAATTTACCTGTAGATAAGTTTGCGGCGAACGCTCCTCTTGAAGAAACCGCTGCATCCGTTGCACGCCAATATCCCATAGTGCTTGCCGCTGGACGTATCCCCGCAAACTACGCACGTCAGGCCCAATGTCTTTGTTTTCAACGTGGACGCCTGTTGTCCACCGCCGGCTGAATTGTTGTAATGGGCCGCTACGGACGACGGCGGTGTCCTCGACGCGGACACCGGTACTTGTTGCGCGGCGCACGCTGACGACATGCACAGCGACAAAGGCCGGTCTCTCATTCCGTAACCAGTCGAATCGACCACGTCTGTCAATGATAGCGAAAAAACACAGAGAACTGTTAAACCGGATAATATTTTTAGGTATACCCCTTTCTATATTTAAAATGGCAAGAGAGGAAAACCTATCTTGACTCATAGTATATGTTATGTAAGTATTGATACGTCTCATCGTGGAAAACGAACTTGCACAAGATGACGAAGAAATAGGTATAGTCAAAGCCAAGTTAATTTAAGCCAAATAATTTGTTGAAATATTTATAAGTTATATGTATATCATTCTCACCCTAGAACTGATATCTTGTATTGCTATCGCAGATTAAATAAAACTAATCTATGTTGCTATTTACGATGAATAATATATTTTTTTTTATCAATGACAATAAATATGTTTTTTAAATATCTTATCAATAAACAATTTCTAATGAAAAATATTTTTTTAATTCAGAAAGCCTAAACAAATTTGGGGGGCTATTTCCCAGTCAGGGGGGCTAGCCCCCCCCCTCCCAAGCCCTCCTAAATACGCCCATGCTTAACGCTTGTATTTTAAATGGTCCTCTACAAGCCGCTACAACCAACGATGTGTGGTGTCTTCATAAAAGTGACATGACTTTATGTGCTATAAACATGATGTTTGGTTTTTAGTTATTTTAGTTTAAGGCTAATCGTATTATAAAAATACATATGATCACGGACGGGTAAGACAGGATCTGGCCGGGTGGTCAAATTTATACCCTCAAAATGACAAATATTGTAATTTTATTTATAATGGGCCCCGCCGAGACACGATTATAATATAAGTTATAACCCACTTATTTCCTAGTGCAAATATTTATTTAGCCAACTGCACATTTTAAGTTTCCTTCCGCGCAATTAGGGCCTCGCTGTATATTTAAAAAAATGCACATTTCGTACAGTGTTACTAGTTAGTGTGGCGTAGACACTGTTTTAAGGAAAAACGTAAAGATTATTCCCTTATGCAATTTATTATAAAATGTTACCGTGAAATATAATATCACTGTGATAATTTCGACTGGCTCGTTACATAGGAATATATGGGAGGGGGGCGTGTGAGCTAGGCAACTTTGTTACAATGTTATCATATTATGATACATTAACATTTAACTAAATTAGCGTTAAGTCAAGTTGATATTTTATTCTGTTTTTACTTTGTGTACGAGTTTTATTTTTAATTCTAAAAATACTAGAAATCTATTTATTTTTACTTTGTACTACTCTTGAAATCAATAAAACATTATTATGCTTGTATAATACATACATAATGTAAAACTCACGATTACTCTTTATTTTCAACATTGAAAGTTTTGTTTATTATTAAAATATTATTTATATAATACTCGTATGTTATTTTTCCTTCGGCCTTGAAGTATAATTCTCAATCTAATTAGTGGATTTACAGAAGGGAGTAATACGATTTTAAGAGTGATGGCTGGTGTAGTACAGTAAGCAATTTTAAACGTAAATGGTGCAAGACAGAGTGGTATTGCGTATACAGAAGCGGTATTATACTGTTGACAAAAATAAAGGTGTAATAAAAATTCGATTCTTAAACCTTATGTGATTTTTTTTTTTGAAGTTCGCGTGGAACGAGATGCGCGGCTTAAACGGGAGGAAAAATGAAAAATAATTTCTCGCTTTAAATGTACATTTTACGTCATTAAATCCTCGTGGCTTATTATTTTAAGCGTGGCGTCCGACGAGACGGGAATGGACGAGCGTCGATTGATTATTCCCGTGGGGAAGGAAGGGGCGTGCGCTCCAGGAAAATCCAGGGCTTAACGCTGGCCCCGAGGGGAAGCGTGCGCGGTGTCACATCTGGCGCGTCCCGAACACCAAATGAATCGTCGCTTACGCGCGCACAACTTTAAAAGTCATTTGTTTTTTCCGCCAGCCCTTCGTTCCAGCTGCTATTGGTTTAGATCGCACCAACACACATATCATTTAAGTACAATACAAAAACTCAAACAATTACATTATATTATTATTATTATTATGTATATATTTTTCAATAAATTAATACCCGTGATCACGTAGATTCGATATGACACACACGGTACCTATCGACATTGATGTATTCTACGATTGCGGCGTACATAATATTATGTATTGTTATCGCGATGTACATTTATGTTGTCTGGGATAATTTAATTAATTAAATGTAAAGGGAATATTCCCGTGTATTATGTTAAATGATATTATACAGGGTGATTATTTTATCACGGGCCACTCAATATTGATCTCCATTTTTCATTATTTCTTTTTGTTCTTACTCCCTCCTATAATAGTTTTTTTGAACTTTTGAAACTTAAAAATGGTAGCACATATATTTCATTAACTTTTTAAATTGAAAATAATGTACTAAAAATTTCGAATGGTTGATAACCAGTTTTGGACAACTATTTTTTTAAAGTTACAAGAGTTTAAAAGCTAGGATGGGAGGGGAAGTGCGGTTGGAAAGCGCGCGCACATAAAAATGATACTTCACTCTACCTTCCCTTCTGCCCTAAACTTGAAACTTCAATAACTTAAAAAATAGTTATCCGAAACTGGTTATCGTTACCATTTAAAATTTAAAAGTTGTTATCATAAAAACTAAGTTGGGAGGGGCGTAAAAATCCCAAAAAATTGTGATCAAATTGTATAAAAACGATATGAAAAAAAATATTTAATCTCTTATTAAACCCTACGAGATATTGAGTGGCCAATGATAAAAGAATCACCCTGTATACTTCTCACATCTTCATGGAAATAAAGGCGGTAGGTATAGGTACAATTAACAGAACATTCATCACAAATGATTCACCAAATGAGTAATTAAAGATTTGAAATTTAGAGATTCTGGATATCCGCGTCGACTACCATCGATTGTAATGTACACATACTAAAAATCAATAGCATAGTGCATAGGTGGTATAAGTGAAGTTTATATAATTACACAGGGATGACGTTTAAAACCCACTTAAAAAGTTGTACACAGATGATGCCACATGAACATGACGTGTATGTACTGTATAAAAAGTCATTGGCCAGCGCCCAATGGACCGCAATGAACTGAAGAGGGGTTGTGGCCTGTGTTGCAGTAGGTATAGCGAGAATAGGAGAACGCAAATGGGGGATCGATTCGGCAAATTGTTTCTGGTCCCATGAGATGTATTGTAAAAGCCGCGCATTAAACTATAGAGTGTATGAGTATAGGATTGGTCGAAAAAAATAAAAAGAAAGAGTACCTATCCGAGAGTAAATCACCGGAACGGACGTTGAATATTAAAGACCTCAGAATTTCGCATCAGCCAGTATAAGGTATCCGCGCCAATAAACACTTATTGGTGTTTATATAATATTATATATGTATTGGCTAAAATGGCAAAATGAAAGGGGAGGGTTTAGGGTCTACTCTACATAATAATTGATGCAACTATGTAGGATAGCAAAATTAATATTGACTTGCCGTTGAGTTAAATAGCTAATTCGAACTTTAATGGTTTTTTTTAAGAATCAACTTATTCTATACTTTATAATAGAGCTTTTAACTGCGCTTACAAGTTTTTGTAGTAGTATGTTTTCATACTATCATGATGACTAAGTAGGAAGCAACAAAAGTCAGCCCGTCAGGAAATCACGGCGAAAAAGATGACTTATTTAATATTGCTTATATTACCACTCCTCATCTATCTTACTTACGGCATCAGTAATCCAAATAAGACAGAGGATATCTCGTACCTACTCCAAAACTCCTCCAAACCACTTTCAGAGCTCCTTCTTCCAAAAATATAGTAACCAAACAAGTTATTTAAAAATATGAAAGTAGTCGAAAGGACTTCAGATCACTAAGAAATATTAGGCTATTATTCTTACGGCTATGCTTGATATTAAATGTTATCTATCTGATCTTGCTTCGCGTTGTTTATGAGTTATATTATTATTTAGATCTATGATTTAAATCATAAATTGATTATTTTGAGTATTTTTTATAGTTTGATAAAATATAATTCCTTTTATTGATGAATATATCAGTGTGATTTACTTACACATAATAGGTCTAAACTTCTCTTGGATTCCATTTTAAATATTATAATTATGATGAATTTATTTGTAAAATCGGATGTTTTAATGTATCATTTTTGGTTATTAGCATTTTTATTGTGAAATTTTAAAATGTTGTTTGTACATTAAACTGCCAAAAATACAACGAAGATTTAACAAAAAGAAAAGTAAAAGGGTCAAAATGGGTTTAAGTAAAATAAAATATTTTAATATATTATAAAGCGCGGTTTCGAGGACCGTCAGAAGAAAGTTCTCGGGTGGCAGCGCGGGCTGCATAAATAATAATATAAAACGAAATTGGGTAAGTATAATAAATAAATACGCGGCGGAGGGTGTCGGGCGTGTGTCTTTCTCCCCTGCCTTGCCAATATAGAAATGCTAATGAAATCAGACAAATTGCAAAATTATATTCAGAGGGTAATGCGATTTTTTTCGTTGTTGTTGTTCTTTTTCTTCTGTAGCGCCAAGAACTTTGCATGTGACTTCGGGGAAGGGCAGTGAACGTCGCCGAGTGTATCCCATTTAGCGACAGATTTATTCCCCCGGCCTCCCGGTTCCTCTGATCGTCCTTTCCCCAACTACCGGCATCCAGATTCTTCGAGGTTTTTAAGCTCCAGGGGAATATACACCGCCGCCGGGCCCCAGCGTTCATTTATTCCGTTTAAAGTTTCTTCTGCCGTTCTCGTTACCATTGTTTAACAATGAGCGTCGCCAGATTAGGCTCACCGTTCACAAACAGCGTTCCGTTATTTCTTTTTTCCTTCTTCATTTATATATTATAATAACAATATCGTTTCTTGTTATTTTTCCCCCTATTTCTTATTTACTTTTTTTTACTTTTGCGATTATACCTACGTATTTTACATTTTGCTCACTTATGCCGTTTATATATTTGTATTTTCAATTATGCTTGATTTGCAATACAGGTAAAGATAAAGAATTTTAGTTTACATATTGCATTAAGGCCTTGTTTATGTATTTTTAAGATATAAGGTCAACTGTTTGATAGACACATTTAAAACAACTTTTGACATAAAATAGCTATGGGTGACCCTTAAATGTTACAATAATACTATAAACAAAAGAAACGTTTTATATTTTGTTTTATACTTTTGTAATAGTGTTGATTATTACCTCAATTATAAATTAAAACTTATTTTTTGACTTTCGATAGTTGTCTTAGATTATGCATATGGGTATCTGTGTTAAACTTTTAAATTGTATAGAAGTTTGAACTAATAATATAATACAATATTTTTATTATATGAGAGAAATGTAGAAACAGTTAAGTTCTATACAAAACATTTTGTATGGCAGTATGAATAATTACACAATATTATATAGGTTTTGCAGTGGCGTCTACGTTGAGGTTTTTTTTTAGGGGGTGTCCCTACAATATTTAATCCCTGTTTTTTGACTATCATATCCTAACGTACATACTAAAATTTTATTCACCCCTAAGCCCACCAAAATCATACATTTATAATATGAAACGGGTGATGGGGTGTGTTTTAACCCCAGGATAGCCCCATAAATACGCCACCTGTTTGTTGTGATTTTTATTTTAGTATAAACGATAAACCAATGCAGTCTAAAATAAGCTAAGGTATGGACAAGTTTTGAGGAAAGGCCAAATAATAGTAATTAAAGGTGATTATTGAACATTTTTATTGATTTTATTAATTGTATTTTAAATGCATTCGTCATAAAAACAGACACATAACGGCTAATCGGGAATGTGTCGAGGAGAGGAATATAAGAAAAACAAATACCTACAATTCAATAACATCGTATCAAGTTTTTGTTTTTTTTTTTTAAATATCTAAATACCTACTTACCCCTATTGTCGTTATCGGTGTTCAAATGAAGGTTTCCCATTCTCGGATCGGTCAGAGAGAAAATAGGTTGAGCCGACTGTTGAAGTGAAATAAACGACCGGTCGGCGTCGGTGGTCGTCAAGTTCATGCTTCTCGAGTCTATAAAAAAAAAATAATAATAATAAATAGGGGTTTCGATAAGCCGTTTGACTTGGTAGCTTATTAAAATTAATCGAATAATAGTAACAACAACAATGTTTTTCACCAAACACGCCAACACGGTGTGTATATGCTATACAGGGACAAATAAAAGAGAAAATAATAAATTCTATAATATACACTATGGTATAGTACCGGCACGCCTTTTATTTTGCAATATGTTCTGGTGTCAAGAATTAGGGTGGTCTTTGGAGGTCACGTGTGCCCGAACAAATAATATAAACGGGGCGTTTTTTCTGTTTTGTTAAGGTCTGTTCTATTGTAAACCCACCGAGGGATGCAGGCAAGGACATACATATACATATTATACAATTATTATAACTAAATGACTATCCAGATTAGGGATGTTAACAATTTCCTATACATATATAGCACCAACCGAAATCGCGTTAATCCGTGTTTTGCATATTCCATTATCTATAATACATTTTAAAAGCCGTTATTGTATAATAACGCTATTTTTGTGACACCACTCCCGCAACGATCGGTTCCGGTAGAGGTAATAATTTCAGAATTATATTTAACACTTATATCCTACAGAAAATATCATAAATGCCATGCTACGTCATCACATAAACATGGTATATTAACAGAATAAGCTTTAATGGCTAGAATGTATTGTATACGTTGTTAACTTTGGTACAAAATCGCTAGATAATAAATTACATTAAACGTTTTAAATAACCATATTTATTATTGTGCTTTATATTGTTCAATAACTATTTAAATTAACTAAGTGATATTTAATTAAGTGAGTGTTATTGTTTCACTTGTTCCTATGAACTGTTAATGTTCAAGCCATCTTCCCGATTTTGGTACAATTAAATTAATAAAATTGTAAAAGTAATTTATATTTATACACACACGAAACAACAAGTTTTAATTTAAATACTAATACATTATGCAACCCAACTTTTAGTTACCAGTATGCTTATTGCTTAATAATTAACATCAATAAAAATGGTAAAAACAAATCGTACTATGAAACCTATCTGAAACTAAAGCGAACGGGACTAACAGAAAATTCCGTAATTATTGTAAATGTTGAAATTAAACAAACAAATTAATGAAAGAAATGATAAAAGAAATAAGGTTAATGCATGATGTTGGAGAATGTCAAACAGCGAGTAGGTTTTGAAAAAAACAATTATTTAATGTAATAAATACCTTATTTAATCGACCTGGTAAAAAAATATTATATAATAATATTATTTTTGACTATTTCAGGTAAATTATTTTTAAAATCTCCATAATAAAAAAAAAACAATTTAAATATTTAATTAAACGGGTATGCAATAAGCAAATTTAATAAACTATAGAAAATATTATAGTGATAAGTACCTATTTCCATCCCTTATTAATCCTTAAATTATTAGTCTTCTGTCCAAAATTCTCAATACACTTCCCTCTAAAATATATTCTACTTAACTTTTTTTTCTTTCCTTCCTCTACGGACTGGCTCTACCTCATTTCTATTTATTTTAAATTTGCATATAATCGTTTTAACTTAATTTAGTTCATATCATTAATGTACGATACAGTATTGTTTTATTTGTAATTCTTGAGCTATAATGTTCTTTGAACAAAAGCTATAATAAAATAAAAATTGCCTACTTCGCAATTTTAGGAAATGTAAGAAATAAGTCTTTTTGAATTTTGGCGATCATATTATGTATAAGTTATGGATTGCAATTAACCTATTAAAATGGCCAGCTAATGGCTTCAGAATATTATAATTAATATACAATCACCATTAGATAATCTCATTTGATGTTATGACAGAAAATAAAAAACAATATTTTTGTGAATGTGTTAAAGTTTTTATGGATTAAACCAATTATTTGGATAATTTTCAGATGTATCCATGTCTTCAGTTTTCCGCTGACGCTTTGAACGTCTCTTCAGAGCGATGATCACTGTTCCGCTGTCGTGACAATACCAGTATGGTCAGCAAACAAACTGAAGACATGGATACATCCGAAAATTATGCAACTAAAGTTTTGTGTGTAAAATGTTCTCAAAGTTTAAAACCAAAACTCAAGAAAAACTGTTAATTTTTCTACCATTAATATGAATATTATTTATGGAAACTAAAACAATTAAGTATGAATAAGGTCCAATTTTCTATTTATAATCACTTAATTATTTCCTACCTATATCATCTTAAGAGGGCGTCGTAACGATGATTTTTAGTGTTAAAAACATGTTTACGCAGACAGAATAGAACTCGCTTAATTTTGGTTTTAGAGTAAAAGCGCTTATTATTAAATTAAAAGAAGACAATATTCCCGGCGGGCACCTCGATGCGTTTTTTTGAAAAGTTAAGTCATTTAAAAATTTTGAAATAGTCGTTATGTCTAACAGATGTATTGAGCGTTATATTTGGAATAATGGAAAAAACGCATCGCAGGTCCACCGGAATATTGTTCTCTTTTAATTTTATAATAGGTGCTTTTAGTCTAAATCAAAATTAAGAGAGTTTTACTCAGTCAATTCAATAAAAAAAAAAAAAAACAATTTTTAAATCGCGTTTAAGGATGCTGTAATAGTCTAAAAAAATTAGTTAACTATCAAAAAACAGCCCTAATTACTGATAATTAAAAAAAAAACCCAGCTTAACATTAAAGTTAAGATTTTGCAAAAAAAATTGCCTATATCTAACTCTTTAATAAATAGGACATATGACGTTCTTTTAAGAAATCCTACTTAGTGTTTAAATTGATGTAAAATTATTCTAGTAAATGATAACAAAGTTAAATAATAATCTAATTATTAGTTGGATGGGTATTTAATTACTTTGATACAGGGCTAAGTACTTAGTAGTAAGTGACTGTAGTATGTAGTTACTTACTACATTTAAAAATTTATACCTATACTTATAAAAGCTGTTATTAAAAGTTGTAACATACATTTAAAACAAACGTATGTACCTATGAATTTGTTGGTACATTTTATTTAAATCATATACCAAAACATCCTCTAGGCTTTAATATTTAAAAAATTAGTTTAATAAGAACTATTAAAAATAAATATCTATATTGCATTTTATCTTATTTTTAGCAATTATTTTGCTATTGAAAACTACGGTTAAGCGGGGAAAATATAAATGTAATCGGTTTAAGCGAAAAAATTGAAAACCTAATTTTAACTGAACATATTTTTAAAGAAGAATTTTTACTAATAAAACATTAGATGTTTTTGTATCGATTTTTATAAAAAAAAAAGGTTACATTAACCCCATTGCGGAGACATTGCCCCGTTTGATCTTACAGAGTTTTCGCCGTCGGTACAGTGAAACTTTAAAAATTTTTAAACTATAATTTCCTTACCTTTTTTTTTTCTTTTGATAGCCGTTTTCCGCGGTTTGGTGGACGTAGATAGTTTTTCTTGAATACGAATTTGCCAACGTGCCTGCGCGTTATTTATTTTCAAAATAGCTGTACTCGTACATTTATTGTTATCACTATAGTGGAATAAAAATAAAATAGTCCGCGCAAAACGTCAATACTATGGTAACGAAAATACGATTGTTGCGTACGAGTGACTTATCCGGTTCGCGTTTGGCTTATGCCCCGGGTCCCGGAGCTTAACTCGTCTGCCGGTAAAAGTCGAACGGATGCGAAACGGCGACGGGATCCGGGACGGACGCAGGGACAGGCGAGGGAGCGGCAAAGGCTGCTGCTCTCGGCGGCGGTGTCGGTCGTGTGTGGGAGGAGGCGCGACGGGAGGAGGCCGGTTGAGGTTCGACCCGGAGGCTTAATCTTGGTCGGTCGACTGCTGTCACACCCCCCCCCACGAGCGGCCGTCCGGGGGGGTGTGCGTTTGGGACCAACCGGAAAGAGTTAGAGATGAAATAGTGCGCCGGGCGCGCACGCGCAATGCCCGGCCGCGGTCGCCATGTTTATTGTTTAGCGGGCCGACGCGACGCTGCCGCCGCCCGGGTTAATAGTTAAGCTCTCCGACACGGCGCCCCCGTGCACGACAATTTGATTACCGAGTATTGAACCGACGCTACGGCCGCCGCCGACACTGGCGCCCTCCCCTCGATCCCCGACCGTCGATACTTGTTCCCCGCCGTCGTACGCCGACACAGCGACACCGACAAGTCCCGGACAGCACGTCTGGTCCTCCGAACCCAAAGCCCATCCTTTTTGCCGTCGCTGATGTAAATACAATTCTATACATATCACTTACTGCGGCGTCTATGTGCCATAACTCCATGAATAACGTCTTTTAATTTATCTTTTACACTCAAATTTAGACCTTTTAACCGGCTTAAACCATTAAACCGAGGCGAATTACGGTAAACTCTAAACTAACGCACACACTAAATCCAATTGAACTGGATTAAAAAAAAATTGCTTATCTATATTTACAAAAAAATTAATTGATCTTAAGAATACATGTACATATAAACTCGTAAGCATCTAGAAGGTTTAAAAACTGAATTTGGATATTTTAGAAAAAAGTACCTACTGGGCTTCGTGTAATTTATTAGGTTACACGTTCAAAATATAAATTATAATACAATATCAATGTAATGTTTTTATATTTTAAAAAGTACTATATCTACTAATTCTGTAAGTAATTTTTAGGGGTGCTCACGTGGAAAAAAATATATACCTAGTTGGATCAACTAAAAATATGGGTATAGAGAGATACGATACATTTACGGTTGAAGTAGCTAAATAAATAGGTAGACCTACTCAATGTTTAGTTAAAGTAACTATTTATTTAGTTATTCCAACTATACAATTATTGTGTCTCTATATTAACCATAATTTTAGTTGAATCAGGTAAGTATTTTTTTCTGTATATGAAAGCAAGGCCAATATACGAGTAATATATATTACTCGTATATTAAATACTATATACTATACATACTAAATAATAATGGGTACCTACTCTTTTTTTCTGAAAAAAAGATCAAAAGTTTGTATTTAAACTATAATAAAATATATAAGGAAGGGAGCTTTAGCCCCAATTGAGATGTTTTCCTATTTTATTCACTGAAAAAAATACACACTATTTAAAACGAAACGTACACAATGACACAAGCCAAGATCAATACTCTAGTATTTATTTCATTACACATTTTTATTGTAAAAACTGGTTTAATAATATTATAACGTTGTGGTTTAATAAAATACAATGTGTTACAAAGTGTATAGGGAATACTATACATAGACAATATGTAATTATATGTATGTATAATTTATACACTGTTTAATGTACATCGGAAAACGACATCATTATCATCATAAATCAAAAATCTTTATATTATACAATTCTTAATGGTAATGTACCTAAGAACTTTTTATAAGATTAGTAAGTGTAGGTCATACTGTTACAGCTGTTATAATATCCGACACGTTATACATTTATCTATTTAAAAATACTGACTATTGTATCTCAATTATTGGGATAGTTGAGTATAAATGCAGTTTGTTTGATATAATTAATCATTAAAATCAATTGATCATATTTAATATCGATTCGCTGACCTCATTTTGAATACATAGTGTATTAAAACTGCATAAATTATAAAATGTATGCATTGTTGTATTTTGTCTCATGCATGCATTTCGTTTCAATGTTACAAATAATGTGTTAAAGAATTTTTTACTAATTTTATTATTAAAAAACTATACACAAAATTAAATGCTGATTTATATTATGCAACTATATCAATTATAAACAGTATTAAATGTATAACGTATAATGTTTAATGTAATAGTATTAATAAAATATGTACAAAGTTACAGATCGTCTAGAACTTGTTGAAGTACTTAATTTGAATATATTACCCAAGATAAATAAATTATAAATATAAAGCATGTTTAAAATGAGAAACATACCGGCAAAAAAAACAGAAAATTAACTTATGCAAAATGGCTTTTTTAGTGTTATAAAATTCGTTTTGATGTAAGTTGCTGTATTTTTAAACATGTTTCTAAGAATTTATTTTATACATTTTTAAGCATGTATTTCTTAGATTAAAAAAACTGACATCTGTTTTTTCTCTAAACCCTTTAAATGATACAGAATGGCAAAATGAAATAATAATATTAATTAACTCATAGGTAGTTACATTTAACAAACTTTATATAAATTTATATTATTATCCACCCATCCTAAACAAAATTCTTGGACATGCGACTGTATAGGACTACACCAATTCGTTTTTTACATTTTTGCAGAGTTTCGAGATATTTTTGGATTTATTCTTATAACGTATACGGTTAAGATGGGTAATTTTATAAGAATAGGGTAAATGTAAATGTATTTTTTTTATAAAAAAAACTAACAATGTTTGAATTTTATTTAACTATGTAGTATTAGGGTGCTTGTTTTTGCGACTATTTTTTTTTAGCTCCCATCCTAAAATTTTGTTGTAAATGCCAAAAAAAAAATTCCCTGAAAATTTGAGCCCTTAATATTAATATTAAGTACTCTCCCATAATGTGAGAAGATTTCCCATTCAAATAAAATTCAATTTTTGTTTAAATTTTTTTTTGTTATTTCATCAATGGCTAAACTTACAGAAAAAATGTTAGTAATATATTTATAGGAAATTTAATTTTCTACAAAAAAAGTCCTTTGAGCCAAATCTCTAAGATTGATGTTTCTCGAGATATTGAGCTTTGACTTTTTGGAAGTATGAAATTTGAATGGATTATTGGGTCAAATTTTTCAATATATTGATTCATACTTCATACCTTAAAAATTTGTTTTGTGATAATAATCAAAATAATATACACGAACCGTCCGTCGTTTGCTGGCAAACATTGTCAATATGACCAACGGGTACGAGTCAGAGATCCATATGTGATAATTTATTAAATTTGATCACCCACAGTGATCGTATTATCAAAGATCGAGCTGTTCAACAGTGTTAATCATTTTTTGGTGTACCGGTAGGGGTAACGGTAAAAAAAACAAAAAGGATTACAATATTATTATATTTCTAGGTATTTCGTAAAAACTAAAACACTGCAAACGCGTACAAAGTGTATTATAATAATAGGTCAATATCGTATATTTGAAAGAAAAAAAAACCCGTTACTGGTTTTAAAAAACCGGTTCGATTGCACAAACTCGGTTAAGTTTGCCAGACGCGAAACGATCCAAACGAAAGTGAATACTATTATTATTCACGTCCTCGGCATTCGTTCTGGTCGTCGCATCCAAACCATATCGTCTTAGCCGTCGTCAGACCTATCACCTATGAGTGCATTAGGTGCAATTTCAGAGTGGAAGCAACAGTGACGTCGGTAAAACGGTGTTGGTTTTTTTGCGTGCGAATTACATAAAGTCTTGTACCGAAAATGCGTACCTGGAGGATAATCGCTATTCTCGTGGTGGTGTTCGCGTTCGTCATGGAACTAAGGCCCTTAGACTGTTTCCTCGACGAATACCTCACCGGCCCCGACATGAACGTAACAGTCTCTCAGGTACTTATAACAGGTATTTATAACCGTTTACAGAGTGAATACAGAGTGTTTACAGAGGAAATGTATATTTTTATTTTAAACCTCAGCTACAATAATAATTGTATCTGATATTTTACATAACGTCAAGTCATGACCATTTAAATGTTTTTGATCGTTCTAATATTTTGCGGATCCCTTCTGAGGGATATAAGAAAAAAACAATACCAGTTGTTACAGTGTTGTATTAATTAGTCGTGTCATAATAATATAAGAGAAGACGTTAGACGACAAAACTATAGTAGACACCTAGGTGTACTTTTTCTTGTAGGTATACTCACGGAATACTTTGGTCAAGTATTTGTAACGTCTTTGTTCGTTATTAAAACGATTTTTATAGCTTCAATTTGAATTCTAGATAATATAATATTGGTTTTAATAACTATGTCATATAATAGTATTGTTTTTTTTTTCAATTAATAGATAAACGAAGAGCTGGTACCAATAAGGGAGTACGCCGTCGTGTTGGTCGCTCTATTGACGTTCACCGTTACCGACTATCTGCTGTACAAGCCCGTTATGCTGTTCAACACTTGTTGCGGCATCTTCGTGTACACCAGTCTAGCGATGCCACCTAGTATTTTCCAATTGAAAGCAAGTAATCGATTAGGTAGCGCTGCGTGCGATTTCCTAATAATTATTATTATCAAACTGTTGTAATTATTGTAAAATATCTCTTGCGTTTTCTTCAGGTCACCGAGTGGGCCAAGTCGATTTTCATGTCCTATGACATAGTCTACATTAGCTACATGTTTGCAAAAATCCACGACAAACGGTTCTACCAGGTGGCTTCCGGACTGGCCAGAACGGCCATGCTAGTGGGCAAGCTATGCGCATCGATAATCGCCCAGACGCTGGTGCACGTATCCGGTGAATCCTACAAACAACTGCCTTGCTACAGCCTCGGGAGTGAGTACACACAAATGGGCATTTATTGTTAATCGATACAGCTATATAGAAATGCTATATAATCTTAACAACCCTGCGACGTAACCCACGAGGCCGGACGATTGTGCATGAAGAGTGATTAATGTGCAGTTTGTTTTTTTTCCAGGCATGGTGTTCGCGTTTGTCTGGGCGTTTTTCTTGCCGCCGGCAAAACGGTCGAGAAGTCGAAAAGAAACCGAACTCAAAGCGCAATTATTGATCGCAGCGCTCAATAATAACGTACCTTCCAAAATGCCGGTAAATAATCCGATTGCGGATTGTTCATTACGGGTTACTATATATTTTTAGGGGACCTAGGGTTTAAAGAACTGATCTTAATTTTTGGAACCGAGATAATAAAGTTAACTATTTAAAAAATTGCATTTCTTACAACCGCAAATATGTTTTTTTGAGCTGACTTGTGCAGTACAGCTCTCTTTGTTATGTAAATGTAAATATCAACATTTACCAATCTTACCTTTATGTGTTAAACATTATTTTTTTCTGAGCTTCTCAACCTAAACATTTTATTTTTATCTAACTCAAAAATGGTTCCTTTAATTAGTTTACTGAAATTTATTGTGTACAAATTAATAATAAAATGTTTGTATAGGGTTCTCCTCTATTAGGGTGAACATTCTTATAGATTATTGTTATAATTTATATTAGATCCAGCACCACCTAGAGGCGTATATTGGCTAAATTTTAAAACGGGACCAACTGAAATTAATTTCTTTTTGTCGAATCTTGGAAAATGTAATTAGCATTCAAATAAATCTAATAAGAATAATTTGCTTAACATGTTAACTGATAGCAAGTTTGAAAAATTTATTTTGAAGTCATTTAGGTTTAAAATGTAATACAGAAGGAAGGGTGGAGAGTGGTATTATTTGTATAAACGCGCATTACTCTACCGCACTTCTCCTCCCGTCAATATTTTAAACTTCAGTTTACCATTTTAAAAGCTTATAGAACTCTATAACAAAATAAAAAAATTGAATATTGTCTAATATTGTAAAATAATACAAACGTTGGACACATTAGTCAGTTAGATAATGAAGGTTTTTTTATCGTTTATAGTATATAAACATAGAAAAAGTGTACCAAGAGAAGGGTGTAAGGGATTTGCCCGGTGACCCGATGGATAGGTCTTGTCTTATTAATAATTTGTAAATCTGTATATTACTCATATATTGTTATTTCGCAATTGGGATTTATGTGTTAAGCTGGTGTTTTATATAGAGCATAAATCCAGAAGTAAGGACGGAAGACAGCGCTCCGAAACGTGCCTGGAGAGACTTTAACGAATCATATACAAACTTGACCGTTCTGAAATGGTCAGTTTGGTATTGTGTGGCGCTAACCGGATACAACGTGGTATGTATTACTATTGTCTATTGCTGTTAAGCTATTGTGAAAAATATAATATAATGTACGATATCAATAAACCCGTGTACAGATCAAAGTGTCTTATGTAACTCGAGAATTCGGTGGCAACAACCAACAGACCAACAGACTTGTCGAAACCTTGACCACGCTGATCGGTGAGTGAATGTGTGCACTATTAATTATTATTTTTTTTTTATTAGGAAAATATAAACGTATTAAGTAACTTTTATTGCGCACAACACCTTTGATGAAGGTTATAATTATGGTTTAGAAAAGTTTTAAACAGAATTATTTAGGGCGTGTCCCGATCATATTTCCTAATGTTCTGTATAACTTCTGAAATTAAAACAAAGATAAAAAAAATCCTATTTAGAAGCCGCTGTAGTTTGACGTGTATTGTGTTTTACTAGTGTGTGTACGAAGAATAGCACAAACATGATTCGGGTGAGTTGTTATATTTTATGCGTTTGCTGTCAACATGTACTTTAGTACGAAACCATAACCTACAGCAAAACAATTAATCTGACCTTTGCTATGTTGCAATCCTGGTGTTATAATATTTCCCAAATGCTCTTAAACAAGATAGTAAAGAAGCACCTGTCATCAGAATTTTTACTCCATATCAATAAGCCAATGTTGATTAAGAAGAAAAGGTAGACTTTATTTAAATGACTGGCTGATCTGTACTAATATTAATAATATTTTTATGTTACGAGTGAATTTTGAGTGGGTATGTGGGTTTTACCAGATGTTAGTGGATGGTTCAGCGTCGCTGGATTTAAAAATGTTAGTACATAGTAAATAAAACACACTTTAATCTCCTAGTGAGTAGGTACAAATAACTGTCAACAGGGTTTGGTTTCATCCGTGACAACCGGATTTTGTAGTCGTAAAAATAGCATTAGCAAAACTAAAACATTTTGTTTAATACAGTTATTTTTGTTATTTAAGTACAATATTTGAAATAATTTTGTCTTTTAGACTAAAAAATATAAATAGTTTAGAATTCGGGTTACTTCATAATTATTTGAGAACAATAACAATGAGCTCTAAACAGTGGCCGGAAGAAAACTTGAAATTATGCAAGTAAAATTATTGTTATTAACTAGATATTTTTTTTTTGTAAAAGTATAATATTCCTAATATTTTAATTTGAACAAAAATATTAATTTAAATTAATAATTATTTCAATAATTAATATTTTATTGATAATTATTAACAATTATTTAACTTTTAAGGATTTTTACTAGTTGCATAATGTATAATTTCAAGTTTTTTCACACCGCCACTTATTGTTTATTGTTTTTGTTTACAAATTATCCTTTAGCCACTCGAAAACTTTACCAATCACATTTTTTGTTTAAAAAGACTTTTCGGAAACAACTTGAGTAGCTGATGTAGGGACATCGCTGCCCCTCCTAGGGAAGAGGGTTTCCGACTGATCGCTACCAGGAACCGGTCGAGGTTAATGCGTCATCGCCGAAGAGTGATGCTTGCTCTTTTTTATTGGACAGTTTCCCTCCAAGGAAACAGAACTGCCTAACCTAGCCTCGAATTGGTGACCGTTAGCACAGTATGTCTCCTTATCTAATCGTCCCTCCATCTTTTTAGGCTTTAAAGACTTATTTTGTTTATAAAATACCATGTAAAATATATATGTAAATAACAATTCCACAAAAGAGAGAGAGAGAGACACATAAAATGCAAAATATAGAAAAGTATATTCATAATAATATGTGTATTTTAAATACTCGTGTATCACATTTTGTCTATCCATTTATACTAGGTAATATTATGTAATATAATATATTTGTACGCGGGTACTCTGCATTATAACCAAACCATTCCTGACCAGTGACGACGTCTTGTTGTATTATCAAAATTATTATTTTCTTCTTACGATGCTCTATGTATATTCGTACACACGTGGAATCGACAAAACAATAATAAATACTTTTATATTTATATCTTATAACAGGGGCTATCTGTTCGTACAAAATTGGCGTGAGACGAGTGAACTGGGAATTAAAAAGCAATGCGTTCATCGGATCTGGTTCTCTGATTCTCGGTGTGTGCGTTGTGTTTTGTTACTTTCACCAGCAACTGTTGTCCGTCTATCTGTCCTACGCGCTATTCGGAGTACTGATGCAGGCGATGATTGTCATATCTCTGTGAGTATATTATATCATCAAGTATAATATCATGCACCAATCACACCTTTACTCTTCGTGTACAACAATTTAATCCGAAATCGCCACAAAGCAACCGGTTCGTGCTCTATTTTCAGCAACAGAATCGTCTTGAATAACACTTCATATAAAGACGGTACCCTCCCAATAAAATACGATTTCACCAATTTATATTCGATTACATTTTCCCGAATCGGTCCAGCAAACCATAATAGAAATAGGTAATATAATATGTATTTTACAACCGAATCAAAGGCCATTTACGATGTCATTTTACCGCAAAAAAAACTAATTTTATCTTTACTTGTAATTATACACGACTTGCCTATAGTTGAGGCCATATATAGCTATACTATATTATGGTATTAAAATTATCATACGTTGAATCTCAAATTACAACATACGACGAGGATCGCAACAGTAAAGGCAATAAAACATTAAAGTTTTTCATTTATTTAAATACAAGCTTATAAGGAAATTAAGTAGATTTTCGGAACTTTTAAAGGACTATCGATGGAGTAATTCGGATCCAAATTATTAGAATTAGTTTTTAAAAAAAATCAGCAGGACCGTATAATTTGAAATTTTTTCATTATATAATGCAGATCCGAAATGGCGAAACCGTTGAAAAACAAATGTTACACCCTCGTGTTGGGATTCAACTCCTTCGTGTCTGTTGTGTTGGTGTTGTTATTCAACGTGGCTTTCGTCCGAAGCGCCGAAGTGATGAAATTTACCGCCTCCAAACAGGTTAGCTGATTACTTATTATGATAATTTTACCCAATTAGTACATGTATAATATTATATAGTTATTATCAAATGTATTTATTATTTCAATACGTTTGCGCGCATTCCGTTTCGTTGCAGCTCTTGTTCTACGGAGGCATGTACATTGTGCTCGGTACCTTGTATCTGATTCCTTGTGTAGTATCGTTCAACAGAAGACTGAAAAAAAATAACTGTCCAATTTATGACGTCACCGAATAACAGCCCACAGGATCGTACGACGAAAATTCTAAATCGAATTTTTGTTTTTGTCGACCCAAAACGAGATTTTCACTCATTCATTTTTGCTTCATTTTACATCATCGGAGACGACCGCCTACCCTGATTCTCACTGCTTCCACTCATTTGTATATTTACCACTCTATATGTGTTTCCACTCATATTTATTGTATTTCTCCTTCTGAATACCACCAATTATTATCCTTATTCGGTCTATGTTATACAGAGATGCTTTTGTCTACTTATTTTTGATACGATTTCTACGAATTTTTATGGTTTAATTTTATTATACTATGTAATCTATACGATTTTTTATATAATTGTATTATAATTTACATGTTACCATAGTATTTGATCCGACACTATCAAATGTTTGATCTACTATAAAACAAACAGCTCATATTGTATACTTTTCATTGATTCACGCGTTTAGTTCATTGACTATTTTATTTAATTATCAGTAATATGATATTGTACATTTGTAAAGCGATAGCTGTTAAGAAACTAGTTAAGTTAACATTATTTAAATATAATATAATTGTCGTGTTTTATTTATTTACTCAAAATGATTGTTGTTGTTCAAATACATTTCCTGTATTCTACAATATTCACCGACTGCGATCTACAAGGTATATGGAATACTAAAATATCGTCATTTTATGTATCTCCTATATTTTTACAGTAGGTATATTTTGTTATTTAATATTTCAGAAATTTTTTTTTTGTAAAACAGATAAACAGAAAATCAAAACCAAACATCACGTTATGCGTTAAAAAGACTTTAATATCACAAAAGTTGTTGTATTTTCCCGGAGGTATACATATAACATTGGTAATATCGAATTGATTTTGGCGTTTTACAACCATTATTTGATACCTTCTTATTCACATAGATACATAGATGTTTGAGTACGATAATTATTATTCACACATGCGTCAAGAACAGAACAACACATTTACCAACGAATAACAAATGTATCTACTCCTAATTGCGTAATAGACCGTTCATAATAATATACATTTCGTTTTCCGGTGTAATACTCAAGCGATCCCTAACCCATTTGTTTGTTTTTCTTCGTCCCCTGTGTTGTATTTTTCTGTATGTACAGACATACGTTCAAGGCATCCATGTTGTACTTTATACATAACAATATGCACAGGTAGAAGCGTAGAGCTGCCGTCGACAACAAACGGTGTGCAGTAACAATATAATATAGATATTGAGCGGGTAGCAATATAATTTTGTGCAAGAGAAGAGAGGATCGTTAAGTGAACCGTGATTATCATGTAGGTACCTATTATATTATATACTGTCAGAACAGTTTGGTAGCGGCCACACAGCGTGATGCGAACGCATGCGGTTCAAAAACAAAGCTCATCTGTATGTGATGTACATTTTGTGTAAATATTGCGTTTTTTGGTGTGCTGAACGGAAAGTACAAAAAATGTAAATTACACGTTTATTTTTTTTTTTAATATTTTGACAGCGTACACACGACGCACACGTGCGCATAATATTATATTACATTGTTTTCTGAACCATTGTCGTTCATATTATGATATTGTGTAGTTATAATTTAACACACATTTTATACACATGAATACATACATATAATATACTATATACTTACAAGTAGTATTTAAACCTCCCGTTTAAGGTTATGGGGCCGGAATATTATAATATTATAGTCGCATGTGTCTTAAGAACCGGTTCTATAATGAATAAAATAAGAGTTTTATTTTTTGTGGATACCATATTAAATTAAAATAATATGGAGGTGAATAAATGGCGACAGAGAGATTTATAGATATATTTAATTTGTATGGAATAAAGCAAAGAAGATGAAACAGACATTTTGTAATCTGCCTTTGAAATTACCCACCGAGTCGAAAAAAAAAATATATAAATACATATTACAAAAAAAATAAATGCGTTACCTCTAGTTATCACCGTAACCATACCCCCTTTATTATAGTCGGTGTATTCATCCTTAAAATATCAATAAAAACATTTTTTTATTAATCGCTGTACAGTGTACGATATAGTTCGAGTTATCGTCAATATTGTCAATCATATTGCATAAACAGTGGGATTTTAGCGGTCGGCAAACTACTGATATCTATTTGTTTATTGACCGCGTTTACAAAGTATAGAATCGGATAGTTTTAATTTATTTTAAATTATTTAGGTTGCGTCATTTCGGTTATACATAATCACCTTGTACTCAAAATGAATCATATTATAATATGTTCGTACAATGAACCTGTAATGTATACTTGTAATCGGTATAATATTGTGATTAGCCCTGATTGAAGTAGTTTCATAATTTATATAATATAGAGGATACACATTTTTTAAGTGTTTGTAGTTTTACGAAATTTATATTTTAAAATGTTTACTCGTGCTATCTATTTTGTATTTATATTTGATTTTAGTTTATTTAATAATTGCCTAATTCATATAATTGTATATTCATTATAATTTCATAAGCAGTTGAAAGCCATATGCAATAAAACATATAGTTAACAATGGAAAAAACAACAGAGACAATTCACAAAAGCTATGACTAGGTTTTTCTTAGTTTGATCTTTTTCGGATCTATTCAATAGTTGTCTGTCGTTTCGAACCAATCGCAGGTTCCTCATCATTCCACAGTCGTGACTATATTGAGACTTGAGTGTTTCGCTTGTTTCCTACATGCCGTAGGTATTGCAATGCAAACCGTGTGGTTTTTACTCTTTTTGTTTTGCTCATTTTCTCTGTTTATTGGCACTTTTTCTGTTGTACACTTTAGGCGTTTTTTGCAATTCGTTGTTCACTTTTTACATCTGCAATTTTATCTACAACAGCTGTTTCTAATGTCTGACGTTGATCGCTTGTTTTTTTTTTCTTTTACTCTGTTAAATAACTGGTTTTCGTGAGTTACTAATTTTCAAACTTTTTAAACTGCTATTGCTGCCTTCAACATTATTTTTTTCAAAATTAACTCATTAATTTAATATTTTTACCTGGTCAAACTGGATGTAACAAATTCTTTTGCAGTCCACATATCTTCCGTGTTCTTCTACCCGTGTCTATTGCTCTTCTAGTTTCTGCTTTCTCCGCAGTGTATGATTTCCATAATATTTCGTATGCACCTGATGTTTGTATTTCCTTTTTTTTTATCCTTCAGGTTTCGGAATAATGATCCAATTAATATAATTGGTTTAATTATCATTTACATTTTTAATTTGTTTGTTATTCTGGTGATACGACCTATGACCCCTTGTAAAAATATTAACAATATTATTATTTTTTTTGTCATCTTCTTTTTCTTATTCTATGATGGTTATCAAATTTCCTTTTATGTATATTTTACTGCTCATTTTATTGCTTTGTTAATACTTGCTAGTATACATAGCTAAAGTTTCGAACCAATTGCAGGGTCTATCTTAAGAGGGATAGTTACTGTTCCGCGGCCACAACTACACTGAGCGCATCGTTTGTTTCTTATCGGTGTTTCTTGACCAAGTAGTATTGTAATGGATCATGGGTTTTCATTGTTTTCTCTTTTTCACTGTTTATAGCTGTTGTGCTCTTTTAGCATTCTTTTGTATTTTGCTCTTTCCTTTATACACCAAACATTTTCATCTATTCCGACAACAGCTGTTTATATTTTTTGGTCAGTAGGTACTTGGTTTAATTTGTTTCTTTCTCTTTTAAACCAACCGACCAATGCCAAACAATAAGAACAGCTGTATACCCCAACTATGTGAATTATGCGAATTGAAGTCACCCACGTAGACCACAAGATGTTGACGGGTTGGTAGTACTGAGTTTGACCATTTACTGCGGTTAGTAAACTTTATAAATAACCAATAAAACCAAGCGAATTACGTTCTAAATCCCACGTACTATGTATACCATATAGGTCATATGATCAATTGAGACCAACTAGGAACAAATTTGGCAATTACAAATGCAATTTTCTTAATAAAAATTTTAAATGTTTAATTTTAACCCTACTTGACCCACTTTTTATGGTAATTTGAGTATGTCCGGGATTTAGTTAGTTCAAGCCTGATTAGCAACTTGTTTACCTTGGTCTAAACGACAGATGACATTATTAAAGTCGAATCGCACATTATATTTAATCGCATAACCGGTGTAATTGTGCACGGAGCTTTTATACACCTACTCGAAAATATGCTAGTTAAGTTTGGTCGATTGTAATTTTGGAACTCGATGGTAGTGGGCATTTATAGAGTATATGTACATTATAGCCTGGTGAATAACGTTGAAAGGCATAAAATCGATAATTAAACGTTACGAATCGTGTCTCGAAGGGGACAACAACGGGGAGAACCGCGCTGCAGCGAGGAGGGAAACGATATAGAATTCAGCGATTGGCGCCCCACTATATAGCGCAGAACGCGCGGCTGTGTACATTAATGCTTTTGTGTGTCGGATGAAAAGCGCTGTCCCGGATGCGATTTTCCCGGGATCCCTGCAGGACTCCCTCGGCAACAACAGTTACATACATATACTGCATTACACTGAGGTATAGACGGCAGAAGCGCAAGCGGGATCCCCTTTAACTTCCGTTCTCCGACAATCGACCGACCCGGCGGCGGCGCGATCAAACGAACGCCTCCTCTCCCCTCAAAGGGCTTTCGGGTACCGCTGTGTAGCCGTTTGACCGGCAGTGCTCGGCAACGGGATGAGGTGTAGACGGGTAGACGGAGGGTGTACTCGTTCCTCCCCATCCCCTTCACACCCCAATGCACAACTTAAAGCCGCGTTAAGCCGGTCCGATAAACCGATGGCGCGCGCCTGCACAGTTCATACTTAAAACCAACTCCGCATATACTTACAAATTCCACCGGCGTAACATGGCCGCCGTATCGTTCCCCGTTTACTCCACGTCTGTACTTTTATTTGAACGGTCTCACGCAAGAACGGCCGTAAGTCCATCGAAATGTATGCTTTGAAAAAATAAAAATAAAATTTAGGACGTCCGACTTGGCCTGAATGTGATCACACGCGACACGCAAAACAGGATAAATATAAGACAATTTTAAGTTTAGACGATAATATCAGATTTTTTTTGTCCCATAAATAATAGATTGACATCATATTATCAATCTTAGATCACTATCAACAATTAACTAACCTTTTATTTAGCCGAAGATTCTGCAAAATATTAAGTGCATAAAATTCATTTTTTAATACTTTTATATTTTATGAAATGTAATATTTTATATTCGGTAGCTAATAAAAGTCTGCGGGGACTTCATCTAAATCTAAATTTTTTTTTTTTTGGGGGGGGGCCGTAGGTTTACCAAACTGACATGGTTTTGTGTTTTTTTAAACTGAAATAGTGTCAATGTTGATATCATATAAGTTGGTTTTGAAATAAAAAAACAAAACTTGTGTTTATAACTTAACTACACGTTTATAGTTTAATCCAAAATGTATTCACTCTGGTTTACATAATATTATTATAATGCTAAATTTGTATTTT